CCGAGCCCACTTCCACGGCCCCTCGCGGCCCAGCCTCCACCTCGGCCACAGCCATGTCTTCGGGCCCGACCTGCGATCACAGCCAGAACCAGACCCTCTCCGTCAATCTCGACCCTCTATGGGCCGCTGTTTCGGACGAGGCCGCGACGCGGCACATTGTCGGCGATGACGACGGCGAGCATCTCATGGGCGCGCTGGTCGCTGCCTGTCGACAGGCCGCGCCCACGACGCCCATCGCTCCGCTCGCCTTCTCGTTCACGCGCACGCTGGCCAACGTCCCCTTCCGCTTTCTCCGTGTTGAGGTCGACGACCAAGGCCGCGCCAAGACGCCCATCACCAGCCTCAGCAGCTTCAACAGCCAGCTGGGCGAGCACGGCGCGCTGGCCAAGTACTTCCCGTTCACGTCTCTGGACGGCAATGCCGACGAAAACAGCCTCTGGTGGCATGCCAGCCACCCGCCGGCGTACAGCAAGGACTATCCCTTCTCAGTCGACAACTTTGACTGCGAGCAGCTCGTCGAGGACCTCGAGGACGACAACGACCTGCTGGACCGAGACGTGACGAACTGGGTGCTCTGGGCCGCCGTGACACAGACATCCACGGCCCCCGAGGCGCCCGCCTTCGCTTGCCGTGACCGCATCTTCTCCGTCGACCATCTCCTGCAGTTCCTTAACGATGTCCGCACCTCGCTCAACAACATCGACCCGGTGCCCACCATCTACTTCATCGTTGCCGTCTCGTACAAGGGCCGCTATCGCAACTCGGACGTCTCTGAGATGAACAACATGATGCTGGCGGCGCCGTTGCACACCACTCTCAGCTTCTTTACCAACATGGTGAAGAGAAACGGGGCGGGGGCCAACCAGGCGCCTAGCTCCATCGGCGACGAGGACGAAGACGACGGCGAGTCCATCCATGACACGGCCAGCAGCGTCGGTGCGTTCGAGGCGGCCAATGGTGGTGGTGGTGGTGGTACGGATGCCCCTGTGAGCAACTGGTCTTATAGCATAGATTCGTCCGAGGGCGGCGGCGTCACCTTCACCGGAAACCCTGTGCCCTTCCGCACCGGCGTCGACTCCAACGGCGACACCATCTTCCTCGGATACGAGTACGACCCCTTTTATGGTATGTCCAGAGTCCCGGCTCAGTCGGAGAACGTCGTCGTCGACGAAGAAGCCGTTCTAGCCTCGTCTTCGTCCTCGTCGTCCACCTCGGAGCACGCCCCCACACCGCCTCCCCCATCCATCCTCCAAACTCTCGACACCAACGCCTCAAAGGGTGACGCTGTCGAGGGCGACCTGCACGCCCTGCTCCCCGAGGCCCAGTCCCCCGAGCAGGCCGCCTGGGAGCAGTGTTGCCGGCTGCTGTGCATCGACCCGGAAGCGCACAAGGACGCACAGGCACGGTCTGTCAAGATTCCTGGCACCGACAACATGTGGGTCAAGCCCAGCCAGCTGTGGACGGCGTACTGGATGCTGACGAGCCGGATGGACCGCGGTCTCTGTGGCGGTGTTCTCGCCGATGTGATGGGCACCGGAAAGACGTACGTTTGCCTCGTGGTCTGTCTCTTGCGGGCGTACATTGGCTACAACCGCGCCGAGGTCGAGCGGGAGTGGCAGCTGCGAGAGCACGAGGCCAAGAAGGGCGGTGCCAGCGGCGGCAATGTCGCGCCCAAGCAGCATCTGCCGCGCAACGAGGCCGGCCACGCGAGTGTGGCCTGCACCTGTGGCAACGCCATGGGCATCGAGTGCTACGCCAACCCGGGCGGCATCACACGCCAGATCGCCGACAGTTTCTCGCGTGGCGCCTCGCTGATTCTTGCGCCGCAGACCGTCCTCGACAACTGGGTCAAGACAGTCAAGCACGTCCGCCTGCAGCACAAGTTCTTTGAGCCGGTCGTTTTCCACAGCAAGATGTCCAACGAGGACGTCACCATGGCGCCCGCGCCGCGTCTCAAGCAGAAGCTGCAGATGAGCGTGCGCCCGCAGGCACATGTTAGCAGCGACGGCCTTTTTTCGCAGAGCTGGGAGCCCAATGTCCTGGACGTCGTCCACGATTACCAGCCTAGCATCGCCAAGGACGCCTACCCGGAGCGCTTCATCTTCCTAGCCACGCACATGCCTGAGAAGCTGACCGAGTTCTTCCAGCTGCCTGTGCCACTCCGCCGCAAGGCCGGTGCCGGCACGCGAGGGCGCAAGACTGTCTACGGCTGCCCCGTCGGCATCCAGCTTGTGGACGAGTTTCACAAGGCCAAAGACGATGTGATTGCGCTGGCCCTGCAGCACAAGCACCTTCAGAGCGGGGGCGGCGGCAGCGGCGGCGGTGACAGCGCGACCGACAACTTTGACTTCTGGGCCATCACCGGTACGCCCCTGCCGGCCAAGCTCACAGACCTCGAGGCAGTCACCAACATTCTGCAGCGCCTTCCGCAGTGGGATGAACCGACCAGCCCTCACCACGGCAGCCGTGTTGCCGCTCTGCGCGAGCTGCAGGTGGCGTACGAAAAGGCGGTCGCGGAGGACGGCACTCCCGAACAGGCGGCGGACTTCCGCCGGCGTGCCGAGCGCTTCTTCCAGACCGGCATCATCAAGCGCCACACGGAGACGTCCATGTTCTTCGGCCAGCGCATCTTCAACCTGCAGGATGTGACGGCGCAAGTCGTCGTCCACGTCACGCCAGCGCCCCTGCGCGAGGACGTGAGCAAGGTAGTGGCCCGCGTCGCCGTCAAGATCCGGGAGTCGATGGCCGATGGCCCGTCGGCGGACGTCAACGCGGCCAACTGGGAGCAGGCCGTCCGGTCCAGCTCACTCTTCAACAACATGATGGACCTCGAGATCCTCGCCACGTTCCCCGGCGCCGCACCGCTCATGCTTGCCGACCCCCCCGTCCTTGACTTTGGCCTTGCCGCCATCCGCGCCGAGATCCGCAAGGCCAAGAACCACGATGTGACCAAGGTCGAACTCTTCCACACGCACCTCGACGCCATCATTCACGGCAGCCCGCACTTGCAGTCCATCTTGGCGACTCTTGACGAGATGGAGACCGACCGCTCGAAGCGACGCGCGCTGCCGACACCTGTCGCCGCCGACGCCGCCAACCGGTCGGTGCTCGCCAAGAAGAAGGCCGACCTGTCCGTCAAGAAGCTCGTCGTCTTGTGCCCGCGCATGGCCGAGGCCGTCTTCGTGTTCCTGGCGCTGCGCAAGCTCCGCCCCGAGTTCAACCCCGTCTTTCTGCACGCCGACCTCAAGCTCTCGGAGCGCACGGCGCTGCTGCAGGACTTCAACCGCCTCGACGCGCCCACGCCCGCCGGTGTTCACCACACAGCACGCATCCTCGTGGGCACGTTCCGCGACGCCGGCACGGGCAACGATCTCACGGTCGCCAACTACCAGATCCTGACGGGCCCGCTGCGTCTGCGCAGCCAGCAAGACCAGGCCTTTGGCCGCACGAACCGCGAGGGCCAGACGCTGCCATTGCACCACCGGCTGCTGGTGACAGAAGACAGCCCCGTGGACCGCATCGTCGTGGTGACCCAGGCGCGTCGGCACATTGTCAGCGACCCGTTCGCCATGGACGAGGAGCTGGAGCTGGCGGACGTCGATCAGGAGGAGCAGTAAGGCGTGGGTTTTATGTAGCCATCTTGTACTCTGTGTATTTTGATTCTGTTTGTTGCCCCTTTTTGCTTTTGGGGCTGCTGTGGCGTGCGGCACTTGCCCTAAAATAAGCAATAGACCAAGGCTCTTTCCCCAATTTGATTTTCGCAGGCTTTGGTGTTCCTTGTGCCTTCCAAATAAACATCGCATTTATTACGTCGTAAATAAAACAATCGCCCCTGCCTTAATATATCTTGTCGCTGAACAATGTCTCGATAGTGCCTGCCACATTGCCCACTGTAAATCCACAGCGCGCCTGCGACTGCCTCTTACGACGTGCCTAGACCATTCCCGGCCCACTCCTGCCTGTTCACCGCCCGATCTCGCCCAGCACTGTTGGCATGCCCACCCATCGTGCCTTCCACCTTTGAGGCTCCTTCCACGCATTCCTCGGAATCCAACCCTATGCCCTCCACTGTGAGACATTGAAAGCCATGACTCGAGACGCCCTGCAGCTTAGACCATTGACCAATGACTGGCCGAGCATATGCGAACAAATGCGAGCTAGTGCTGTGAGCACTATATCACGAGAGCCTGTAGCCCGTCTCCCCCGTCTATTCCAGCCGGCCAGGCCCACGGTGCTTAGTCCGAGCAGACTAGCGGGCTTTAGTCACTTGTTCGCTCCTTCCGTTGCGAGCAAGGCCCAGATTTTGCCAGGGCCGAAGATAGCCACTACTCGAGCGTACTGGGTCCTTCCTGCCCTTTGTGATGAATGGTCTCGACGGCGACCGTTCCTAATTTCTATTTCCATTTCCTTTCATGTTTTGATCTTTGCCCTTTCGCCTTCTTCTGTACCCTTTCCTTCATGTTTAAGCAACGTCTCTTGTACTCATCGCGACCGGCCGGACACCGCCAACCGTCGCACGAACCGGTTTCTCGTACAATTTTCGCACGTTCCGTTTTCCCACCCTCTCCCCGCCTTGTCGCCCACCGGACCGTCCAATCCGTTTGCGAGCAGCCGCCGCAGTCGACCAAAGAAAGCAACAGGACGTGATCGGGCGCTTTCGCCATTGGCCGATGAGAAAAAGGTGCAGCCAGGAGGGAGGATAGACTTGACCAAGACGCGGCGGCCAGCAAAGAGCAAAGAGGCGCGGCAAGCTGCAGACAATCGCTTTCGGCAACCTTTGCCGAACGAGCGAGAGCGATTCCACCTCGTCTCGGCTTGGATCCTGTCGTCCTCAAACAAATACACATAGCGGCTTCCGGTCAACGACGAGCAGAGACGCTTTCCGATTCATTGCATTTTGTCAGCCACTAGGTCACTTCGACAAAGACTGCCAAACCCCGACAAACGGAACATAACACTCCAACCATCCCAAAACGCAACCGTGCAGGGGTGCAGGAGCCATGGATCGGGCAACCAACGCGGGCAGTGGCACCCGCCAATCAAAGCGGTTGCAGCTTGTGCACAGCAGCTCGGGCAGCGACGACGGCAGTGGGAGTGGCAGCGACAGCGAAATCGAACGCGGCAGCGAATATGGCCAAAAACGACAGCCACCATCACACACACCGCCGTCGCGACAGACACGGCAAGCGTCCGATCATCAAACACAGCAGACGCAACACACACCGCAAAAGACGCAAAAATCACACGAACAGCAGCAGCAGCAGCAGCAGCAGCAGCAACCTCACAAGACCACGTCTTCCGCTGGCGCGCCACACACCCGAGCCAAGGCACCGAAGCACGTCGTAGGCGGCGGCGGTAGCACTGCACGGTTACACCCTCGTGTGCCGTCCTCCAAAGCGCTGCACAAGACGGTGCACCATCACCATCACCACGCCGCCTCGACCAAACTGCAGCAGCAGCAGCAACAGCTTCAGCAACTCCAGCAATTCCAACAATTTCAGGCACAGCTCCAACAGCAGCAGCAAGCCCATCATCGCCGCAGATCGTCCGCATCGCCCCCGACGACACCCGCCGACTACGCCGCGCGATTTCCCTTTGCCACCGCCCCACCTCCGATTGACCCGACCGCCCAGCACCAGCGGCCCCAGCCGCAGCGCCGTGCTACGGCAACAACTGAGAGCAGCCTGAAACGGAGCGCTAACTCGGCGTCAACGTCCTCGCTGGTGCGTCGCAACAAGTCGGCGTCGAGCCTTCTCAAACGCAACCGCTCCCACGCCGACGTCGCGAAACGGACGAGCCACGGAGGCACGCGGTCAACTGCGAGCGCCACCATCAAGCGCACCAACTCGAACCCGGCTGTGAACAGCGGATTGCAGCCACTCTCATCCGCCGGCAAGAAAAAGTCCACCGTCGGCGCCGGCGGAGGCCAGGTGCACTTTGAGATTGGCAGCCCCGACGCCCAGGACCAGGAAGACGAGTGGGTCGATGCTGGTTCGTCCAACTTGAGCGGGTCGCGCAAGAACAGCTATAGACACGAGGATTCGCCAAAGTCGCACGAGAGTGCGAGCCAGGCAGCACAGGACAAGTCCAAAGAAGAAGACGGCAGTGAAAGCGAAGGTGGGAGCGAGAGTGAGCAGGAGGCAGACGTCAATCCCACAAAACAGCAGCAGCAGCAACAGCAGCAGCAGCAACAACTCAAGCTGCCCATAAGATCTGCCAGTGGATCGCAACAACAGCAACAGCAGCAGCACACGGCCAAGAACAACCAAGCCGAAGCGCACTCTTCCTCTTCGGCATCTTCGGTGGCATCGACTCATCTCCGAACCAGCTCGTCGACCACTCGTCTTCTTCTCCCCCGCACACCGCCCCGACGCGCGCCACCCCAGATGTCGACCGAGACCGTTTCGGCAATGCGTAACATGCCGTCGTCGTCGCCCGACTCGAGTCCCTCTAGGCGACTGCACCACCGCCACCAGCAGAGCCTACCCGGCGGAAGCGGCGACCGTGACGCCATGACATCTCGATTCATCACGACAGGAAGCCACGAGGCAGCGGCTGGTACAGCAGGCGGCGATTCCTACTACACCACGTCATCGTCCCGGCCCAGTACAGGACGGCAACTTGCCGACGACAGAAATAACGCCAGCTCCTCATCGGGCGCGCCATCCTCCTTAAATCCAACCGCATCAAAATCGCACCCGCGCCGAACACGGTCCATCGGTGGCGACGCAATGCAGCAGCAGAAGCAGCAGCTGACAGACGACGAGGACTATTCGAGCGCCATCAGTGGAGGTGATGTGCGCAAGATGACGTCTGCAGCCTCGTCCACGGGCGGCCCAGTAGGCACGCATGCTCGACGGACACGGGCGCCCCACTGCCCCTCCTGCCGAGCTCAGCCGCACCCAGCAAAAGCTCAACCTGGAGCGGGCCAGCTCCAACATTGATCGTGGTAGCCGCCAGCACGCTGTACCTGTTGCTGGCTCGCTTGTTGGCGCAGGCGAGTTTGGCATGCACGATCCGCGTATTGGCAAGCTGATGGAGAGGACTGGTATGGAGTACTACATGATCCGTCGCTACCAGAATCCCGTCACCCGCAGTCTCGGTCGTCTGACAGACCGCTTGGGCGGCGACAGAAACTGGCGCATCCCGGCTGCCAATGGTGGCATCACCCGTACGTCCACGGGCTTGTCAGAGGCCAACGGACCACCTGCTGCACCCGGTCACAGAGCCACCCACTCGGCTGCTGGCCTCAGCCAAAGCTTCCGGGAACGCGACATCCGGCGTGGCGTCCTCCAGTCAGCTGCCGCTGCCGCAGCAGCAGCTGGCTCTGGTGCGTACGGCCCAAGCGGCGCCGCGCCACGGTCAGCCAAGCCGTATATTCTCAACGGCAATGGTACCGGCAGCGGCAGTGGAAGCAGTGCTGCCGGCGACCCCGCCCTGCAACAACAACGTCTCAGCGGAGCCAGCCTCGTAGAGGGCGGTGACGAAGACAGCACGGCCTCGATCCTGCGCAACCTGTGGGACAAGAATCTGTATCTCGGCACAAGCCAGGACTAGGAATCTGTCGACAACGAGTGCACCTTTTTGTATGCCAAGCCAGGGAATGCTGCCTAGGCTTTTCGGACGAGCGGGCTTCTTGTCTCATTTTGTCTCTTTTTTTCGTGATCTTGTCATCACCTATTTTATTTCATGGCCGCTGTTTTTGTTTTTCCCATCAACGAATTGTCATTTCTAATCTCAGAAGCTCATTTGCAGCTCGTTTTTTCTTCCCTTTTTTTCGGCTTTGCGTTGATTTCATACTCAGTAGCTTCGAGCTCAATTAAGGCAGGCATCAAACAGTCTGCAGAGCAAAAACAGACAAATGAACCTACTTTCTTTGATATGTATAGCGATTGCAATGTCGCCCTCACGACTTAGACTACAACTGTTAGCCTCGTCAATGACGTAGCGCAATTGATATATTGATCGTACCTGCCTTTCTTTGCTGGGAAACAGCTTTTGCTGCTTCCTGCTTCATTTGCTTCTTTTCACGCCAGTTCGCACCTGCCAATGTGAGTGCACATGCTTGATTCGGCCGCACCTGCCCTTCCCGTCCATGCCCGTGCATGAAACGTAACCCCTCAAACCAGAAGGAAGTCGCCAACACTTGCCGATTCTCCTTTTTACGACGACGTTCTATTTTCTCCTCATTTCTAAACGATGCCCTTTTGCGTCTTCCAACATAAGCCCTCAATCTCCATCGCCTTTTTCTGATCGAAACAATTTCCATCCGCCAGCCCACCATGGCCTCCGCCGCCCTTCTTGGGCTCACAAACTACAACAGCCCGCTGCTTCGCAATGCCGTCCCCTGCGCCCTGGCCTCCCTTGTGGTGCAATACGCTGTCGGCCTGCCGTCCACCTTTCTAGTCAACCCGCCCTCGGAACGCTTCTACGATCTGACCGGCGCACTCACCAACGTCGCTGTCGTTGTCTTGAGCCTCTACCTCCCGCGGTGGCGCGCCGAGGCCCAGCTGGCGATGGCGAGCCCCGGCGCTGCCCTCACTCTCGAGCCACCGCACTGGCGACAGGCCGCACTCTCTGGCGCCGTCGCCCTCTGGGCCGCCCGACGTACGTCTCATTGTTGATGCCGGTGCGCTCGCAACGCTTGTTCCCTGGACCAGTTTTGCTAACAAACACAGTCGGTACCTACCTCTTCCGCCGCATCCTGCGCGAGGGCAAAGACTCTCGCTTTGATGCCATGCGCACAAAGCCCGCCAAGCTCCTCTTTGCCTGGACGGCCCAGGCCTTGTGGGTTGTACTCTGCCAGTCTCCCGTCACCGCCGTCAATGCCGTGGGAGCGCCCGTGGTGGCGGCGTCGGCAGCCGGACCAGCACATTCGTCGTCGGTCCTGCCAAACAACGTCCTTTGGTCCGACGTGGCCGGGTTCGGTTTGTTTGCATTCGGCCTCGTCTTTGAATCCATTGCCGACTATCAAAAGTCCAGCTGGGCCGCGGCGAAGCACGCCAAACAGCACGACGAAGTGTTTATGGGCCGCGGCCTGTTCTCCGTGAGGTGAGTACGTGTTTTCCAACGGGCGATCGCTGGCATCCGAAACTCACTATGAAACTCTTTCTCGACAGCCGGTATCCTCATTATTTCGGCGAGACGACGCTGTGGACGGGCCTGGCCGTGGCGGCTGCCGGCGTGCTCACGCGTGCGCCTGTTCGCGCGGCTCTCGGCGACATTGGTGTGGCCACCGCGCTCTCTGTTGCGGCCATCAGCCCGGCCTTTACTGCGTTTGTGCTGCTCAAGCTGAGCGGCGTGCCATTGAGTGAGCCCAAGTACGACAGGAAGTACGGCAAGCGTGCCGACTACCAAAAGTGGAAGCGGGACACGCCCAAATTCTTCCCGAAACTGTTTTGAAGGCGTACAATAGTATTCTTGGCGGATGTGGCCTGCTGCAAATTGTCGTATGGCGCATATTTACATGTTGTTTACTGATTCAATTGTGTTGACGGAGTTGGTCAAAGTCTATTCGATTAAGCAAAACGTTGTACAAAATGATGTGTCGTGTGTCCCGATACATTTTTTTATTTTGCTCGTTGCTGTCATTAAACGCAGCGTGGTGGAAATAGCCTCCTTTTGGGTTCGTGCCAACAACAGTTTTCCATTTAAGCCGCCTCCTCATCCGTGACCAGCTTGATAATCTTGCCAATGGCAATGGTTTGACCCTGGTCTGGTTAGCTGGGGTTCGCAGTGGTTCGCAATATCTATGAGACACTGACATGGGGCTTGACATACCTGGTCACGAAGCGTGAACCGACCCATCTGCGGGTAGTCTTCGAAGCGCTCCACGCACACGGAGCCGGCGCCACCCGTCACTGTTAGACGGGCAATGATGCTGTCGCCCCGAATCGCGTGCGACGGCGGCAGCTTGCTCTTGCGGCCTGTGCCCTTTTGCAGCTTGTGCAGCAGCGCCGAGAACGTCACCTCCTCGATCGCCGAGTGCACGTGCAGCACACAGTTGTAGCCGGCCGTCAGAATCGACTTGAGCTCCAGAATGCGCACCTGCGCCTCAAAGGTCTTGACGTTGTGCACCAGCCGCTTGGGCGAGCACAGTACAAAGCCCGGCAGAATGTCCTCCTCCTCGATGCCGCGCAGCCGCAGGCGGACCTGGTCGCCGCACTGCGCAATCGACATCTCGTCCTCGGTCTCGCCGTAGACGGCCGTGATGTCCACCTGGTTCTTGTTGGGCATCATGGTCAGGGTCATGCCCTTCTTGACCACACCGGCCTCGATCTTGCCCTCAATCACGGTACCCATGTCGCGGTACTTGGCACTGATGGCCATCATGAAGGGCGCGTTGACCTTGCGCTCGAGCGTCTTCATGTTGTCCAGGTACTCCAGCAGAGAGGGCCCGTCGTACCACGGCGCGACGCCGGCGGGGATGCGGTCCTTGATGTTGGTCGTCTGCTGCGCGGCGATGGGCATGAAGAACACGTCCGTCTTCAGGTTGTAGCCCGTGCCCTTGAGGAACTGCGACAGCTTGGTCGTGCACTCCTTGTAGCGCTCGTGCGACCACTCGACCGTGGGGTCGTCCATCTTGTTGATGACCACAATCAGCTTGTTGACACCCTGCGTCTTGGCCAGCATGGCGTGCTCGCGCGTCTGGCCGCCCTTCTCGAAGCCCGTCTCGTACTCGCCCTTGCGCGCCGAGATGACGAGGATGCCGACGTCCGCCTGGGACGCGCCGCCGATCATGTTGGGCACGTACGTTTTGTGGCCGGGCGCGTCCAGGATGCTGTAGCGGCGCTTCTCCGTCTCGAAGAAACCGCGACCCACCTCGACCGTCTTGCCCTTGGACCGCTCCTCGTTGGTCAGATCCAAGGCCCAGGACAGGTACCACGTCTCACGGCCCATTTCCTTGGCCTCGCGCTTGTACTTGTCCATTGTGCGCTGGTCGACCATGCCGGTGGCGTACAGGATCGAGCCGCCCAGCGTCGACTTGCCAGCATCAACGTGGCCGATGAAGATGATGTTGACGTGCTCCTTTCCGTAGATCTCCTTGAGGGTGTCCTCGTCGACGTCAGCTGCCTGCTCCTTTTGCACGGCATCGACATCGCGCGTGACCTTGGCGCCCGCGGGCGCCCGTGACGGGCTTGAGCGGCCGGACGACGGTGTCGGCGACGTGGTGCCGCTGGCCGAGCTCTGTGTCGTTGTGCCGGTCTTCTCTATGGCCTTGGCGGCAGTCGTCTTGGCACCAGCCTCCGCAGCCGCCGCGCCCGTGCCAGCAGAAGCGCCAGCCACAGCGGACGCGGCCACATCCTCCTTCTTCGGGGCCTCGTCCTTGTTCAGCTCCTCCTTGGATTCCTCGTTCTTGGCCTCTTCCTTCTTCTCCTCCTTGGGTGCAGCCGGGACACCGATGCTCAGGACCTTGGCGACCTTGGGCTTCGCATCGCCACCAATGCTCAGAACCTTGGCGCCGATGGGCTCGGAGGCATTCGGCAGAGACACCACAGGTGCCGCTGCCGCAGCCCCAGCAGCACCAGGTGCCGGCGATACGCCTGCCGGGGCAGCAGCGTCGGTCGGTCGCTTCGCAATCGTTGGGGCACCGCGGTTGTTGTTGCTGTTATTGTTGTTGAATTGGGCACCACCGCGACCCTGCTGGTAGCCGCCGCGCTGGTATTGGCCTGCCAAGCAGTTGTTAGTATCGAATCTCAGTGGTTCACAACATGGTCTAGAAAATCTCTTTTTTGGTTTGTCTCCGCTCGTCTTCGTTGCACATACCGTAGCCTTGCTGCTGCTGGTTGTTGTACCCCTGGTTGCCGTAGACGGCAGAGTAACCCTGGTTGGCGTATTGGTCGTAGTTTTGCTGCTGGCCCTGGTTGCCATACTGCTGGTAGCCACCGTATCCCTGGCCGTAGTACTGCTGCTGCTGCTGGTACTGGGGAACAAAGTTGTTGCCGTACGGTTGGCCCGGATTGAACGACTGAGCGCCGGGCTGGAAACTCGCGGCGCCGGGCTGGAAACCGCCCCGGCCGCCGCGCCCGGCACCACCGCCCCCACGGCCACCACCACCCAGGTTCATCTGCTGTTGTGTCTGGCGCGCCAGGTTGTCGTCCTGGGCCGACGGGTCGTCTTCCCACGAGTTGAGGTGCGACATGTTGATATGAGGTTCGGCGAGAGAGGATTTGTTGTTTTTGAGATGGTGTTCAGTTGAAACGGGGGCCGGCCGCGACGCAAGCGGCCTTGCTGGTTTATATAGCGAGATGCCGCGTGGCGCAGCAAAACTGTCAGGTCTCAATAAGGTCGTCGACGTGTGACGGTGCGACAAGACACAAATTAAAATACTTCGGGCCTGAAATGTCAGGAGACTCGTTGATGCCCGGTGACTCAACGGTACAGTTCTCGGACGGCAGGAGGAAGACAGAAACTCTTCCGGTAGATGCTGAAATTGATCTACCCTATAGTATCGAAACGATCAAGAGAACGGATGTGGTTGGTGGTTGAGAAACAGGTTGTCCTGGCCGTTCTAGGATGTAGGAGAAAGGGAGACAATGGCTTCGATTTGGCTGTTGGCTCCATTTCCCTCTCGGTGCTTGATTTTTTTCAATATTATTTTTTCTGCCTCCTTCTTAGTTTTTGGGCCTTTTGCCCCGCCATGGCTCTTTCCCGCGCGGCGTTAGTGCATTCGAAACATGGACAGACTGGGAAGGCGGAACCTGGTCCTAAATGCGGGCAGAAGTTTCATCACGTGAGCTATATTGAGATTTTGGTGCACAGTGCGCTCCCATGGTACAAATACGTCATTATTTGCGTTGGCAGCGCTAGTGGCACAGTAGTGGGGCAGCTCTGTCAGGCTCAATTTCGCTCTGAGGGGCAGGCCACTGCTTCGTCCGTCTGTCGTCCAGAAGCCGCACGGTGTAGGTACTTGCCTATTTTGCATTTCACTTACACGAGCCAATGTAAGAAGCAACGATGTGTGTCATTCCTTCCTGTTTGGGCCAGAAAGACTATACGCCTTTCTGAATATAATTTTTTTTTAAAAAAATAAAATGTTTCTTTTGGTTCTTCTTCCTTTTTTTTTTTCAATACGCACTCTCTCGAAATCTTCCCTGTCAATCTTCTTACAGCATGGCTAGCAAGACGCAATGGACGAACTCCTCGATCGACTCGGCGTCCAGGCTGTCAACTACGCGATGCGATGCGGCATTGCCCTCACTTCGACATTTGCAATGAAACAATGTTCTCGATTATTAAGAACTGTCGACAACAAGCCGCAGCACATGGAGTTTGAGGCCCTCCAGAAAGAGCTCGACAGCAAAATCAAGGTAAGTACCGCGTCCGCGAGGCACCGACATGTGGATTTCTAACAGACTGGTAGATTGTCTCTCCGGCTTTGGATCTCATTGAGTTCAAGTATGCTTCCTACCCAATACTCTCATTGTTCAGCTGTCGTCACTTCTTTTAAACTGACTCACCTTGCAGATCCGGTCGTGGCAATGTGTTCCTAGGCAGTGCAGCTGCACTGGCCAAAGCGCTGCATCGAGACATCGTCGCCTTGGGGAATCGTGTCGCGAAAGCTGCCGCTACTGAAGAGCATGTTCAAGAACAGAGTTATTTTCTTTCACAAAATACGGAAGAACGCAACGTCGAGCTCCTTGCGATTATCCGCGACATCAAGAACCTTCTTGTCCACATCGACAGCGATGTCCCCCTCTTGCAGCTCGCCATCACAGCCTCTGGAGAGAGCCTCTCGGCATCGCTTCCTCCGAGCATATCCCCGTCTCGACTTTTGCAGGCGAGCATGTGTCTTGTGATTGGAGACACACAGTTTTCCGGTGACCCCTGCCGTGCGATGCAAATTGGGCCGTCGTTTACACTGTCACTTTACATGCTCTTTCTCGGCCACTCCACAGTACGGAACTTTCCCAACACTGCGAGAAATGAAGCAACCGACGACGATCCCCCAAGGGACGATCAGAAAAAAAGTCCATACGGCATTGGCCCCGGTGAGCGGAAGCCTATCTGGCAGGAAGTCCTGCATAAAGCGCGCGTCCGCATCTGCCGGACGCCACCTGGTGTGGGGTTCCACCATAAACTAGGTTTTGTTCCCGCGGCCAACGAGACTGCGCAGGATGTACTAAATACTGGCAATGCAATTTGTGGCAAGGCTTCCCAGGCCGGAGAGACTGGCGAAGAAGACGAGTATTCGTACTTCCTGGAGATCATCGAAGACCTCGATGACGGCCGCGCTCACGACGATAACCGGACCGGTGCAACGTACGATGGTGTACCGATGGCTGGTGAGAAAGAGGCCATCTCCATACGTCAAATCTCGAAGCTGTTTTACACAGACTCAGGGCGGATCCTCAACATTGGCAACCAAAACAATTTCGAAAACTCGTCTGTCTTGTTGCTCAAACGTGACCTGACGGCCTCTACACCATCGAATGCAATGGCGAATATACAGCCAGACAAAGAGTCTGGGGACGAGGGAAAGCCAGACAATGAAGACGAGCAAAGGGACGTCGACCGCCAAATACGGGAGGAAAGCAAACGCGAGGCTGGGAAGCTTGCGGCTCACGCTGACAACCACCAAAATCATGGTCGCCAGATGTTCCCAAGCTACTTGGACCCCGAGTGGCTTGCACTAGAGGTCTTTGTTGAAGATGAGAATGACCAACGTGAGACAAACACAGACGACAGCGACGTAGACGATGAACACGATGACGAGAGTGGCAGTGACAACAGCAATCATGAAGATAACGCAGTCCTCACTCCCCCCACAAGCAGGAAGCGCAAATCCGTCGATACGCATTTGGCACAGCAATTGCACAACATGTCTGTCTCGAGAACAGCAGAAGTCGTGCATCAGCAGTCCACAGATGGCGAAGGGACCTACAGAAACAACAATGTCCCTGCATTAGAGACCGCTCCCCCACGTGTTCCTCAGTCTCCATATGGATCCGTCACTTCCTCGTTGTCTCTCCTGGAGATGCTGATCCGCCTCGCAAGTCTCCAGCAGTTCCAGCAGACATCGCATCTCGCCATCCCCGACCATATCCTCACCTTCTTCCTCGAGGAGACGTCGGCGACAGGGCTGCGAGGCGAGGCGCGGTTGCAGGCAAAACAGGCTGCCGAGCAGAGGATGGGATTCGACCCTTTCACAGACTCGCCGACAAAGACGTAAAGGCCCAGAACTCAATGAGATGAGATGTTGTCTGAGGAAGAACGCGTTGGGCTGCAATGATTACGACGTCGCGAAATTGGGCTGCACGAATCCAAGGCCGCGATAAAACGGCACTTCAACTCCACACGGCGTCCGGAGACAAGAGTCGAGCAAGGCGCGAATGTACACAATACCATAACCGGCGCTACTACCATGCCAAATGAACAGGGGCACGGCATGAGGCAGACGGCAGCCCAGGAGGAATCGGCGGAAATTGAGCGGTCGTGTTGGCTGGACTTTTTGCGGTGGTGAGGAAAGATATGTACTGCCGTTAGACTTTTACTAAGACTAATTTCTTATCCGCACAAATGGAACATACGTGAAGTAAACAACGGCCGCCCAGGTAGCAGGTACTTGCCGTCAGCGCACAGTGTACCTTATCTTATCACCTGTGGCGTTGCTCAGCAGCCACCTGTTTATGACACCAACACCAGCCAATCACAATGCGTGACGCAAGAAGCGCCTGCCAACCCTGCCGCCGCGCCTTAGCGGGAAGGCGCAAACGCCAAACAGGCGTCCGTTCAGTGGCCACTTGCCTCCAAAGGAAAACCACTTTACACGACGACTTGCTTTCTGAGACGAGGCATCCAAACATCCCTCCCACCCTCACCACACTCCAAGAGGCACATCACGACCATCCTGCATGTCCACCGCCTCGGGCATCCGTTTCTTCAACTGCTACCTGTGACGTCCACAGGTCAATGCGGTGAGTTGTTGCGCACTGTGCTCACTTTGTCGAACCGCTGTTGTTCCTTTATGCTCTCCCTTTGTTATTTTTGTTGTCTGTCATTTGCTTCATATTTGGGGCGGCCACTCGCGCTCGATTCCCCTTTTGGTTTGTTGTTAGAAGTGACTTTCTGACTTGTCGATTTGTCTATAAATTAGGACCAAGCCCGGTGCTGGTTTTGGTTTCCAGCCCAAGGACACGCTCGCTGCAACCGACTCTCCCTCTTTCCACAAGCACAAGGAGCACCTCAGCAGGCCTACGTCTCCACGCAATCCTTCTTCACAGGCGTTGCAAAAGGCATCTCCTTCTGTCAAGAGCCGAGACGGGCTCGCCCAGAGCTTCTGCAACCTCATCCGGTCCACGACCGCCGTCCCTCCTACATCTACCATGTCTCGCTCGCGAAGCGCTTCCTTCTCCGACGATGATCTGATGATCGTCAGCTCGCAAGCCATGAGCTCGCAGGGCTATGGGTCGCAGGGCTATGGCTCGCAGGACTATCCTTCCCAAGAGCTGGGCGGCGATCTGATGTCGTCGCCTCTGCAGCCCATCCGGGCACCTAACGATGTTATTGACATTACGAGCAGCCCTGTGGCGCCAGCGCTGTCGCAGAGCAAGGGAAGCAACTCTACTGCGCCGACAACACAACAACCAGTGTTTGGCCGACCGACACAGATGTCGATGCCGACCTCGTCTTCCTCCAAGCCGACCATGTCGTCGGCGGCGGCTGCCGCTGCAGCTCTGGTCCAGCGCCGCCAGAACGCGCTCTTCAACGCCAACCAGAAGCGCCCAGAACACCACCGACCGCAGCGTCTTACTGGGCCGCTCGCACCGAAGCAGCCCGACCGCAAGGCTGCGCCACGGCCCGTGTTCAGCTCCATGGCCTCGACCCAGGACAATGGTGGCACGTCCTACCCTGTCAGCTCCTTCTACAGCAATACCACTACGAACAAGACAATTGTCAAACAGAGCATACCGGCATCGATGCATGCCGATGTGGATTTTTATACCGACCCTGACAAGGCCACGGCCGACCTGAAAGCCCTCCTCGAGGGTGGCATGGAGGACGACGAGGACGACGAGGACGAGGTGCCGGCGGCCGCTGCGCCGCCGAAAGAAACTGCCAAAATCACAGCGATTGGGGCAGCGCCAGAAAAGGCAAAGAAGGAGCCGGAGAATAAAAAGGACAGGCAGGAGCCCAAGGGGTACGACGACGGCACAGTGGACGGCATCAAGGTGAAGCTGCTTCCGCACCAGGTGGAAGGCGTCAAGTGGATGCGCGGCCGAGAGCTGGGTCCCGTCAAGCGTGGTCGCGTGCCCAAGGGCGGTATTCTGGCCGATGACATGGGTCTCGGCAAGACACTGCAGGCCATTTCGCTGATATTGACGAATACCAAGCCCACAAAGGACATGCCGGGCTGGAAGAAGCACTACGAGAAAATTACCGGTGGCACACTGGTCGTCGCGCCGCTTGCTCTGATCCGGCAATGGGAGGCCGAGATCAAAGAGAAGGTGTCCCGCGACCCGCCGTTGAGGGTCTGTGTGCATCACGGACCTCAAAGAACGGTCCGTCCTCAAGACCTGGCCAAATTCGATGTTGTCATCACAACGTATCAGATTCTGGTCTCTGAGCACGGCCACAGCAGCAGCGCCCTCCAGAGCGGCTGCTTCGGTCTCCACTGGTACCGTATCATCCTCGACGAAGCGCACAGCATCAAGAATCGCAACGCCAAGATGACCAAGGCCTGCTGTGCCATGCCGGCCGAGTTTCGCTGGTGCTTGACGGGCACGCCCATGCAAAACAACCTCGACGAGCTGCAGAGCCTGGTCAACTTCCTTCGCATCACACCCTACGACAACCTCACCGAGTGGCGCAATCACATTGACGTGCCTCTCAAAAACGGCCGCGGCTATCTTGCCATCCGGCGCCTGCACAGTCTCCTTCGGTGCTTTATGAAGCGGCGCACAAAAGACATCCTTAAGGAGGAGGGTGCCTTGGTGCCCGGCGGCAAGAAGGCCATCGACGCCGCCGCCGCTGCTTCTGCTGCTGTTGCTGCTGCAGAAGAGAAGGGTCTCAAGAATGGCACACAGACACCTGGTACAAGCGACACGTCAACGTCCACCCCGGGTGCTGCAAGAGTTCCCACCACCCCCAGCTTCAAGATTACGGAGCGCAATGTGGTCAGCGTCTTGGCCGAATTCTCGCCGTCGGAGCGCGCGTTTTACGATCGGCTGGAGGAGCGCGCGGACAAGAGTCTTGAGAAAATGATGCAGGGCAAGTCCATGAGCTACGCGAACGCGCTCGTCCTGCTACTCCGCCTGCGGCAGGCATGCAACCACCCTGACCTGCTCACATTCAAGTTGGAGAAGGACAAGGATGCCATGTCCACCGACTCCATGCCTGCATCACAAAAGTCTGCTACTACCGACAGCGACATTGATGCGCTCGCCGATGTGTTTGGTGGCCTCGGCATCCAAGCAAAGAAGTGCGAGGTGTGCATGACGGACCTGACCAAGGACGAGCAGCGGGACTGCGAAGTGGCTGGCGACGGCATGGTGTGCACAAAATGCATTGAGGACCGCGGCATTGTTTCAGGCAAACCGACAACGAAGAAGGAGAAAAAAGACAGGAAGTCGAAGAAGCATCGCAAAGACAAGAAGAGCAACAAGGACAAGAGCCAAAGGCACAAGGCGAAGAAACAGGCGGCAGCTGCTGCCGATGCCGATGCCGAAGATAACGACAGCATTCTTCCCGCGTCACGGAGAGCAGCCACCCGGAAGCCGCGAAACCGCCGTGCCATTGTCGACAGCGACGACGAAGAGGAGGAGGACGGCAGCTGGCTTGTGGGAGAAGAAGAACGCGGGGCCCTGCGTCTGGGCAAGGCCGGGGGCGAGGAGGACGAGAACGCCGAGGGCGGCGGCGACTGGATCAACAGCGACGACTCCATCCACGAGTCGGAAGACGAGGACAAGGATGCAAGCCGTATGAGCAGCTTCATCGAAGACGACGAAATGGAAGACAACCCAGCTGCCAGCAAGGGCCAAAAGAAACACGCCAAAAAGAAGATCCTCCGCGTCGGGGGCCAGGACTGGGACAGCGACGAAAGCGGCGACGAAGACTTTGAGTCGTTTGCGCAGTCCGCCGGCAGTGATACCGAGTCGGCGGACGAATCGGGTGACGAATCGGGTGGTGACATGGGAGATGATTCAGAGTCGGAGTCTGGTTCGGATGAATCGTTGGACGGCGGAAACGAGGAAGACTCGTTCATCTCCACGTCGGAGCTACTGTCCAATGTCGATGACGAGTCGCTTCTTGGAAGACGGTCGGCGGCTTCACGCAAGACAAAATCCGGCCTCGGCTCTTCGTCCCATTCGGACACAGTGCTTGTCTCGGCCAAGATCCGCAAGATGCTGTCGATTCTCAAGAAGGAGGCGGGCGAACACAAGTTCATCGTCTTCTCGCAATTCACGTCCATGCTCAGCCTCGTGAGCCCCTTCTTGGTGCGCGCCGGCCTCGGCCACGTCCGCTACGAGGGCAGCATGCGCAACGACGCCCGCGAGGCCAGCCTCAACAGTCTGCGCCACGACCCCAACGTGCGCGTCCTACTCTGCAGTCTCAAGTGCGGCGCCCTCGGCCTCAACTTGACGGCCGCCACGCGCGTCATCATCCTCGAGCCGTTCTGGAACCCCTTTGTCGAGGAACAGGCCATTGACCGCGTGCACCGTTTGACACAGACCGTCGACGTCACCGTCTACAAGCTGACCGTCGAAGACACGGTCGAAGAGCGCATCTTGGCCCTGCAGGACAAGAAGCGGCTGCTGGCGGCCCAGGCGCTCGAGGCTGGCACGGCGGGTGGCAAGGGCAAGAAGGATGCCCTCAAGCTGGGCCTCAAAGAGCTCATGGACCTCTTCAAGCACGATTCTCGCGGTCCCCCCGGCATGTCCAACGGCGGCCACAATGGAGAACCGGGCAGCGTAGAAGCCGCATTCGTCGACCAGTTTGCGGCCCTGGGTTCGGGTCTGCTACGGCGCCGCGAGGGTGGCAACGGCGGGTCCAGAGCTGGCGGCGGGGCGTCGCAAGACTCGGCATACAGCCGGCGGTGGTAGACGGGATTTTGCCGAAGTCGGTGTCATGAGAGAGGGTTTTTGTAATTTGCATTTTGCAATTTATTTGCGACATATTTTACGACTGGGTTAGTATATTTTGGTCATTGTTACACGCTATATGATTCTAGACATGAACGCAACGGTAGTTGTATCAGGAATTCACATCCATGTCCATTGATATTAAATTCTTACACATTTCCGACTCGACGCTAGAAAACCCGCGGTCGTTATAGAGAGGGAGCATTACAACGCAGAAAATCAAAACATAACAATGAGATAAATACATGAAACAAAAAGCAAGTGCATGCATGGGTTGGTAGGTTGGTAGATACAAGGTGGGTACGAAAGCAAAAAGTAGATGAAATCGCGAAACAGCACCAAATGGAATGCCACACTCCCATTCCAGCCCTCTCCTACAACCCTCTTTCATTTGACTGCCCTAGTAACCTACCCGACCCGTCTGCCGGTAGTAATCGTCCACGGGCGGACTGCTACCACCCTGGTGCGCGGCGGCAGAAGCGTCTGTAGGGGGCACATACGGCCGGTACTGCTGCTGCTGCTCGAGCGGCGGCGAGCCGGGCCCGGCACCTGGCGCGGACGGCCCACTGGTGCTCAGGCGGCTCGGCAGGCTCTGGCGGGAGTCGTAGTGCCCAGCACCGCCACCACCATGAGCGGGCGGCGGAGACGCGGTGGGCGGCGCGGGTGCCGGAGCCGAGGACTGGGGCGGTGCCGGTGCAGAAGACGGGTAGCCGTTGTAGGCCTGGTACGAAGGGTTGGGAGGCGCCGACGTGTTGCTGTTCGTTTCAGCCGGCGGGGGTCCGGTAGGAAGACCAACGACAGACGGCGGCCCATACTGGTCCGGCGAGTAAACAGACGAAGAGTACGTGTGAGCAGAAGTGGGCTGGGTAGGTTGGAGGGGGGGCATGTTAACGGCATTGGGGTTGTGCGCGGCAATGGGCGAGTCGTAGGCCGATGTGGAAAGCTCCTGCGGGTTGCCGTACGTGCTGTGCGGGCCATTGCCGCCACTGGGCCCCGAGACAGAGCCACCCTGCTGCTGTTGCGGCTGCGGCTGATGCTGTGGTTGCTGTTGTTGCTGCTGTTGCTGGTGGGGGTTGTAGGGAAGGTAGGTGTTGTCGGCGGCCGGACGCTGGGCAGGGGCAATGTTCGTCTGGAGCGGGGAGGGCTGCTTGAGCGGCTCACCGCTGTGACCACTGCCGGACGGGATGCGCTGGCCCTGCTGGTGGCCCTGGGGCGGGTATGGCACTTGCTGCTGATGCTGGGGAGGCGGTTGTTGTTGCTGATGTTGCTGCTGCTGCTGCTGTTGCTGCTGTTGCTGCGGCGGCGGCTGCTGCGGTTGCGCTGGCGGGATTTCGGCGTTGGCTAGGTAAAAGGCAGACGGTGCACCGGCGTTCGGACGATGTGTGTTCGGCGAAGGCGACTGGGGATACTGCTGCTGTTGCTGGTCTATAGTCAGTTAGTATATAAATTTACAACGAAGCAACAGAGAAAAAGATCCATGGGCGCAGTGTGAACCTGCACAGTTGCTGGCATAAAATGCATGGACGGGTTCATGGGTATAAAAGATCATTATAAGAGGTAGACCGAAGAAAAGACCTGTGAATGGTTGGGCATGCCTTTTTCTCCTGCTGTCTCGCCCTCCAAGAGTGCAAATTATGCTGCCTTTGTACAGTGTCCTGGCCACTTTGATGCACGCTTTGTTTTCTAGTATAAAGACTGACCCTGACGTAGTGGCCCGGGAGTGTAGTATCTCTGGTCTGGTTGCGGCTGCGACTGCTGCTGCTGCAGTTGCTGCTGTGGTGGCGCCTGCTGGCCCACGCCTGGCGCCGCATAGCCTGCATGGGGCGCGATTTGGGATGTGCCCGAACCGGCGGGGCCGCCTGGGGCGATGGGGTAGCCCTGGGGGCTGATGTGCTGGTGCATGGCGTATTGCTGGTAGTTGGGCTGGGGCGGGTGGGACATGGACGATTCGAGCAGGGCCTCGTAATCGCGGCGGGCCTTGATGAACTTTTCGTTGAGCTGGGTGAAGTCGTCTGGCGTTGTCAGTGTCAACATAAACGGATTAAATGGCATATAACGCAAAGGGCCAAACATTGGCTATGTAGCTGTGTACGCACCCTTCTTCTGTGAGTATTTCTCGATAAGCTTAATCAGCTTCGGCCGAATGGCGAGGGTCTGGTGATAGAGTTTCTGTAGTGTGTCAGTACGAAGCGGCTTTCGATGGGTGAGGAAGGGAAAGTAAAAGAGCGTAGAAGGGGGAGAGGGGGGGGGAAGGTTCCTACTGAAATCTCGTCCGTGTCCTCCTCCCGCGGCGCGGTATTGGAGACGCTCAGCAGGGTCAACAGCTTCTCGACGTTCTTAATCTCGGCAAACACCTCGGCCTCCATCTGGGCCTCGCGCTGCAGCTCGTCGGGTGTCGGGTCTGCCAGGATTTCAACGTAGTTGAGTGGGAAAATGCCGGTGCGGCCCTTGAGCGAGCCACGCCACCAGTCGCGGTAGACGGACTCGAGCACGGCGATAACATCGCCCTTCTTGAAGTCGAGCTCGTCCTGTTCGGACGCGGCAAAATCAAAGAGTGCACGCACGCGGGACACGGTCGCCGCCGTCGTGCCTTGCGTGGGGGCGGCTGCGGCTGCCGGCCCTCCAGAGCCGCCCGCAGTAGCTGCGCTGTAGGCCGAGGGGCCAGCAGCGCCCGACGGACCCGCACCAGCTGCTCCACCAGCCCCGCTGCCGCCGGGGGCGGCCTGTTTCTTGCTCGCCTCGTCCTCAAGCGACAGCTTGAGGGCCCGCTGCAGGTCCTCCTCTTCGCGCTGGCGATCCTGCTCGGTCAGGCTGTTCTTCTGGGGCGCGGAGGGCGGGGGTTGCAGCTGGGGTTGCGCGTGCTGCAGGCGGCTGTAGGCGTCTTGCATGATGCCGAGGTCGGTGTTGCTGCGGAACATGTCGGACCACTCCTTCATACGCTCCAAGATCTTGAGGCGGACGAGGTTGTGGGTATTGCGGTCGTTGGCGAGCTTGAGCAGGGCGTCGGTAAAGGCGCGCGAGGCGAGTTCGCGGTGCAGGGGCGTCCCGCAGTTCTGGCTCAGCGCGTTGGCAAGCTCGAGCGTGTAGAGCTGGACGTTGGCGTTACGGTGGGCGAGGCGCTTGATGAGGCTCTGGACGGCCTCTTTGGGGCCGTTGACGGGGTCGCTCGAGACACGGTCACACACTTCGAGGATGGCGGACCAGTCCTCGGAGGTGGCGTTTTCGTCAGTGGCCTTGCCTGTGGGGGGGGGAAACAGCTGAGTTAGACCAGAAGAACGACACATGGCAAACGACGAAGACAGACGACAGACGACATACCGACGGCCTCGTCAAAGGGGCCGGGAGCGGCTGCGCGAAACATGGTGGCGGACACGCAGAAGAAACCAGGCGGGAGTGATGCTTTGGGCGGGGAGGCAGAATGGAAAGCAATGACGATAAAGACGGTGTGGTTGGTGTCCGAAATCAGGACGGGTCGCGGCCGAAGAGAGAGAAGGATACCACAGAAAACGAAGTCGACGTGAGCTTGGCGAAAAAGAGTCGACTGCCAATCAGGCAGCAGAGCTTCACTTCAGATGCGATGATGATGGTTTGGGGGCTGTAGCTTGCAAATGGAGGGTGTCACGAACGTAGGCGGGTCCCGTTTGAAAAGCGCGCGACCAGGACAGAGTGAAGGCTGGTACAGACGTTTGGCAGGCTGTCAAAAACAAAGAAGAGAAATGATTGCTTTGAGAGAGTGTGGGTGAAGCTGCTTCGACGAATGCTGTCAGGGGGGAGGGGGTAAAAGGGAAGGTCGGGAGCAGGAGGTGGAGTTGCAGCTGAGCGGGCAGGTGCGAGAGGCAAAGAAGAAGGCACGAGCAGGCGCAGGTTAGGCCCAGTTGGGCAATGATGGATGCCCACCCGCCACTACGAGGAAACTACGACGTAAGGTGGAAAGAAGTGCGTGCCTTGTGGTGCTATTTTAGAGCGCTGTTACGTCGTCCACAAGGCAGTCGCAACAGGGCCGCAGGGCCGGGAAGGGTGAGAGGGTGAGGCTGTCCAGTCACAGTGCGTGGTGACTATTGTGGGGCCGCTCAAACAGGAAACACCTGTAATTACTGGGTGGTTGTTACCTTGTGTCGCAGCTCGAGCAGGATGGAAACTGCGACTGGAGAGGCCAGAGACCTGAAGATGCAGAAAAAGGAAAGAAAGAACGCGATTGATAAGTTTATTAAGAAACGCAAAGTATCGACATTCGAGACGGTTTTACCCTCTCCTTCAAGAGCCATCCAGCAACGTCAAGTATCTGTCATCCACTCCATACTTTGTTCTTGGCCAAGCCACTCTCGAATGTGGCAGAGCCGAGCCTTCCTCGGATAATCCGCCACATCGCAACCCACCTCCGCCAACGATCCTGACGTAGTCGTCGCCTCTTGAATAGTGGACTAGGGTGGTGAAGGGGTAGGGAGGATGTGGAGGGGACCGACTCTGAGAGCCATTGTGAGCGGCTTGAAAGGGCCTGCAAGGCTGGGAGATTATCTATTTTTTTTCGGCGCTCTTTCCTACTGCCCTGGTGCCTCAGTCTACCGCTGCTGATTGCGTAGGCCCGTCGACGCATTCTGTTGGCAATAAGACAGGCTGCCTCCAAAAGATGTTGAAGCAGAGTGGTGTTCTAAAACGGGCCAACAAGCGTACAAACGACTCAAATGCAACCATATGATCGGCTCCCTCTCGATAATACCATCTCCTGGACATCTCGTCATTTATTTTAGCCTGTAAGATCGACTTGTGCTGGAATCAGTGGCTATTGCAAAGGCTCTTCAATGCCACTGGTTTACTACCTACTAGAAAAGGTAAACGAGACAAGCAGAGGCTGTCTGTACAGATGGGGAGCCATGGACAGAAAAAAAGATTCAAGGCATAAGTCAAGAATACTCAAAAATGAATTAAAGTAATAAATATGACATTAAAAGATATATAAGTCACGCCGATTTTCCTAAATTTTGTTTATCATGTCATTATTTCAACAAAGTCACAGTAACGTTTTGGAAAAATAAAGAACAAAAAAAAAATACCAGCTACGCTTTGGCTACAGAAATACCGCAGAAATACATAGTAATCAAGCAGAAAAGCAATGAAGTGAAGCCTTTCGAAAAATGTATGAATTCAAAGCTGTCTTGTTGGAGCACAGCACAGCTCTCTCGAAACAGCAGGAGCCAATGACGGACGGCGGGAAAATCTTTGTTGCGACCCACCTTCCTCTGGGGAAGCTTTGCGCTGTCGTGCCGTGCTTGCCCCATTTGAACGAACGCGGACTACGGCTGGAGCTCGCCTGCCATTGACTTGCGCGATCACGTCCAGATTGAAGCCAGTTATCCCACGACGAACCTCGACACCAACCCTCGTCTGCGTCCTCTACCCGCCGTCGTCTCGTTTTGGCCAACCTCCATCCCCAATCTTCGCCTCTGTCTGCCCACCGGCCCAACAGCACCCCACCATGGCCGACGTCGACATGGAAATCGACGACGTCGCGCCGCCGGCGTCGGGCGTCAACAACGGCAACGACAACAGCAACGACAACAGCAACGACAACAGCAACGACAACGGCGAGGTCGCCGCCGACGTCCCGCGGAGTGCCGACATGCAGACCCATGCCAAGGCCACGGCCGTCCGGTCCATCGAGGGCTGGATCATTGTCGTGACCAACGTCCACGAAGAGGCCGACGAGGAGGCCCTGCACGACATGTTTTCCGAGTTTGGCGAGATCAAGAATATGCACCTCAACCTCGACCGTCGCAGCGGCTATGTCAAGGTAGGCCCCGACCCTGTTTTTCTTTACTTGTTTTGGTTGGCGCCGCTCGCTCACACCCGCCAGGGCTACTGCTTAATCGAATACCCGACCCTCAAGGAGGCGCGTGCGGCCATTGACGGCGCGCACCAGACGAAGCTGCTGGACCAGACGGTGCAGGTGGACTTTGCGTTTGTGCGTCCGCCGCCGGCCAAGGCGCGCAACGATCGTGACCGTGACCGTGACCGCGACCGTGGAGGCCGCAACGACCGGACCCGCGAACGCAACGACAGACACGACAGACACGACGGCGGTGACCGCGACGGCGCACGGGATCGGAGTCCAAGCGAGGAACACAGACGCGGCCCACCGGGTGGCCGGACAGGCCGCAGCCGGAGTAGGAGTCCAGGGGCCGAGGCTGGCGCGTGAGAAAGGGTAAGCGAGATGAGGATCAGGGTCGGTACCATCATACTATGAGACGAAAAGCGGAAGGACGGCTGGCGTTTTGATTTAATGTTTTATTTTTCTTTCATCTTTATTTTATATACAAAATCACCGGCGGCAGGGCGCTTCTCGGTATCGAAAGGACATTTTCTTTGTATCCGTCACTGGGAACAGAAACACTTCGCGTAGGCGTATATTGGCCAGGATTATGATGAAAAATATAATGTAATGCTTTGAGAAAGTGGACAAGTACAGAAGCTATCGAAGAACTATTCTATATGGGGCTCGCCCAAGGCCTCACGAAAGAGCTTGAGGGCCGCGGGTGCTTCCTCCATGAAATTTCCCAAAACAACGACGCTGCCAATATGCAAGAAGATAACAGACAAGGAACAAGTGAAACTAAAAAAAAGTGTAATGGCAGTCTTAACACAATGCTGAAAGGAAAAGAATACGGAAGAAAGATGACAAGACGTAGCCTAACCAGTCCACCAGCCATCTGCTTAGTGGGCATACTGGTTTTCGGCACCACCATATGTCTCTGGCGGAACTTGCTGCATTTGCTGCATCTGTGGTGCCTGTTGTATGGGCTGTATAGGTTGCACTGGCTGCAATGGCTCGACCTGCTGCATGGGCTGTGGCGGTGGCAGGGACAGAGACGGTTTCCGACGGCCGATGCTGAGAAGCCGCTTGATTCCCGTTGGCGCCGTAGCCACCTTCCCACCACCCATCGCCCCGGCCACAGGGTCGCTCTCGTACGTATACCACAGCCTGGGCACAACCAGTCGGTACGGCACTGTGATGCCCGACGGGTCCTTGGGGTTGACCTCGACGTTGAGCCGGATGTCCAGGCCGCCTTCGAGGTTGACCTCGTACTTCTCGGCTTTCTTCATCTGCCGGGCCGTTAGGCCCGTCGGTGTGCGGTAGAACGGTCGCGTCGGTGGTCCCATGCTGCCGCCCATGCTGCCGTCGGCGGCATCTGACAACGTCGGCAGTGTGCCGCCCGAGGCTTGCGGGGCCCGCTGCTGCTGCTGATGAGGTGCAAAACCTGTCGCAGCCATATCGGGAGCCGTCTGGCTGCGTCCGAGACCGGCTGGGCGCCTCTTGACTGAAAAGTAGCTCTCGTCGCCGTTTTCGTACTCGTCGTACGCTTGACTGGCCAGGTCAGACGGTGAGCCCGCACCGCCGCGGATGCGAGCCTGCTGCGGTTGACCACCCGACGCCGGCGCACCGGGCACATCGTCCTCACTGCTAATCGTACTCTGGTCATCATCTGGGTACTGGCCAGGGCGTACACCCCTACGACGAGGCTGGTCGTATCCGCGGCCATGGCCCTGGCCGTGGTTGTGGCCTTGCCCGTTTGCGTAGTTGACAGGGATCTTGCCCGGAATAGGTGGCGCACCCGGCTGCTGCTGCTGCTGCTGCTGCTGTTGCTGATGCTGTGGTGGTGGTGGGTACCGTTGCTGCTGATAGGCCTGTTGGTTCGCCGCCTGCTCGTACTGTTGTTGCGGCAGCACCTCCTCACTGTCTGGGCCCCAGCTGCCGTTGATACCGCCATCATCTGGTCTTTTTTGGCGACGGTTGCTGAGACGGCGGAACAAGTTGGAAGGATCCGCGCGTGCCAGGGAGTACGATCTGCGTACACCGTTGTCAGGCACAACGGGACGCTGCACAGAATCCACGGACTGCCTGCCGCGGCTGAACCGCCGGAGAAGACTCCCGCCACCACCGGATATAGGGGGCCGCGACAGATCGCCGTTGTTGCCGCTGCTGCCATTGTAAGGGTTGCGACGGAACGAGACGGTCCGCATGAAAAAGTTTCCGCGGCTGCTCGTCGACATGTCGTCCGCTGCAAAATTGAGGTTCGAGTGCTGGGACGCTGGATCTGGATTGTCTCCCGGAGCATAGGGCTGGATCGAACACCAGTTGCGGTGGGGCAGCAGGGTCTTGTTATTTCTTGGCTTGCCGTCCACACCGTGACCAAAGAGCCGAATCATGTCCTCGTCCGTCTCCTTGTCAAAGTGGTGGACCTTGTTGCGCTTGTTAAGGATGTCGGCCATGATGTCTGGAGGCGGCGTGTTCGCAATTGCAGACGAGATAACGTTGGGCATGTACCGGAAATCCTTGTGCTTCGCCAGGCCCTGCTTGGAATTCGAGTAGAACTGTCCAATGGCTGCCAAATGGACGTCGCCACTGTACAAGGAGACATGGTTAGTATTTTCATGTTGGGTTTGTTTTAGCACGGGCGCATCGAAAGGGAAAACTCACCTGAGAATGGTTATGCGCACCGAGCGGTCAGCGGCCAGGTCTTGTAAATCTTCAATGACAACCTTCCGCTCGTCCTTGTGGTTCTTGGCCGTCCAGTGGTCGTCAAGGTCATCAAGGATCTCCACACCACCGTCAAAATGGTTGAGGAAGTTGCCGAGGATGCCCGTCTTGCCAAGCAGCTTGACGGGCTCCATAAGCCGAGACGTCAGGATGTTCTCCAGCCAGACAAGGCGTGGATAGGCAATTGGAATGCCGAGCTGGACGAGAAGATGCTCGGTCTGGCCCTTTTCGATCTCCTTGTAACACCGGTCGATGATGCGCTTCCACGTGTCTTCACGAAAAACCTCCTCTCGCGTCCGCTCCGTGCGGCAGTCGACGGCCAGGAGTGCCACCTTCGCGCCAAGATGCATAAAGGTACTGCGGCTGACCTCGTTGATGTAGGGGCCAGGGGTCTGGCCCAGAATCCAGCTCGGTTCCGACTCCTCCGTCTCCCCAATCACGCTCTGGTGTTGGAACAGCATATAGTACTTGAAGGCGACGTTGCCCAATCCAGCGAAGACGGGAGACTGCATAAAGTGTTGCGGGTAGGAGCCAAATCCATCAATAATGTCATGGTCATCGTACATGTTGACCATGGGAATTTGCGAGTTGGCCAAGGAGAAGAGGCCCTGGGAGAACCACATGGCGTAGCGGTTGAGGTAGAACTCCTCCATCTCCTCCTGCATTTCAGGGGTAAATGGCATGTTGCCCTTTGTGAGAGGGTTGCGGATGGTGAGCCACTCCTGGAAGATTGTCGTTTGGTTCATGACGGCGTCGTTGTAGAGCTGATCGCCACCGCCAATCATCACATGGAAGGGCTGCGTCTGGTGGTTGTTGAGGACGTCGCGCCACATCGGATCCGGGCCGCTAAATTCGTCCGGCTTGACACTGAGGCTGAAGCCGTTGCACGAGTAGAACATAATGTGCATCGATTGGCCCTTGGCCGGCACCCAGAAGCCGGTGGCCGGGCCACGATTTATGCGGTACGCGATCCGCTGCTGCTTGTCCAGCAGTTCAACCTCAATGTTAAATCGCCAGAATGTCACGCCGCGCTCGAAATGCAGCCGGAAACCGCGAACGTCCTTGAATTTGCCCGCCTTTTCTCCGTCCAGGTCGGTCTTTTTCAGGCGAGCCGCAAACGAGCCAGGCAAGTCGACGGCCTGGCCTGCAGGTCCTACGCCGTCCACAGGGCTCTTTGTCTTTTCAAACAAACCTTCGTCGGACTCGTCGCGGGACAGATCCTTGGCTTGCTCAAGGTGCTCGACAGGACGCACGTAAAGAGTCTCACCGTTGCGGCCAAGTTTGGGATGCCCAACGAGGGGATCCACGTACTCGGGCGACAGAGTACCTTCGACCTCGCTCGGTGGCGGCGGCAGCACGTCAAGGGGCTGTGAAAACAAGCGGAGTGTCGGGGCGATTTCGTACGACGAGTCGGTGTCGCGAGTGACGATCATGACGCTGCCGCGCCAGAACTCGCGCTCGGCTATCTGGTTGCCACTGCCATTGCGGGCGCCCCGCGAGGGAGAGCGCTCTTTGCGCATACCGCAGTATCGTAGCAATGGTCCACAGACAAGGTGTAGAGGCGGCTTGAAGCGTGATGGGCCGTTGGCCTCGTCATATTCCCCGTCAAATGCCTCACCCTTCCTAGGACGGGGCGGTGCAGTGGAGGCGCTGCCGCGGCGCTTGCTCTTCTCCCACCAAGCCTTGTCTCGGTCAGCAGACGGCGAGGTCTTGTCGGACAAGTCCAGGAGACCGGCTGCGAGGGTACCGACGGTCCCTTGTTTCCACTCGTCTAGGTAGTTCGGCGGGTTGTATTTGCCCTGGCCTGGTTGCAGGTTGTTACGTGCGCGGTAGACCATGTTAGAAAAGCGGTGGTGGTGGGGGTCGTCAAAGTGCCTGTCGCCACGAGTAGGTAGACTTGGCTCTGGCTCGTTGTCAATCACGTCCTGGCCGAATCGAGCCGTCCTCTTCAATGGTGCGTCGGCTGAGGATTCAGCAGCAGCGGCAGACGCAGCGCCTGTTGCACCCGCGACACCCGCGACACTAGCGGCGACTGCGTCCTCTGCAGCATTATTGTTGACGCTGTTGTCGATAGGGCTATTGTACGAACCATCAAAGGTTCCGTTCGCTGCTTGCAGGACAGCGCGGTTCGGATAGGAGCTATTTGCAGGTGTTTTCCGCTGGCTTGGTGATTTCACTAGTTTTGCTGGCTGTTGCGGGGGAAACTGGTATGTCGAGGCCTGCGGAGCCGGCAGTGGCTCTTGTTGAGAACGACCTCGTAAAAGGGCCGCATCAAGGTCGGTGGGCATGGTTCTCGGGATGGCTTCAGCAGGAACTCCGCCTACCGGGGGTTGCGCGTTGTGCGGCTGGGCCGCCGGGTACGCATTCTGTGGCTGGGTATACCGCAAGTCGCTGGGCGGTTCCTTCTGCAGCTTTCCGGAGCGTGCGCTGTTTTGTCTGTGGGGAACTGCATTGTTTGGAACCACGGCTTGGGTGGGAAGGGTAGGCGACTGCTCATCAGCCTGGGGCAGTCTGACATTGCCATGCGCGGCTCGTTCGCGGAAACTGAGATTGCGCTGGGGGATACCCGACCCGGACGGAACAATGCGTGTCTGCTGTGGAAGATTGCGAGGCTTCTCTGAGTCGGGAGGCGGCGGCGGAGGTGTGCCATCGGTGTCATACTGAGGCGGGATGCCTCTCTGCGCAGAGGCGGCGGCGGCGGCAGCAATTGGCAGGTAACTCTCCTCAACGGGGCTCATCTCGGGCTGCAGAAGAGGTCGAGGTTCTCCATCAATGGCCGGCGGTGCACGGTCCCGGAAGCGGACCTGCTGTTGCTGTGGTTGATGCAGTGGCTGTTGCTGCGGCTGTTGCTGCTGTGGTATGGGCTGCGGCTGTGGCTGTTGTTGACGCGCGGGCTGATGCGGTCGCGCTTGCGATCTCGCCTGCTGGGCGTATTGTTGACTGGATTGCTGCCGCTGTTGTTGAGACCCTGCCTCTGCACGACGGCGCTCCTTCTCTCGAGCCGCTTGTTCAGCAGCAGCGACGCGTGCGCGTTTTTCTTCTTTTGTAATGCTGTCGAGCGTTAGCTCAAGCTTTTGGAGGGGCGAGCGGACTTCGTCGAACTTTTTCTGGGTGCGGTCGGCCGGGCTGCCGCCGGTGGACACGCGACGCCGTGGCGGCGCAGTTCCGCTGGCATCTTGTGGTGCTGCAAAGCCGAGGCCAAGGCCAGTCGCGGTGCCTGACTGCGACCGCCGTGGTGTTGTTGCTGAGGCTGGTTGCGGCCTGGTGCCACCGCTAACCGACGGGCGCCGGCGCGTTCCTGGGCTGGCGTTGGGATCGACGGGATTGCGGGAGCGGCCGTCGCCAGTGCTGCGTGGTGCAGGTGCCGCGCCTGGCGCAGACACGTAGTATTGGCCGGGTCCATCGACGGCCATTGCGTCGACGGAGAGCGACACCTCGGGCCGCTGCATGCTTCGGGGCGTATGGGGCGACCTGGAGGACACTGGCGGGTAGGCAGAACTAGCGACGGCGTAGCCAGGCGGTCGGTAGCTCAGGGGCGGGCCACGCGGGACGTCGGGTGCCGCTGGAGGAGGATCGACACCCTCGTCGAGGTCGTCAAGCGGCTCCTGGCTGCCACGGAACGTGTCGTCGTAGCCGACGTCCTCGCTCTGGTCGCGACTGTCGTGGCGTCTGTTGTTCCGGTCAAAGCTGCGATCGGCGCTGTCTTGCGACAGCTGTCGCTGGTGTCGCTGGCTCGGGCGGTTGAGGCTGGCGGCGGCGGCGGCAGCAGCAGCGCCGTTGTAGGGAAATGAAGGAGGGCGCGGAGCGAGGCCTTGGTCGGGAAATTGGGGGCTGGTGGGCGACGCGAACGGGCTCATTGTGGACTCGGTCGGCGCATCGGTATTTGTAGTCTGTGCTGTCTGGATGGACGCGCGGTTCGGCTTGGGCTGCAGCTGAGCCATCGTGTCCAATGACGGGAGACGAGCGTGGCCCTGTGTTTGGGTCTGACCGTCGGGAGCTGTCAGGCCTGAAGGAGCGGCAGACGGGCCATTCCTTGCCTGACCAGCGGCTGCTTCTGCTGCTTCTGCTTCTGCTGCTTTTGCATCTCTTGCTTTTTGAACGTCTCTTGCGTCTGGCAAGTTTCCCCAGTACGGCCCCATGTCTTGGGTTTTTGGTTAAGCGGTCGAGGGACGAGGCAAAAGTATGGAACAGTTACAGAGGAGCAGGGAGAGGATTACGGCACTGCGAATCAGAGACCTGCAAGGGAGGGGGGACACTGCGGGAGTCAGCTGCTTTGGGCCGCAGATCCTGAGGTGCAGGCGTCGATGCTCGTTTCTTGGTTGTGTCAGGGGATTATGTCGAGTCGAGATGCGATGTTGATTTTGTTTTGCCTCCAGCAGGTGTAGCTATATGGCGGCAAATGAAGGAGGGCCCAGGTAAACTGCCATAACTTGGGCAGGAACGCGAAAGCAGTAACAAGGGAAAGAGCGAGGGCGACGAGACGCGGAAATTAGGAAGGCGCATTTGGATGAAAGCAGAGCGAGTGGGAAACAGCGAGAAAGCCGGACAGCAATAACGAAGCTCTCACAGAAACGCAACAAAAAAAAAAAACAGAGCTGGCAGGAGCAATCGAAAATCGGGAGGTTGAAGACGGCCAGGGGGTGCTTTCTTTCCTTCTTTCCTTCTCTCTCTTTCCTGGGTTTCCACAGTAGCGGCCTCCCAAATCGCGCCTGCCACTTGGTGCATCCCCTGGTCGCAACGACGGCAGCTACGTTCTCTGGTGGAGACGTGCGGAGGCTGGAAAGAGCGATTGGCTTCCTCGAAGCTGGCTGCAGAGCTCCATCGACACCGACGAAAGCTGCACATCCCCTGCTCCTTCCGTCTTCGAGCCTCTTACGCAAACAGAGCGAGACAAGGAGGCGCAACGGGACGGGGCACTGCGTCATACGACGTAAAACAATGTGTCTTTCCGATACGAGAAAATGCCCAGCTTTTGGTGCCCTTGGTAAAAGTTGTTCAACAAGTGCGATTTGCTTGTATGTGAGGTGGTGTGTTGGCTGGCTGGCCCCTCAAACGTCCAAAAGCAAACGGTGTGGCCGGGACCAGCCGAATGACGCCCTAACTGCTTGAGTTAGCGGGCGCAGTCTCGGTATAAACAGTGCTAATACAGGCGGCATTGGAGCCAGTTTGCGGTGACCAACACTGTAAGATATAAAATACGGAGTAGTCCAACAAAGAAACAGAACAGACCGCCAGTTTACGAGATATGCTTCTAGAACACAGCAGACGCGCTTGTATGGTGTCTTATAGCCAAGGATACATAAACATGCCATGCCAGGAGCCGTGCCGGTCATTCTTGACGCTGCCGGACTCGACTTTTCCCACAACCTCCCATTGGCGCCAGAATGGCCCAGAGAAAAGTGTCGCTGGCAGAGTGGCCACGGCTTCTGTTGTTCCCTTCCGTGACGGGCGGACTTGATGCCGTGCCTGTGTGTCGCTGTCGTACTCCGTATAAGGGTCCATCCTTCTCAGACATAGCTAGACTCACTCACCGTCTTTTCCACGCTGGTTCACATTGCGGTATGAACCAAGACGAACAGATGCCGTTTGTCCTGGCTCATCCTCAACAGACACCCATGGCAGGTCCGTCGTTAGCAGTGAGACACTGATTACATGTGGTTTCTCGATTCCTGCTAGTACGATTTCTTCCTGCAGCGGAATGTCGTCATGAACATTCCAGTCTCAAGACACTGTACCAAACTGGCGGATCTCGAGATCTCGCCGGCCCAAATGGAGACAGACAGTGACGATGAGACGCCGTATCTGCCAGTTATTTCTGATTGTCCGCCTCCAGCGACCCAATGGCGCTCCTGGGAATGTACAACGTCCGCCGTACGACTTCTATTTACTAGTACTTACATTTCATCTTTTCCTGCGACATGAATGCGAAACGTCTCGTAGCACTATGGAGGCTCGCTCTCCAATCGAGCGCTGGTACCCAAAGAATCGTTTCCTGTCGCTGGGTTGGCCGGATGACTAAGCAGTGAGACTGCGTACGTCACTGGAAATAATAACAAAGTGGTGCGGCATGCGACCACGTAATTGCTCCGTTGTCTTTTTCGTATGGCTCAGAGACCTGCACGTGCCTACCTGCCGCTGTCTTGCGACGCCTGCCCCCTAATACTCTTCTGATACACCGCTGCAGCCCCTGGGTGGTCACTTCCCTTTTTGGTCCTATTGGGGCAATTCAGCGATAGACAGTGGCACCTGCCCTGCAAAACTCGCCGCAACGCGGCGCACTTGCCTCCCTCGTTACTGCCGCGCCGCAGCACGCCAATGCCCAAACAGCAAGCCCCAAAGAGGCAATTGCCAACCGCATGCAGCAAGGCCACCTCGCCAAAACACAACTCGTTCTCTTCAACGACAAAAAGGGTCGAGCACAAACACGGACGACAGACTCGATACATCCTCCATCCATAACCCCATACGACGTCCCCCCCGGCCACCCAGCGACAAGGGGACTTCTCGACGAGCCAAGGACCGCTTCGAAACACCAAGACCACGAAAACGTCCTCGCCAGGGCCTGCCGCGATCCAGATTCCCCAGACGGCGCCCGCGGAAACGGTTTTGCGTTTCCTTTGTTCTGCTTCTGCCCTTTTTGTCACTGCCTCGCCCGTGCTGTGTTTCTCTGCCTCTTGCATTCCTTTTCGTATCGTTCTTGGCTACTCTTCGCTTCTTGGTTGGGTTTTTGCCGTCTTCCTGCATCTGCTCGACACTAGGACTCTGTACCATTCTTTTGTCCTTCTGTCCTCTGCCTTTTTTTTTTACTTGTTCATCTTTCCTCTTCGTTTTGTTCCCTCAATTTGGTCTGCCTGCATTGCTTTCGGCATCCGTCCAGGACACCTCATCTTTTGTTTTATTGCGTCTCCTCCCTTTGCAGTCTGCCAGGTGTCGGGCCCATCCCTTTCCGCACGAAGCCTGCCCAAGCCGACCACCAAGTCCACTACCAAGAGCTCATCTCCCTGTTTGCTTCAAATCCGTCGTGTCTGCTGGTGCCAGCTCGCGTCGGTCCCAATGAGACTGGATCTCGGGTCTTAATACAGTGTTCTTTTCTTTCGCACCCACGTTGAACTTTGGCGCCGCGTCCATCTTCATCCCTGCCCCTTTCGCCCTTTCGATTGATACACCTCAAACAGGCAGCATCGAATCTCGTGCCCCCGCGATCCGACCGACCTTCTCTCTCGTCTCTCCTTTCTCCCCTCTCCTTTCTCCTCTCTCCCATCTTGCTCCCACCACCACGCCCTTCTCCTCCTTCTTGACACGCCATGAAGCTGTCCGCTGCGCTGCTGGGCCTGGCCGGCCTGGCTTCGGCGGCTTCGTCGTTCCAGTCGGTCCACCGCAACCACGACACAAACGACTACTATGTCCTCCACCTTGACCCCGAAACCTCCCCAGACCAGGTCGCCCTGCACCTCGGCCTGACACACGAAGGCCAGCTCGGCGAGCTCGAAGACCATCACGTCTTTTCTAGCGACAAAACGGAGCACGATGTCGTCAAGCGCGAGTTGACGGAAAGAAAACGCCGGAAGCGGGACCTCCCCGAACTGGCCGACCGCAATGCCCTGGACGGCGTGCTCTTTGCCCAGAAGCAGGCCCTGCGCAAGCCGTGGGAGAAGCGTGTTGTTCCGCCACGGGTTGGCCCGTCGCCCCCCGCACTCCAAGCCAAGGCGGACACAGTCAACCCTGCGGCGTTGGCCAAGCTCAACAAGGTTGCCGACACCCTGGGCATCAAGGACCCCATCTTCAAGGAGCAGTGGCATCTGATCAACACACTGTATCCGGGCCACGACGTCAACGTCACCGACCTCTGGCTGGAGGGCATCACCGGCCAGAATACCACCGTCGCCATTGTGGACGACGGGCTCGACATGGACAGCGACGACCTGAAACCGAACTACTATGCGGCCGGCTCCTACGACTTTAACGACAAGAACCCTGAGCCGCGTCCCAAGCTCTCCGACGACAGGCATGGCACGCGCTGTGCTGGCGAGATCTCGGCCGCCAAGAACGATGTGTGTGGTGTTGGCGTTGCCTATAACTCCAAGATTGCCGGGCTTCGTATCCTCTCCAAGGCCATATCGGATGCCGACGAGGCCGTCGCCCTCAACTACGACATGCAGAACAACCTCATCTACTCCTGCTCCTGGGGCCCGCCGGACGACGGCCGTAGCATGGACGCCCCCGGCATCATCATCCGCCGCGCCATGCTCAACGCGGTCCAGAAGGGCCGTAACGGCCTCGGTTCCATCTACGTATTTGCCAGCGGCAACGGTGCTTCCCAAGAGGACAACTGCAACTTTGACGGCTACACCAACAGCATCTATAGCATCACCGTCGGCGCCATCGACTACCAGGGCAACCACCCCTACTACTCCGAGAAATGCTCTGCCAGCCTGGTTGTTACCTATTCCAGCGGCGGCGGCGAGGCCATCCACACCACCGACGTCGGTACCAATGCCTGCTACAACCAACACGGTGGAACGTCGGCTGCGGCGCCGCTGGCGGCTGGTATCTTCGCGCTCGCCCTGCAGGTTCGGCCTGACCTCACGTGGCGCGACATGCAGTACCTCGTCATGCTCACGGCTGTGCCTGTCAACACCGACGATAAGGACTGGCAGAAGACTTCCATCGGCCGCTACTACAGCCACACCTATGCCTACGGCAAGGTTGATTCGTACGCGCTCGTCGAGATGGCCAAGACATGGAAGAATGTCAAGCCGCAGGCCCGGTACTACAGCCCTTGGGTCCACGTCCACCAGGCGATCCCCCAGGGCGATGTCGGTCTCGCTGTGTCCATTGAAATCACCGAGGACATGCTCGACGAGGTCAATTTTGAGCGCATCGAACACGTCACTGTCACCATGAACGTTGAGCACACCTGCCGCGGTGACCTCAGCGTTGATTTGATCAGCCCCGACAACATTGTCAGCCACCTCTCCGCCACCCGCAAGCATGACAAGGCCACCACAGGTTACGAAGACTGGACCTTCATGAGCGTTGTTCACTGGTACGAATTTTCCGTCCCGCGGGTTTGGGCCTGTCGTTTCTTTTATGGTATTCGACGTTTTGCTAACCAGACAGGGGCGAATTTGGTGTTGGAAAATGGACGCTCGTCGTCAAGGACACCGTTGTCAACGAACACAGCGGCAACCTGACCGACTTCCACCTCAAGCTGTGGGGCGAGTGCATCGATGCCTCCAAGGCCACTCTGCTCCCCATGCCCAAGGAGACCGACGATGACGACCATGATATTACTAGTACCACTACGTTGCAAGCGTCCACTACCACGCTCCCTCCTGGTGGGCAATCTACGGGCAACTCGGTGACCACCAAACCTGGCGACCACCCCGACCGCCCCGTCAAGCCCACGTCGAAGCCCGCGTCAAAGCCCGCGTCACAGCCCACGACGTCAACATCCCAGGGTGCTTCACCGGCCAAGCCGACAGATGGTGCCGGCGACAAGGGCGGCACTGACGTCGAGCACGATACAGCACCCGCCGCCACAACCAGTCAGACATCCTGGCTGCCTGCCTTTATGGCCAACATGTCGACGAAGAAGCAGATTTGGATTTACGGCGCGCTAGGCGCCATTGTTGCCTTTTGTCTGGGTCTGGGCGTGTACCTGTACATGGCCCGCCGCAAGCGGCTCCGGAACGACTCGCGCGATAACTACGAATTCGAGCTGCTCGACGAAGAAGAGGGCGAGGCTCTGAACGGTGGTGGCGGCGGCGGCGGGCTCGGCAGCCACGGCGAGAAGGGATTGGGTGGCCGCAAGGGACGCCGCAAGGCCACGCGCGGCCGGGAGCTGTACGACGCGTTTGCCGATGGGTCCGAGGACGACGACGAGGACGACCTGGAGGGTGATAGCAGCGGGTCTGGTAGCCATGGCCACGGGCACGGTGTCCGGCGTTTCAGTCTGAGCTTGGACGAAGACGACGATGACGACGACAGCTACGACGACGTCGATGCAGGGCGCCAGCGGGCGTACCATGATCGGTCCAGCGAGCACTTGCCCGCAGCGACCACCGACACGACCACCACAGCAGCAGCGCGGCGACAAGTCGCCGATGAAGAGGAGCCGCAGCACCACGTGATTGGCAGTGACTCGGACGAATCAGACGAAGACGGCGATGGTGCCGCAGCGCGGCCTGGCAACAACGCGAGGCTGTTGTGAGGGCACACGATAGAAGACCAAAGACGCCAAACAAAGAACAGGAGCGTGTATGCTTGCTTGATTGTATATTTTTTTTTCTTTTCCTTTTGTGCAGGCATTTCGTTCATAGAGTGTATAATACATATTCAATACCAGTGACCAAAATTCGCAATCGCACACTGCGGTTTTAGGTTCACGTGTATAATTTTGCTTCTTTCCCGTGGATTTATAGTTGTGTTCTTTCGTCTCGCATTTGTAATTTTTTAAGCAAACCTTGGCATGGAAGGATTAAAGGGGGATGTCCTAGTTATGTCGAGAATGAAAGTCCACCCGTAAACGCCAACTACCGATATGACACTCCATGTAACGAGTTCAAGCGCAACGGGAATACAAAACATGAAAGCAGTGCCATAGCCGCACAATTACAGAAGCCCGCATCTTCAAAACACGAAACGATAACGCGCAACATGAAACGTCAACACAAAGGCAGCCTAGACCGCCAGCACGCCGTCCTTTTCCATCTCCCGTACATAGGCCTCCCACACGCCGGCTACGGCATCGTAGTACGCAATGTGCGCATCGGCCAGGCCGCCAAATTGCTTCTTGAACTCGGTGCGCTTGATGCGCTCAAAGTAGGCGACCTCCTTGACGACCTCCTCATCAAACAACTCGCTCGTCTTCTTGGCCCGCTCTACCTCGGTCGTCAGCTCCTCCACACGCAGCTCCAGCTTGCGCTGCCGCTCACGCCGGCTCTGCTCGTGGTCGACGCCGCGGACGTCTTCTAGTTTGCTGCGCAAAAAGCCGCTGGCACCCGCCAGCGCGCCACCGCCGCTGCTCGTGACGTACGAGGCGACACCACCGCCGGCGGACGCAGACCCGCCAGCGTGGGAAGAGCCGGCACCGCCGGCCGCGCCGCCGCCGCCGCCGCCCACGCTGCTCTCGCCCAGGCTGCCACTCCCACCGGCGCCACTGCTGCTGTCCCTCCGCGTGCTGGACCCCCCGCCTGCAGACAGGCCGCTGTGGTAGTAGCCGCCGGACGTCTGGGCCAGATGGTCGCGGTCGGCCGTGTTCTTGTTGAGGTATTCGGTGAGCTGCTCAAAGTCGAGCTGCTTCTGCTCGCGGGCCTTGAGCAGGTTCTTGAGCGAGCCGCTGTAGGCGACCATGTCGCGCAGGCTGCTGAGGTAGTCCTGGTCGGTGATGTCGCGCAGGCCGCGCAGGCCTGCGGCGGTGTCCTCGACGGAGGCGGCAAAGGCGCGCACGGCGTCTTCGACGCCCGGCTCGAGCGTAATGAGTTTCTGGAACTGCTCGGCCAGGTCCTTGAGGTCGGCCTCGAGGTCGGCCTCGCGGCGCACCACGCGGGACACGACCTTTTCGACGTGGGCGAGGTCGTCGTCGAGGCGGTCCGTCTTCTCGCGGACCTCGACGAAGCGGCGGTCGAGGCGGTGGACCTTGGTGAAGACATTGATGAAGCTGTCGGCAAAGGCGTCAAACATGCTGCTGGTCACACCCTGTTCGCTGCCGCCGCTACCCGCGCCGCCGCCGCCTGAGCTGCCGCCGCCAGGCCCGCCGTAGCCCCCACCGGCACCGTAGCCGCTGCCGTCCGCGGACGACACACGCACCGAGTGGCTGCGCATGGTGGCATTCCACTCGCCCGACTCGAGGAAGCTGTGCAGCAGCGGAGCACGGCGCAGGTCTGGATGCAACGACAGGCGGAAGAGGAAGCGCTGCAGGGAGTAGGCGCGGCGGTTGGTGAAGTCGGGGCCAAAGCGGTCGCCGGTGACGCGGACCATGCGCTGCTTGTCCGGGATGGGCGGCACGGCGGTGGCGGGATGGTCCCTGCAGAGGGAGTTGTAGAGGTACAGGAAGTCGGTGAAGCGGCGGCGGACGGACACTGTCGGCTTTTGAAACGTGGGAAAGGTGGACGTTGTCGTGACGAGATAGGAGGTGAAGGGGTTGCTGCCGCCCTCGTTCTCGGTCAGCGGCGAGGAGACGCGGCACTGCAGGATCTCGGGCCCGAGCACCGCGGCATCGTGCTCGTCGTAGTTGATCTCACCAGCGCCTAGGCTTCCGCCGCCCCGGCTGCTGCTGCTGGCTGTCTGTTTCTGTTTCTGCTTCTGTGTCTCCTTCTGTCGCGCATCGCCGCCCGCCAACAGCGGCTGCTCAAAGTCGTCGTCGGCCATCCTCGATCTGCTTACGTTGCTGCTGTTCTTGGTCTTGCTTGCTGAGGCGTCGTATGCAGCGCTGCTGTTGTCGTTGTTGTCGTTGGCGATGACGCCTTCGTCGTCGGTGCGCTGATCGCTGTTCCAGGAGATGTTGGAGAAAGTGTCCTGGTCAATGACGGCCATAGCGCCAGGAGGGTTTTGGTAAAAATAGGAATGTCCGACGTACGGAGTAGATGGCAAGTGCAATCGTACGCTTCAGGGACGACGGGGGAAAATGGAACAACGGGAAAGAGCGCTGTTCACGAGTGGGGAGGTGAAGGGAAGGTGCGATAGCTTGGTTGAGTGGTGGCGGTTTCGGCTAGCTGTGTAGACGGTATCTTAGAGGGGTAAGAGCGGCCTGGCCAGGTTGGTGCTTGTCAGGGAATGGTTGTTAGGGGAGAAGGTGCGAATTGCGGATGTAGGTTCCAAAATTCGGTGCCACCTCACGTTTCGCGTGACAGAATCAGGATGGGAAGGAAGGGACGACAGAGACAGACATCGGGGGACAGAAGCAAGGAAGGCGCAAACCAAGGGAAGACGGAAGGCGCTGGGCGACCGAAGACGAAGCTCGGGCAAGTCGAGCACTATTCAGTAGCACGAGGCAGCCACGGACGGGGCGCCAAAACGGCTGACGTAGTGGCGGGGCGGTTTCTGAATTGCAGTGGCTGGTGAAAGGGGGCTTGTGCGTGCTAGTGAATTTGGGTCGGTGCGTATAGGCAACTTCAACTAGGCTTTGGATGAGACCATATTCTGTATTGGCAGCAAAAACCACGATGAATGTCTCAGTTGTGTCAGTTGCTTACGACACAACACAGCACCAAACCAAACTAAAGAAGAGCATATGGAGTACAACGTGCATGCAATGATAAAGTGGAATTCTATTGTGCATTTTGGCCCTCTTTGTTGTCCAAGGAGCAATGGTGATTCTTCTATCCTGAGCCATCCTCGGTTCATTCGCCAAACCCATGTTGTCCCTGTAAGATCATACCCTTCCATCCTATATAATGCCAGCAATTTTGTGGCGTTTGTTTTATCCCTTTTTTTCGGTTTGTTTGTCTGTTTGTTTGATATCGTACAGAGAGTATGGTAAGCCGGTCGATGGCCGCTCTCGCCCCATTTCGTCCCGCAAGGGAAAGGGGTTGTTAATATGTAGACATGAGAAAAATGACGTAACGAACAAGGAAATAAGAAAAATCGAAACGTCAGATGATGAAGGGAGACGCGAGAAGAGAGAAAACGAAAAGGAAAATTGAAAATAAAATGCATGGCGTGCGTATCAGTTAGTGCAGTTAAGCCTTGTAACAAGTCGAATGTATGTGGAAAAGTGTGGCCGTACAAGGCGAGAAAAGAAAGTATAGAATGCAGAAGCGAAACAGGGCGAGACAACCGACCAGACACCAAGCAACGAACAGTTTACTCGGCCTTCTTTGCGTCCTTGGCCGTGTCGGCCGCCGCGGGCGCCTGCGCCTGGCGGCTCGCGTTGGTCCGATCCTGCTCGGCGTCAATGGCCTCGGTGGCTTGGGCGGTGGTCATGTTGGCATCCGCCTCGGCGTGCAGCTGGCGCTCCTCCTTCTCGTCAATGTCGTCGACGTCGCGGGGCGTGGCAAAGCCCGTCTCCTGGTTCTCTTGGTTCTGCTCGGCCTCGTCCTCAATCAGCTCCTCCTGCTCCTTGAGCACCTCGAGACGCTGCTTGTTGGTGGCGGCGCCCTCGGCGTTGTGGACCTCGAGCTCAATCTCGTGGAAGAGCTCCTCGGGGATCGACGACAGCACGCCCGTCAGCGCCTCGATCTGCGTGTCGACGGCGCTGACGCTGCTGCTGCTGCCGGCCGGCGACGAGGTCGTGGCCGACGATGTCTGGCCGTACATGTAGGCGTTGCTCAGCACGAGCAGCGTCGAGGGCACGCCCTCCTTGAGGCGCAGGTCCAGCCAGGTCTGCAGGTCCTCGCGCAGACGCGCGGGCGACACGCCGTACGACTGGATGCCACGGCTGGCGCAGGCCGTCTGCAGCTCGCCGACGGTCAGGCTGTCCACGCCCTCGTAGCTGATGGCGCGGTCGTCGCGCTTGATCTGGCGCATGCGGTGCCGGATCTGGTAGCGCAGCATCATGTCGGTGCCAAAGGTGTTGAGGTTGAGGTAGCGGCACATGGAGACCAGCTGCGGCCGCGACAGGTTGTCGAGCGTGACGTCGTCCTTGAAGATCTTGCACACCTTGATCACGTCGTCGGCCGTGGGCTTCTCGCCGGTGGCGCGCACCTTGCGGAAGAAGTTGGTGAACTCGGCGCGCTGCGTGGTCGCCGCCTGGATCGGCAGGCCCGTCTCCTTGAGGGTCAGGCGCAGAAAGTCGCTGACCTCCTTGCGCGTGGCACGCAGGAACGAGGCCTTCTTGTCGCGCGACGTCTTGCCCTCGTACGTGCTGGGCAGCAGGTTCGGGAACAGGCGCAGGGCGACGGGCAGCAGCAGCTCGGCAAAGGGCACAATGACGAACACGGAGAAGGGCACGAGGCGGCCCAGGTCCTGCACGGTGCGCTGCAGCTGGCGGTTCTCGCGGCGGGTGAGCTCGTAGCCGGCCGCCATCTTGACGGCCAGGCGCGTGCTGATCTTGACCTCGGTGGCCAGCAGCTTGGTGCCGTCCCAGTAGTGCTGCGCCTCCTTCTTGATCTTCTGGCCGAGCGTCAGCTTCTTCTCCTCCTTCTTGCCCTCCTTGCCCTCGACGTCGACACCGGTCGCGTCGGCGTCCGCAGACGTGGCGGTGACAGCTGTTGGCGTTGAGGCATCGGATGACGACGGAGCGGCAGCCGCTGTGGATGTGGCGTCCTTGGACGACGACGTCTGGGCAGTGCTTGGCGATGCGCTGCTGTCGGTGGACGACTGGGTCTGCGAGGCGTTCGAAGCCTTGGCGGCGGCAGCCTTCTGGCTCTCCTTGGAAAGAGGAATCTTAGCCTTTTCTGGGTCAAAGCCAGGTGGCGGACCGGACGGCGGGCCGCCGGCAGATGTGTGGGTTTCGGTGGACAAGGCGCGCATGGGCACGCAGAGCGCGAAAGCGACGTTGTTGCGGGCGCCGAGGTTCCGCAAATTGTACATTAGGTGCATGGAGGCGGCGCGCATGGCGGTCCGGGGCATGTTGCGGCCTGGACGGGGAGAGGAGAGTCTGTTAATTGGGGCCGCAAAGGGGGAAGAGATTCATAATAATAAAAAAAAGGTACATGCGCAACAAGGACGCAGTGCGACGTACCTCGTCCCAGGAACGGGTTGTTGGCGGCCGTGGCCCGGCGGGCGGCATTGAGAGACACGCTCATGATGGAGCAACGGTTGACCGAAGACGTAGAGCCGGCGATGGGCGCAGATGCTGTGCAAGATGGAAGAGGTCGATGTCGCTATTTTGGACTACAACTGGAAAATGCGCAGATGTCGGGGTCTAGGCGAGGAAGACGCCGGATGGTAGCGGAAGAAAAGGACGTCGACAATGACAAGTATAATGGAATGCACAGAATGTTCGGCAAGGCGTACAGAACGTTGCGATGGCGAGAGGTGTAGGAAGATGAGCTGCTGTTCGGGTGGTGTTTGTCGAGGAACTGAAGTGAAGGCACAACTTTGGCAGAAATCAGACAAGAAGAGGCGGAGGGACAAAGAAGTGAAAAACGGCGTTAGGCAGGAGGACAAAAGGCCTAGAAGGGGCAAGACCCAGCTGGCTCCGGGCGGGTAATAAGCCCCAGGGCGTCCCGTCATGCTCCTGCCTTGTCAACCAATCGGCGCAAGAGTCGTGGGCGCTGAGTAGCTTGTTCCGTTCGAGGGAGAGTCACGTGCAGTCCCACAGTGCGTGGATCTTGCTCTTCTGTGAGTTTCTGTTCTGGTTCCTGTTCCAGAAACTGGGCGAAAAGCGGGTCCGCTGTGAAAGAGGCCATGCGATGTATGTACGAATTACGTACCTCGTGCTGGGGCCGGCCTGGGCCTGCTGGCCAGGCCTCGGTGTTAGCAGCCTGGCTGTCTCCGAGGAGAGGGAATGCGCTGACGGATGGCGGGCAGTAGTGACCTGGCCCTGCTTAACTACCCAAGCATGTAATACGGAGCACGGAGTTTTGTTCTAACTAAACGGAAAGCACGGATGTAATGAAAGAAAGCGGATGACATGGGAAATAGCACAACCGACAAAAGAGGAAAGAGACATGGGATGCAACAGAACGTGATGGGCACAACACATAATCCGACTGAGACGCAATGCAGCCGTAGTGATGCTCGATAGCATGCCGTCTTGCTGTGCTGGTGGTTTGAACTCCGCCGTCTGCCCGGAACCACCGGCTGGCAGCTCCAAGTACGTGTATGATACGACATACGGAGTGTGCTGGCACAAGACGGACTTGGGCCTATCGGCATTGCTTGTTTCCGGTCCTTGGCTTCTGGGGCCGATGAACACCTGTGGCACTCTTTCAAGTTTACTTTGCCCGGGCCATGGAAAGCTGTGTTCCTGCTCAGCCAGCATCTCCCAGGCGGAAAAACGATGTAAGCCTTTGCTTGCCCTTGGCATATCTGAAGAGTGCCTGTGCTGGTGTTTTAGCCCCTCGAGCCCCTGTCTTGGTCGAACGAGCTCAACAGTTGGCAAGGCCGCCCCGCCCCGGGGCATGCACGAGGTGTGCTTGCGGGAACCAAGACGACAACGATAGAGGTTGATCTCTCGAGTCTTTTGTTAGGAGATGAAGTATCTCGACATTGCAGGATCGCTCCTTCCTCAATCCTGACTTGTCTTTGCTACCCGAGCTCTTGCCGCCTTATTTTTGCGCTTGTGTTAATCGAATATCCCATGTCTCGCTGCTGCGTCTCTTTATTTGCTGCCTACTTGCCAACCCACTGACATCAACTTGCCTGCCGGTCTAGTTACCTGGCAATTGGCATAGTTGTCGTTATTTTGCTGTTCAGCACGGAGTAATGCGACAGTCAGTTGGGTGCATCGCTCCTTCCGATCCGATGTCGCCGTGGCAGCTGCATCTGAGGTCGTTCCTTCTTTTTGTGGACGGACAATCTGACTTTGGCATCTTTGCGGTTGCCGTATTTAATCTTGGAATTTGGAAGCTGCCCCTCATTCCCGGGTCCTAGACCGAGGCAAGTGCCGCTCTATACTTTTATACTTATCGCTCCTGCCCACTTAGCGCAGAACCCCAATTCAGCAAGAGCTTCTTCCGTCTGGATGCACTCCACCAATTCTCGTCCTCCGTCTCCCAGCGCCCCAAACATGGCTCACACCACAAACCCGATGCCGGACCTGCCGCCGCCGCCGCCCGTGTCCCGGCGCACCATCCCCGTGGCCGGTCTGCTGGTCGACTTTTACGGCCTCGACGAGCTGCCGGCAGACACCGAGTCCGTCTCGGTGCTGTGGCTGCACCACCCGCGGCTGCGGTCGCGCGAGGACATGGCCGACATTGGCGCGCGGTGCGTGCAGGCGGTGGCCGATGAGAGCGCCACGACGCGCACGAAACACCGCCTGGTCGCGGCCGCGTTCGACCAGCGCAACCACGGTTCGCGGCTGGTGTCGCCGCGGGCGAACACGGCGTGGCGCGAGGGTAACACGACGCACGCCCAGGACATGTTTGGGATGATTGCCGGGACGGTCTCGGACACGCACCTGCTGATTGACCTGGTGGACGGGTACCATCACCACGACGGACACGATGGCCGGGGACAGGTGAAGGCAGGGCCGGGGAGCGAGCCCGCGCAAAAGAAGGGCGACGCGGCCTCGGACGACAGAGACGCCGCCTATGCAAGCGGCATTCTGCCGGCCCACGTGGCGGTGACGCAGCATGTGGTGCTGGGCGTGTCGCTCGGCGGGCACAGCGGGTGGCAGCTGCTGTTTGCCGACGAACGCGTCACGGCGGGTGTCCTCATTATTGGATGTCCAGACTATATTGGTATGTTCCATGTTGTCTTGTTTCCTGTCCAGCGCTTCATCATCTGCGTCCTGGGCATGCTTCCGCTAACCGCACTAGATCTCATGGTCGAGCGCGCCCGCCTTTCCAAGCTGGCCACGTACAAGGCCGCTGCCGAGGGCGGCCCGCCGTTCCTGGGCAGCCGCGATTTCCCTGCGGCACTCGTTGGCTCCGTCCTCAAGCGCGACCCCAAGGGTATCGTATTCGGCACCAACGCGGCCGTGTGGCCGTCGACGGCCGCCGGCGAAAAGGCCGTGCACGACACCTTGCAGAAACACGTCGTCGGCAAGCAGTTCCTCGTGTGCTCAGGCGGCGCGGACAAGCTGGTGCCGTACAAGAACGGCAAGTCGTTTTTGGACGTGTTTAAGAAGGCGGCGGCGACGTGGCCGGACCTGGGGCTGTCGGTGACAGACAGGATATACGATGGCATTGGACACCAGTTCAGCTCGGCCATGGTCGTGGACGCCATCCAGTTTGTCGTGGAGACGGTGGCGGACGCGCCGGCTGCAGATGGCGCCCAGAGCCCAAAGACGTCAAAGATATAATGGGACAATGATACACTCGGTGAGCAAACAGAAAAACAAAGAAAGAAAGAAAATAAAAACTGTTTATAGCATGGTCTATCATTGCATTTCATCGACCGCCACATGTTCCAGAGACGTGTGCTATCGACCGTTTCAGCTGTTCCACGGCCGCGGGCCGTCATCGTCCAGGGCCTCCATATCGATGCCCACCATCCGTGTCCGCAGTCTGCTGCGCTGCCGTTCCTCGTCGTCCACAAACAACAGCTGGCTGATCTTCCACGGGTTGCGTGCCCGTCGCTTGCCGGCGAGAAGGTCGCCGACGCCGTGTGGATCCTCGGTCCAGTGGTCGACGACGGTGTGCGCGCCCGCCATGGCCTTTTGCTTGTCTTGGGACACCGACGCCTTGCTGTTGGTGTCGCTGCTATCGCTACTGTCGTTGCTACTTTTGTTGTCCTTTGTGTGTGCGTTGCCAAACTCGGCCGGTAGGTTCGGCGGGTTGATGCCAATAAACGCTACACGGGTCTCGATTGGGAGGAACCCAATGGCGTCGGGCCCGCAGTGGCAGTCGACTAGGCGAGACAGTTTGAAAGCATGGCTGACAATCGTGAGCCGGGCTGGCCAGGCCGACGAGGCTGGCAGAGGAGACGAAGCAGCCGCGGTAGAGGCGGCCAGCTCGTGGACGTGTCTCCAAAAGGCAACGAGGCTGAAGAGGATGTTGTAGTACGAGTCGAGGGCTTGTTCTTCGACCAGAATGCGCCGGTGGAGCGGAATCGGCGAGAGCGGATGCGCGCCCTCTTGTTTCTGTTGTTGTGCGTCACCAGCGTCTGGCAGCAGTCCAAAGTAGTCGTTGGCGGCTGCTAGATTGGCATAGCTGCGGGCTTCAGACAGCGGCGTCTCTTTGCGTGTGGGACCGCCCGAAAAGGCCACAACGGCACGCTCGTCGTCCGCCAGCGCCTGGATGCCAGCTTTGATGTGCTCGATGAACGTTGGCGTCTCGCCGGCCTTGTAGCTCTCAATCAGCCACTCGGCCTCGTCATGGCCGCGCGCCGGTCCGCCGCGCCAGATGCCGTGGCCGCAGACGACCACGAGATGACTGGGAAGCGGCGGTGACGTTGTCATCGTAAAGAATAAGCGCTGTAGCAGTCGATTGGCGCGCACATTGGGAAGATTAAATAGCCTCGCTTTTGTTGAAGGGTGTGCACGGAGTAGCGATAGTAGCTACGGTTACATCGTTCGATAAAGTGAGCGGTTATGTGTGTACAGGCGATATAATAAACACGGTGATTTATTACATTCTAGAACAGGGCCGAGAGGGGCTCTGCCGACTTCGGCCGAATCATGTGACCAGTATTCAAAGTGACAAAAGCGGGATATCCCTCCGTCACAACACGGACACTCATGGCAGCCCGGTTTCGCCGCCTGACTGGCGCAGGAGACGGAGTGTATCCGATACAAGGTAGAGACTGCCGGCAATCACAATCGGGTAGCCGTGACCACCGTCGGCCGTCGCCCAGCGGAGCGCTGATACGAGACTGCTAGGATCATGAACGATGCTGCCCTCCTCGATTACAGACTGGGTGGTGTGGTGCTGGTCCGTCTCTGCGTTCACACCCAGCTCTGTTGCGCGCTTTAGAATGGCACTGGGTGCCGCCGGCTTCACCCATGGCATACCATCCACAGGGCCGAATGTGACGGCCGCCACGCGGTCACCTGCCCGTAACAGTGGCCGCAGGATCTCGTCAAGGTCCTTGCCCTGCGAGGCGGCAAGAATCCAGGTGATGGGGCCGCTGTTGTGACCCCCGCGCAGGTGCTTGTCGACGTAGGCTGCCAGGGCATCGGCGGACTGCGGGTTGTGTGCGCCGTCGAGGAGGACTGGGACCTTGTCTGGCATATGGTCGTCATCGGCACTGCCTTTCGCCTTTAGTATGGGGGCAACATCGAGCGTCTGCAGCCGACCGGGCCAGCGCAGCTGTTGTGCAATAGACGCAAGAAACTCCGTGTCAGGTTCCGTTTCGGTATCGGCCGTTGCGTCTGCACCACCAACATTACCGTCTTTACTGCCTATCTGGCCCGTGGCAATCTGGAACGCAGCATAAGCGCATGCCAAGTTGGTCAGCTGGTGCGGTTCAAGTCCCAGCCGGGCCACGGGACGCGCCAACCCCCCACTGGCGTTGGCGCTGTGTCCGCCTCGCAGGAGCAACAACGGGTCCGGGTACACGAGCGGTGCGCCGACTGCCTTGGCCTGTGCTTCCAGCACGTCCCGCACGGCGTGGTCGTCGCGGTTGGCCGGGTCCACGACGCAAGGCACGCCTGGTTGCATGATGCCCGCCTTGTGCGCCGCGATAGCCGCTGTGGTGCTGCCTAGCAGTCCTTGGTGGTCGAGGCCGATGCGTGTGACGATCGTGACGGCGCGCTCTGCACGCATGGCCGTTGTAGCGTCGAGGCTGCCGCCAAGACCACACTCCACGACGCCGAATCCGCCGCTTGGCAGGACCGTGTTGAACACCTCAAAGGCCGTTGCTGTCAGCAGCTCAAACTCGGTGGCGCCAATCTGCTCCGCTCGGTCGCGTTGGAGGACAGCCACTTCGGCACTGTGGAAGGTGGCCTCGGGCACCACGCGCTCGTCAACGACGACGCAATCCCAGCGGTCGACAAAATGCGGCGACGTGAACCGCGCCGAGGGCACACCGCGCGCATGGAACATCGCCGACAGGTACGCGCAGACAGAGCCCTTGCCGTTGGTGCCGGCAACGTGGACGGCTTTCCACGCCGGTGGCGGTGCGTGCTGCAGTAGCCGTCCGATGCGGGCAAGGCCGAGGTCGATCATTGTCGTAACAAGGAAAAGCGATGTGATGTGGCGTGGTTGCGGCGTGAAACGAAGGCGATATGACGAGCTTGTGGATGATCGGGTGAGTCTGATATCGTGGGATTTTATATATCGTCTGGACCCACTATTGTTGGCCAGTGTCGTTAGTTCGTCTGCCATACGCTATAGCTGGGCAGCTCTAAGCGCACAACCTTTTAGCTTATCTTACCTTCACCTCATTCCGTCCAGAGTTATCACAGAAAACAATAAAAAAACACGAAACAAGAATACGCATGCCTAATTGCTAAACGCGGGACTTGCCCTTGCCGTCAACTTTGATGCACCTACAAAGAAAAATGCGGTCCATGACAGTATAAGAAATCAAAACATGCCACCGTTCCCTTTTGCTTGTCATCTCCTAAATCTACCCAACTCCGGAATCCCAAAAACGGAAATTGAATCGAAAAACGGCAACAAGGAAAGGAAAATAAGAGTCATATAAAGTTGCATGGAACTGATGCACGCTCCTGTGAATGCTATGCGGGATTAAGTAGAGAGACACACACAGCCCATAGGACATGAAATAGGGGCGCGAAAAGGAAGTCCAAAACAAAACAGAACAAATGAAGTAATGAGAACTAGTAACGGCTAGGACTCCCTCCTCTATCCCGTATGGTATCGACTAGCTCGCTGTCCTGCACAAGCATATCACGATCGTCACGATCAGGAATAAGCAGCAGCGAGCTAGACCGAGAGGCAGCGCCCGCGTATCGCCGCCGCTGCCGAGCGATTTCCTAGGACCACTTGACATCGGCACTGGGCGCTCGTGTACGGCGTCGGTTGCTCACTTTGACCTCGCTGCCCACACCGTGACGGCTGCCGGCCCCACCGGCGCCGTTAGCATTGGTCGCAGTAATGATGCTGGCGCGTCGATCGCTGCTGCTGCTGCTGCTGCCGGTACCGCCGCTACCGCCGTGGCCACCCATTCCACTGCCGACAGCCGACAATCGCTGGACACGCTCTCCGCCCCCCGCAGCCACGGCCGACGGGCCGAGTCCCAGTCCCAGTCCGCCAGCCATCGAATACCGTCCACCCACATTCTCCTTGTTCGACATGGAGCTATCCGATCGGCTGATAATGGCTGGCCCGAGGCTCGACCGGCTGCCGTGGCGACCGTGGCCCATGGGCTGGCGAGGAAGCCGGCTTCCCCCACCATTCGTAGGCGTCGTAGACGTCATTGTCGAGCCGTTGGTGCTGGAGAGTGACGCGAGGCTGCTGTTGCTCGCGCTCCCAATCCCACTAACCTTGGACAGCGAGGAGACGCTGCTTCCACTGCTCGAGTCGCCGCTGACGCGCCGGGGAATAGCCGATACGCCGTCTCGGCTCCGTGGCCGGTATGCTAGGGCATCTCGCTCGTGGGCCAACGCCACGGCCGACCTCCGGTGCGTTGCTGCCACCTCGATCAAAGCCGGGCTGGCAGATGACAAGGACGATTGTGAGTGCTGAAGCGCGCGGTACTGGTTGTACTGGCTGTGCCGCTGGTTGTGCGCTAGGGCTGCTGCACCGTTGTGTGTGGGCGTCAGGGGTGCAGACACGGACGACTGTAGTCCCGGCGGCGTGTAAAGTGTTGTCCGGCGTTGCGCACCGGGTCTTGCTCTCGAGGAGCTCGGTGCTGCCATGGACGATGCATTGTTGGTGGCCATCGCCATAGCGGCCGCATCGGGCGGAACGTCAATGTGGGACCGCACAAGCTCTGCAGCCAAGTTGCGTACCAGAACGGCCGAGTCCTTCTCAGCCAACTTCTGGACAGCCTCAAACAGGATCGAGAGGTGCATGCGGCCCGCCCGTGTGGAGCTGACGCCCATGTCGGCGCCCGAGTTATCCATAATGTTGCGTACAAGGCGCAGGAGGTTCAGCCGTACGACGGCTTTCTTGTGCGTGAACTTCTGTGCCACGCCAGAGTACATCTCGGCCTGGGCCAGGTCCGCCGCCAGCGAAGGACTCAGCCGCAAGACCTTGAGGAGCGGCTCCAGAAGGTTCGGGTCGAATGCGTTGACCTTGGCCGTATTGAAGCACGCAACGATGGCGGTCTTGAATCGCCCGTCGTTGAGAAGATGTGCCTCCACTTTTGCTGTCTCTTCCTGAAGCCTATGTTGTGTTAGTGAGGAGAACATTGAACATTGTAGCGAGATTGTGTGGAACGGGAAACTGAACTCACCAAATGAAGATAGCGTCAAGGGCAGTGACCTGCCAGTACTGGTCGGCCAACAAGGAGACGTAAAAGTCCAGGCCCTTGTTTTGCCAGAGATAGCGTCGTCCTTTGCTGCCCGAGTGGGCCATGTCGCACAGAATTGGAAGAGCAAACTCCTTCGGAGGACGTTCGGTCTGCATGATCTTCAATAGAAGAGGGATGATACCGTTGACGGCTGCGTACTCTTGACGCTCCTTGCTGAGACGGCAGAGGTTGAACATGGTGTTGAGGACCTGGTTCGAAATTTCGCGGAAGTGATTCTGGCCCTTCTTCATGCTCTGGCTCAACACATCTATTAGGAAGTCAATGCCATCGGCAGAGTGAAGGGTCTCCAACGTCGTAGAAAGCATCGACAGGTTCTTGATGAACTTGAGCATCGTGATCTGGTGGATGGGCGTCATGCGCCGCAGGTCCTTCAGAACGGTCTTGAGAACTTGCCTATCCGCAACAACCTCCTTCACATAGTTTTCCGCTTGTGAGAAGAGGTAGAAAATGTTCACGATGCGGCCCTCGATCAGCTCGGACAGGCCGGTTCCGTCTTCATCATCTTCATCAAGCACCTTGTGTAAAACGAGTGCCAACGGGTCGAGAATCTTGCTACGTGAGAAAATACGGCAGAAGTCGTTCTTTGGCGTAGGTCCTTGCAGTTCAAATACGTTCCAAATGCCGTTGACACCGATCAAGACCAAGTCACGGGAGGAGTCGTAGTCTTCATCCAGGAACTCGACGAGCACGTTGAGACCACCAGCGCTGACAAACATTTGCAGTGTGGTCGTGGATGTCTGGTACATTTGTCGCACAAAGGCAGCAGCCTCGAGCCGAATCTCGTTGGAGTATTGCCGAGCAGCAAATTTGGTGATAATGGGAATCCCACCGACGAAGCAAAGGTTTTCTTGAAGCTCGACATCATCGAGAATAATCTGAGGTGAAAAACGTTAGGATAATGCCGGGTAGTGGATAGATAGCAAAAACGTATTCGAAAACTTACCGCGTTGACGATTTTCAGAAGCTGTAAAATCATATCCTGGCGGCTCTTAACCGTGCAGGGCTCCAGAATCTCGAGAATTGGTAGCAACCCGTGGGAGCTGATGATGAGGTCTTTGATTTCGGTGTTCTCCCATAGCAGGGATAGCTGGAAGAGAGTGATTAGTAACGTGCCGCAGACATAACAAGATTAAGGGGAACAGAGCTTACCAGGTCTTCTGTCAATTCGGACAGTTGGTCTTCTCCTTCCGTGGTTTTCAACGACCTAACGAGCTCCTCGACCCTCTCAGCCAAGCGCGCGTGCCGATCTCTGGCAATGTTCGCTTCGAGGTCCATCTCGTCCCAGCCAGGATCCATCATGGCAAACGGGTCGTCTTCATCTTCCTCGTCACCGAGCCACGAACTATGAGAGAGCTTGGATAGGAGCATCAGACCGCCGCCGTCCTCCGACCCAGCATCACTTTCCTCTTTGTCGGTGAGATTGTCGCCGGGGCCGAAAATGTCAGAGAAGTCTTCGTCTTCCGCGTCTTCGGCAAAACGCTCGATTTCAACAGAAGACCTCGTCCGGCGCATGGGCCGGTCTGGCAGCACAGACGGCCGAGAGGCAGCTTGTCGGCGCATGCTGCCCCCTGCAGGAGCCTGCATTGACCGGGGAAGGCTAGTGAGATCGGAGGGGTGGAAAAGCTGAGGAGAGTCCTGCGGTGTACTGTAAGAGCGAACAAGTTCGGAGCGAGGGACAGGAGCTGGAGGTTCGACAGGCCCGTTCAGCACCATATTTAAACGGTTGCTAGTAAATACTAGGTCGCTCTCCGCCAGTAAGTCGGAATAGTCTTCCACTGGCTGCTCTTGGTAGGCCATCTCAGGGCGGGACGGCAGTTCGAATTTGCTGCCAAAGGACATCTTCGTAGGTGACCTGGTCATTGACGAGTCGTGAGAGTTGGGAGATGCATACTTGCTCCTACGTCTTCGGATGGGTTTCGGCGAGTCGGCTTGAGGCGACGTCACTGTGCTGGAGGATGCGGAAGACGGCATTGGAGGAGGTGATATCGCGTCTCCTCTCGCGAATGCATTGCTAGCTGTTGTTGCAGCTGCGATGGCAGCAGTCACGGTCGCCTTGTCCGATTTTCTGTTGATTGGGCGGATCGTCTGCTCCTGGAAGTCGGGCTCCGCAAGCTCTTTCACAGGTTTGATTGTCATCAACTGCTCACCCTCCAGAGCGTCGTTATCCCAGTTGGCGGACACATTGCGGGAGTCACTTGACGCGAACTGCTTCAGACGGTCGCTGGACAGCAGGCCGCCAAAGTTGTCGTGGGGCTTAAGGTTCTGCAGTGCCGTTGGCGAGATGGCAGTTGCAAAATCATTATCCCAGTTGTCCTCATCTTTATTGCTTGTTAGATAGGGATGGAAGCTTACAAAGGAGAAAACAAAAAAAAAAAAAAAAAAAAAGAAAGAGATCCGCTAGAATGTAAATCCATTCAACTGACCTGCAAGCTCGGGTGAGCTGAAAACGTCGGCCATTGGACGGGGTTTGGCAAGATGGAGCGCGCGAGCGCCACGTTGAATCTCACTGGCACCGTGCCTTGACATTAGCGGCCCCATCAACGGGGGTCCCGAGTTATCTGAACCGGTCGAAGCTCTCAAGTTCGTTTCGGACGACTCAAGAGCGCGGTTCCAGCGCACGACTTCTTCGACAGCTTCCGACGGGTTTTTGGAGACCGGTGCGTCACTCCGACGGCAACTCACGATCCAAGGGTGCCGGCCCAGCTTCTTCGCAGATACTCTCAAATTGGGGTCCTTCTGGAAGCATTGCATGAGGAAGTCTCGTGCGGCCGGCGATACGCCCTCTGGGAGTGGTGGGTGGTCATCGTTGACGATGGCAAACAAGGCTGGCATGGCAGCCAGGTTGTGGTAGGGTGGCCGACCCTGCAACAGCTCGATCACAGTGCAGCCTACGCTCCAAATATCAGACGCAGAGGTTGCGCCGGATAGCTGGATGATCTCGGGGGCCATCCAATATGGTGTGCCGACAACCTGTGCTTCCTTATCTGGACCGGCCAGACTGCTGGTGGAGACACCGAAGTCGGCGAGCTTGACTGTACCGTCTTTTGTAGTCAAGATGTTTGCGCCCTTGATGTCGCGATGAATGACACCTTGGTCATGGAGGTACTGCAGGCCTTGCAAAACCTGCGTCATGTAAACGCCGACCAGATTCTCGGGGAACTTTCCATATGCTTTGCATATGGAGTGCAACGAGCCGTTTTCGCAATATCTGAAGGGACTGTTAGCTTAAACGACAAAGAGATCTGCGGTGGCCCGCGCAACCCGAGTACTGGAACAGCGTACTCTAATATGATGTTCAGGCAGTCAACGGATTTGACAAAGCCGATGTATTTGACAATATTGTCGTGCTAGAAGGCGAGAAGGGTCAGTAATGTAGGCCTCAGTACTGCTCATCGGCAGACAGGCTTGACGCCGGGTACCACATACGTGTAGGTTTTTGAGTAAGTCGATTTCGGCCTATGGTGGTAACATGTTAGCATCATATGTCACGTACAGTCTCTAGATCCATAGCGGGCGCTAAGATATACCTCAATCATGCGCAGCTCGCTCTTAGGCAGGTCCGTCAGCTTGATCTGCTTGACGGCCACGGCCTCGCCGGTCCCCCAGTTGAAGGCCTTGTATACAGAGCCAAATGCGCCCTTGCCAATACAATCTCCTAGACGCTGTGCATGTGTGAGAGTTAGCAGGTGTCGCGGACAGGCGACAAAAAGTCTGCGGTGGCACATCGAGTGAGAAGGCCCTGGAAAAGCTGGCATAGCACATACGTAGTCTTTGAGTCCTGGGTCTTGTAACGCGCCAGACCGGTCCCGGCTACTCGCACTGGTACTGCTGCTGCTCGCAGCCTTGCGCAATGCCGGTGCCTGTGCCGACGAAGCGGATGATGTGGTTGATGGAGGCGCACCGCCGCTGGCATGGGCACTACCACGGCTCCCGCTTCCGGACGACGACGGTGCATCCCTCCTTGGCGTGCCAGGGACGACTTTGGCTGCTGCCACACGTACATTGCTGCCGCTACCGCTTCCGCCTCCACTTCGGGTTCCGCTCCGGCTGCCACTCTGGCTTCTATTCCTGCCGGTGCCGCTGCCACTGCTGTTGCCACCATTACTGCTCTCTCCATTCTGGCGCCGTTGTCGGCTTTCGTGACTCGTATGTGAATGTGAGTGCGACTGCGAGTGCGAGTGTTGCGCGCGTTGCTCCGCCGCAGAGGAGGAGCTGCCGGACGCCATGGCCGAAGGGGCGCCAGGGTGGGATTTCTCCTGGACGTGCACTCGGCCAAGATTGCACCGTCTATCCAAGCCCGGAGAGTTTCGAGACGTTCCAGTTGTGGTGTGTCGCGTCGTGTAACTGCCTCAGCGACGGCAGCTCAGCTACCAGAGCATGTGCGAAGTCGGGGTGAATCGGTCAAGCAAGAGGGTGGGGCCGTTCGACTCTGGGCGGAAGAAAAGTACACAGTATAAGGTCGTAGGAAATCGGGGGTTAAAGTGGCTGTCGAATCGGGCACCATTCACGACTCTCGTGAAGGTAGAGGGAGGACGTGTTGAGTCGAGGTGCTTTGGAATGGGCGTGCTGGTGCAATCCCTGTGGCTCTAGGTCGCGTCGAAAATGAGAGCTCGGGGGATGTTTGAGGATGTGCTGTTCTTTCGTCTACCGCCTCTCAGAGTCCAGGAAGCAGATCCGTCGATGCTGGTGACTTTTTTGAGCACTGTGTTGCGTGAGCCAGGCGCGTCCAAAGGCAATACCGTCACAGTCGCCCGCCGAGGGTGGCCGAATCGTTACGGCAAAATTGTTGTTGAGACGGGCTGTCGTGGGAGCCGCTGTCGTGCGCGGTGTGCAAAGAGAGAAGGCGCAGCGACGATGAGCTCAGGCGAGCGAGTAAGACCCAGGTCGTGTCTCTTGTCGTTTAACGTTTGGCCATTCGCAATGCTTGGCTGTTTCCAGCTTGCCGTGTGTTTTTTTTTTTGGGTGTCGACCCTTTTTGGCTTATGGATGTGGAGGAGGGGACAGCGACCGTCAGGTCAGGGCCAGTGGGCATAAAGCGGGTCGAGGCTGAAAGCTGGTCGGACCAGTCGATAAAAACGCAAGGGGAGAGAACAGTGATAGAGGGGACTAAAATGCGTGGTGTGGTGCACAACATGGCCCATATCTGACGAAGACGATGTCGAAAGGAAGAATCAAAAAATTGGACGTGCAAAAACCATCGTGAATTTCAGTGGTGGGCGTATTCGACGTATTATGTGACTGCCCGATACGGGTTGTATTTACAGTGAAAGTGTAATCTGTAATTACTGGAAAGCACAAAGGAAACAAAAGGCATGGGCGATTGGCAGGAGCGAAAGAGAAACATTCCAGAGCAGAGTGACGGCAGGAGCGACTTGTGGCCATAGCAATGCATTCCTACCCGGGCACAAAAGTCACTCGGCGGGCAGCTTCATAGCAGGAACGTTTAAGTTTTGTGCAAACGTGCTCTTGCCCAAGTTTCGATACCCGAATCCGTGGCAACTCGCACACCTTAATGGTCTGTCAGGGGAAGGAGCAAGGAGGGCTTCATTTGGATCGCAACCAGAAGGGAAAGGGCAGTAACGAACGCGCGACGGGTAAACCCTAGACGGAGTGGTGAGAAAGAAAAGGAAGAAGCAAATGGTTCGGTCAAGGCACCCGGGTAAGTGTGTGAGAGAGCGGATTACTGGCCGGAACAGAAGAACCAAACGGGGCTCGAGATTAATAGAACACGAGTTTATATTGAGCAAAATACACGAAAAACACGTAAAGCACCCATGCGCGTGTCACCGCGAAAAAAAAAAAGGAAGGAGAGAGAAAGACAGAAAAGGCTAAAAATGAACACAAGTGTGTGATAGGTGAGCTGGATGGACGGATCACGGCGACACGCAAAGCTGGTTCTCGTTTCACGTTCGGCCCTGAACTCTGGCACAGGAGAGGAGAACGCAGCACGATACCAGGATTGAGCGACCGGTGGATCACAGCGCCATATGCGACCTTCTACAGACGTTAGAAATAGTGCAAGGGGAGCATGCAATGTTCAGTTGTTTCCAACCCGACGTTTATTTGATGTTGCAGTTCCCCATCCATTTTACAGTTTCTTCGACATAAGGGTCACGATACTTGTACTGTGTCACCCTAGCCCAGGGTCAACTATTCGGTGCTGAGGTACAACATAGGAGTAACGAAAGAGATGGCAGCAGGGGTAGCCCATCTTGTAGAGAAGCCCTACAATCCCTATTTTCTGTCCAGTCTCTGGTCTTGGGCGCTTGCTGCATGGGGAACAGGCGCAAAATTCGGATCTAACTTCTCTCGGGGAACGGGGGAGCACAGAGTCATCTCAGTACGTTTGAATCTTCGTCCTCTTGTCTTCTCATTTCGTCCACCTTTTATGGAATGTGCCGTGAAATACATTGTCTCGCTTTGCTAGTGGCGAAGCCAACCAGTTTGTCTAGTTTATCCTCCTATCCTCAGCCATTAAAGCTACGCTCGAAGAAATAGCAATAGATGACGTCTCAAACACGAAAACGCAAAAAAATCAAAAATCAAAAAAAAAAAAAAAATACGTGTCAAAATCAAGCAAAAATCAAGACTCAAAGCCTGCAAATAAAACAACCAAGAAAATAAAGTCGCCTTGGCCCCAATCGTTGGTTGCTCAAATAGACTACCACAAAATTCCAACGCCATGCCATAATATCCTTCCGCCTAGGTAAACTTTTGGCGTCAAAACGAGAAACAAAACAAAATCAAACGCTGTCCGTCAGAAAAGGGATCGAAATTCTCTAATTCGACGCTTCACGAGGAAGCGTGCGGCTCAGACCGGCCTCGGCCCACCACTCGTCCGGAATGTCTTCGCGCCGAGCCAGGCTGCGCACAATATGCTGCATACCGCCAATGCCGAGAGTGTCGAGCGTCTCGTCTGTGTTGTTGTTGTTGTTACTGTCGTTGGTGTTGCTGCCGCTGCCGCTGCCGTTGTTGGTGCTGGTATTGGTGTTGGAGATATTGGCGCTGGTGTTGCCGGTGGTAATGTCGTTGGCGTTGTGGTTGTCGGGACGAGCACCGCCAAAGCCAGTACGCATCGGCCGATCACGGCTCGCAAAATGTAGCATGCGCTCCATCGGATCCGCGCCACCTTGTCCAGGCCGGCGGCCAGGCCTTTCGTCGGACAGGCCCAGTAGATACGCCCGCGCCTCTTCCGCCTCGCGTTCTTCTTCTTCGTCGTAAAGGCCCTCCTCGTCGCCATCTCGGTGCACACCATCATCCATCTCGGAGTCTTCGCACGCCGCATCGTCGGCATCGGTCTCCAGGCCATTGAATAACACAGGCGACTCGTCTGCCGTTTCGGCATCCGCCGACACCACTGTAAAGGGCGAGCGAATGCGCTGGGATGTGCCCGCAGACGTGGTACCCGAAGGCACGCTATCGGTGAGGACTGGGTGGTCTTCCGCGAGCCATGACGGAGTGCGCGACATTTCGACAAGGACTGGTGCGGGTGTGGAACCGTTTGTGCCGTTGTCATTGTCGTCCTGGTCTCTCGTGACAGGCGATGGGACGGCAGGAAGAGCAGGCACAACAGGTGTCTGCGTCACGGTCGGCTGAGACGAAGAGGCCCACGTCGACTGGTCCTGCGCCGTCGCAGCAGCCAGCGCCGACGTTGACGAGGCAAACGACAAGCCCACGCTGGGAAGTTGCGGGTCGGCCGTCAGGGTCGTCAGGATTGTCTCCCAAGAGTTGACCTCGGGACTCAGGCTGCGACGGCGGTCACCAAACCCGTCGACAGGGTCCACAGGGACCCCGTATCCGTCCTCGAGGGGGTTGCCGTCCTCATCAGTTAGATCATAGTCGCCAGAGCGAGGCGGGGCCTCACGTCGCGATGATGTTTCTGGAAGCGGAAGGTGACGATCGCCGTTCAGGTCGAGATACCCAACCCGCCACGCATGGCGGCGACTGGCTGCGGCGTCGGGTGTCGCCCGGCCGTTCGAGCCAGGTGTAGAACCGCCACCGTTGGGGATCTGGCTGGTATCGCCGAAAATGCGGGACTGGGACGATTCGCGGGACTCACGGGACTCGCGGGACCGGCTGGTGGCGCGATCGTTGCTGTCGGACCAGCCCACGGTCGGCCGTCTCGCAGGCGCAGATGCATTCTAATTTGGTTTGGTCAGTATACAACAGTGCCCCTCTGGTTTTACTAGTACACAGCACGGTAGATTATGTGTACTTACTGTAACACGGCGCAAAGAGGACGAGCGCACCAACCGGTGACGGGCACGGACATTCGTAGGTCTCGCCTCGAAATCGGGACCAGCGGAGTCCACAGATTCACGGGGCTGCTGCTGTTGGAGCGCTCCATCGGGCTGCGATGTCGATGTCGGGTCGAGACCCTGGACAAAAGCCGAAGACCGGGCCAAGCGGCTGCCGAGTGCTGCCATAAGCTCCCCGGTGTATGCGTCGTCGGAGTCATCCAGGCCACTGGCGATGGCTGCGGTCATAAGCGAGCCAGGCCCTTCTTCGAGTAGCGCCGAGGGCGTTTCGCTGGCGCGGGACACAACATGTTCGTACCAGCGCCGGTGCTCTTCGCGAAGACCGCTGTCACCACTAATAGCAGCACGTCGGGTGCTACCGCTGGAGTTCCTGTCCGCAATGTGGCCGTTGATTCTAACTCTCGCCTGTTCCCGGGCGTGGCTCGCTGCCCTCGCTTGCTCGGAGTCGCGTGTGAGATACTGCTGGAGTAAATGTTCTCCCCTTGGCGGCGGCGGCGCAGACAAGCCATACGCGTTTACCAACGGTTCCCGGGTGCGGTTTAACCGTTCGCGCTGGGATTCGGGAAGGGCACCGAGATGCATCTCATGCCGACGCTCCATCCGCTCTTGCATCTCGTCCAGTTCTCGTTGCCGTTGCCGGATGTTGGCTCGCTGACTGTCGGTCAAGCTTTCGAGGCGAGGGAGGTTCGCCACCGCCGTGAGAATAGCACGACGGCGGCTCTGCACCAGACTCTCGATGCTCCGGCGCGTGCGACGGATGCGGTTCGGGCCATGGGTAGGGCTGCTGCGACCGGCCGCGTGCTTGTTGTGCAGGTCAGATTCGACCGGGGGGACGTATAGACTGCGGTGTTGTTAGACAAAACAGCGGACGGAAACTAATGCATTCAATCGCTGCAGTGGGGACGAAAACACTGCAGGCCAATTGTTTTGATAGCGTCGGACGGCGCAAGTCATGAGAAGATTAGAACAAAACATACGGAAGACCCATCGTCGGGATTGTAACAAGATTGGCGCGCCGAATGGAAAGTGAAGCCGACACAAGTCTGCTGCTTCGGCCGTGTTTGTATCGTCGCGAGTGTTTACGCCAGTGATGCGACAATAATCGTCGAGTGGAGAAACCGGAGGGCTGCAAGGGTTGGAGGAGGTTGGATGCGCAACACGCAAGAGTGCGAAAGCCGTGCGAATAAGGGCCAAATGAGAGTTGCTGGCACGTTTTTTTGGTACCAACAAGCGGCAGTTGACGTATTTCAGGAACGAACCCGGCACAAAAGTCGAGATCGTTTCAATATGAAAGTGTTCGGCACTTGGGTAGATGGAATGGTCGAAGGTGGATCGCGCGCGATGATGAAAGACGAAATCAACACAAGGGTGAAGAAAAGAAGACGAAACAAGACCTGGAATTGCAGAAGGAGAAAAAGAAGGAGGGAAATGCTATTATGACATGAAAGAAAGGAGGGAACAAGTGGCAGGAAAAAAACAAAAACAAACAACAACTTTTTTAAAACGTCAACAACGAGGAAGGTGCGATCCGGATGGTGATGGCCAAAACGGAAAGAGTGAGGGCGCCGAATGATGAAAAGGGAAGGAGGGCTGAGGCGAACGGAAAGGAAGGAGGGGATTGGCGATCTAGGGGCGTCGCAGCGAAGCGATTTTGCGATTTGGTTTTTTCTTCCTTTCTATCCCTCACCCATACTTTCGACTGGCAGCCGCCGCCACCCCCGGGCCCGGCTCGCTGTTTTGACAATGTAGCTTTTGCTACTGCAACTCCACAAATGGTACGTACGAGGCGCCCGCATGGCAAGAGGCAGGCTTGAGCGGCGACGGCCCCTGTCTCTAAATCGGGCAGTCGCGCAATGCTGGTTGGCTGGGGAAGGCGAAAGGCGTGTGGTCCGTGCTTTCCTCCTTTTCAGGCACCAACGGACCAATCATATGAGGTGTGCATATAATACTGCCGATTCTCACCGCCCTCGTCCTTGACACGCCAAAGCCTGACGACCGTACAGGCAGGTACTCCGTACGTCCTCCTTGTAAGGCGGGCCTGCTGTGCCTGTCGCGTTGGGCGTCGCGCCGCGTCCACTAAGCGAGAAGAAAAGACGCGTCCCTTCCGTCCAAAAGCGTGAAACGCGCCCATAGGTGTTGTCCATGACATTATGCCCCATTTTTATGCGCTTTGCTCACAGAGGTGGTTACGAAGTACAGTGAATCTGGCAACGAACTTATGCACACGTTTTCACTGGTATGCGTTGGCTATCGAGTCTTTCAAGCCTCCGTGACGTAACAGCCTTGTCTGTGGTCACTTATAACGAGATTGATCTATCACCTATGTCAGTAAAACAAATGTTGTCCTCGTTTTTTTTTTTTTTTTTTTTGAATTTGAATTAAATAAACATCATTTGCTTCGCTCTTGATAGTGCAAGTATTTTGTTTTTGTTTTCGAGCGTCTTGAATACATGAATACATTGGTGAGCCTCTGGTCCGATGGTCTAATTGTCCATAAAAGGCACGAAGAATAATTATACGATGAGGACAGGAGAAAGATGACATAAGAAAGACATACCGTTTCGTTACCAAGTTACTAATGCATAGCATCTCTTGCATAAAGGACGAACATCAAAGGTGACACACGAAGAAAACCGGTGACCGTGAATAGAGGAGTAGAAAATACGAGAAACAAAGAAACCAGCCGCCTAACCCTTTCTTAATACATAATACCGCCGTAGAAGTTGACGCAACCGGGGCATAAGGCCCAGAACGAAGAACAACAAATGAAGAACAAAGAAGACATAGTTGACATAAAAGGACATAAAACGGAACAATAACAAGGGGGTATAAAGTGTGAAATGGTGTATGCCGTGTAATTTTGCTTGCATAATTAAAGCGAGCCATATAAACACCTTCTCACAAAGAGAATAGAAAATTAAAACGAGAGTCATAGGGTCAGCATCAGGGAGAAAATAGGCGAATCAAACGAGGAGGGAAACCAAGAAAACTAAAAATCAAATAAGACGAGATGGCAAAAGGGTGGTGAGGAAGGGGTGGGTGGGTTGTGCTAGGAGTGTGTATTTAGATTTTAATAAAGGGGGGTGAATGGTTGTCATGCTTGAGACGTGGCTATCCAGCATGTCGTCCCTGGGATGTTGGAAGCCGAGTGTGCGGTTCTGAGGTTCTGAGGTTCTGAGGTTCTGAGGTTCTGTACTTGTCGCACGCAGTGCGTGAATGACTATGTCATCCAGAACTGTTGAGGTGGAAAGTGGTAGAGGAAGCGACATCGACAGAAACATCTTTACTCCATCTTCCAGTGGTTGGTCAGGCCGCCGTCCATGTCGTCGCTGCCCAGGTACATTTCGACGGCGTAGAGAACCATGACGCCCACAACATTGACCCAGCGCGTCGTTGTGCCGCCTGCGATCTCGCCGGCACGCAGCAAGGACCAGCCGGCGTCGTGGCCAGCCGCGTTGGAGGCGACGGTAAAGTGCTGCAACAGCAAGCTGGTGTAGATGGCGATGAGGATCGAGGCGGAGTACCACGACAGGAACCCGAGCAGCTTGCTAGCGGCGTCCGAGTCCTCGAGCGTGGGCTCCTGCAGCAGGGCACGGGCGCCGGATTCGCGCACGGCGGGGATGATGCGCGTGGCGCAATAAAAGACAATGATGCGGTACGTCAGGGAGATGATGACGGACGGCGTAATGGTCTGGAAGGCGGCGTGCAAAAAGTGAAGGGCGGAGCTAACAGCGGTCGGCAAGGTGCTCAGCAGGTGCACGAGCGTCGAGTAGGACGCCATGATGATGGGCGGCAGCGGCGGGAACTCGGGCTCGAGCGCGGCTGCTTGCTGCTGCTGCTGCCGGCGGCGCTCCGCGGCCTCGGGCGACGACGGCTGGTAGTCGGTGAAGATCTGGTACACGCACAAGACGACATACGCAAACAACAGGGACGACTCGACCGGGTTGCCGCGGCCACTGCCGATGCCGTAGGCCGACAAGAACACGACCGACGTAATGGTGACGCCAATGAGGATGGCGTCGATGTTGTCGATTTGCGGAAAGCGCGCAATGCGCGACAAAAAGTAGACGGCGCTCGCAATGACGGAGCCGGAAAAGACGACCAGGATAATCTATACGAACGCAGTACATGTTAGCCATTGAGCCATTAAGCAAATAGCGCAGTTGAGCAATATTCTCGTCAGATTCGCGGATGCCCGCGGCAGAAACTACGCACCAGCCATGAATCGCTTCGACCGCGGTTGACAAGCCAGCGTGTGATCTGGCCGGCGGCCTGGATGACCAGCAGTGTGCAGAAGCCCTCGAGGACCTGGAAAATGGGGCTCGAGTACTGCAGCGACTTGTCCCAACCGCCCAGGGCCGCCGACTCGACAATACCGCCGCGGCCAAAAATCCAGTCGCTCCAGCTCGTGCTGGCCGGCCGGCTCGTAAAGACGGAGGACGAGGCACTCGCACTGGCGGCGCTGGCAGACGCGCTGGCACGAATCTTACTGCTGACGCTGCTGCTGCTGCTGCTGGCACCTCGACTGATGAGGCCGAAAAAGTTGGAGATGCCAAAGCCGCCTCCGCCGCCGCCGCCGCCAACACCACCGGCGGTGCTTGCGCCGATGACGCTGCTTACGACCTTGCTGGCACCACTCTCCCCGCCGGTAACGTGGGCCACGGTGCGGGCGACCCAGTCGGTGCTGCTCGCGTCGATGGAGAAGCGGCTCAAGGACCAGATCAGCAGGCTGGGAATGACAACCCACTGCGACAGGCGTAGGGTGGCGGCGACGGTCCAGCGGAGGCGCTGCGCGCTGGCGCGGTCGGACGGGGCGACGAGGCGCACGGCGATCTTGATGGACGAGTAGGCGCTGTAGTAGAGGAAGAGCGCCAGGCTGTAGGCGAGCCCGGCGTCGCGACCGCCGACATCAAAGGCGATTGGGATCGAGAGGACGACGCTCAGCAAGAAGATGGTGCTCAAGAGCACCCGAAATATCCACAACATGTTGTCTGGAAAAACGGCAAGACACGGGGGAGAAAGAAATCGAGAAAAAAAAGAAAGGCGTGACTATCGATGTCGATGTCGATGTCGAGACAGCCCAGAGCGTGCGCGCGGAAGACCGCGCAGCGCGCGCTTTGGTGGTCACTCTTTGTCAAGCCCCAACTCGGACGGAAGATAGGAGGCGAGGACGAGCACGATCGCTGGCCGTGTCGTGGGGTTCGAGACGGCGGGACAGTGAAGGCCGCACAAAAGGGTATCAGCACCGGCAAGATCGTCGTGTCGCGATTCGTTGGCGTCTCTTGTCGCGTTCGGCGAGGTCGAGCGAAGGATCTTGTAGCGGTTCTAGATCGAAGGAGGAGCCGCGTCTGGCGCCGAAGCTTGGTCGAGCAAGCGGGTCGTTTTGTCCGGCTGGTGTTGCTCTGTTCCGGTGGCCGGTTCTTTCGTCGTGTCGTTTGCGCCGCGAGAGGGTGTAAGCATATGCTCTGACCGATTCGGGAGACGACACCCCTTGGGGAGGAGAAGAAGAGAAAAAGAGCGCCGAAGAAAATTGTATGGTGCGAATAGGGAGGGGGTTTAAGTGAGGGCGGACGCGAAACGAGGTAAGGGGGAAGACGTTTGCGACGGACTAGCAGGAAAAAGAGGTAAAGATGAGGGTAGGGACTGGTAGGCGGGACACAAGAAAGAATCTAGATAGACGTCGTGGGGCGAGGACTGTTGATGCGAGAGTGACAAAGGGGAGGTTTTCTTTCATTTTTTTTTAATTGTAATTTTTTCACCTGCTTCTTTCTAACTTAATCTCGTCAAGAGGTGGCAGGCACACGCCATAGGCAGGAACTGCTACGGGGAGCTAGGCGGCGTGCAGCATGCACTTTCCAAAAAATTCAAAGTGGATAGTGGATGGTGGGTGGGTGGGCAGGTGCAGGTGTGAAGCTTGCAGGTGTTAGGCTGCTAGTCAAGTCGCTACCACGGAAGGTCGCAATCCTAGTGGCAGGTGGGTTGGGCTGCTGGGCTGGTGGTACCGTATCTTCACGTGCCAATAGGAGACGGCGGGGCAGCGTTCAGGGTGAACATGCAAAAGAGAAACAGGAAGGGGCAAACGGCTGCGAAGGGAAAGTACGAAATACTCTGTTGTAATGAAGATGGAAGGAGAGAAGAGACCGTTGATGAAGATAGCGAACGAGGCCGACAAGGAAGGAATGATTGACAAGCCTTCAGTCGTTGGAGATTTGCACGCAATTTGATCGGTAGAGGCAGGTGGCAGTCGCGTGCCACTTTCCTCTTTCCTTTGTTCCCCTCATACAGGGAAGATATGCAGTGCTACTCCATCGAGTTGGTGTGATTCGGCGCGTGCCTGGGAAGGAACCGGGCGAGCCTGGATAAACTGCGACGTTCTCCAACATGGTGTCTGGCAGACGGTGCGGAGGTCTCCGTTGAAGCCACCACACTTAGCATCGAGATTCAGATATGGCTGTGTGTGTGGTGCAACGCCAGATCTCTTCCGACGCCGGCTACGAAACAGAAGAAAAAGTACAAAAGTACGTTGAGACGGGAAGACAAGACCAAACGGGAGCTGAAAAACGACAAGAATCGCAAGGATTGTCGGTTTATGTGATAGTTGACTCAGGTCGCTTCTCTTCGCATGGGCTCTTTAGCTTTTTCTTCTCTTTCTGTACCTCGATTGGCCGACCACGGGCGGGCTGAGGATGTGGCCTACTCCGTATGTTGTTCTTTTGTTTTTCGGCGTAGCATGCATGGGTCCCACTTTCACATCGGCCTACCCACTTACTCACTTTGTCTACATTTTTCTTTACCTATGAGAGGTTCGTTCTTGAATTTCCTGCATATTTTCCAGCGGACAAGCTACACCGTAAGAGTCGATGGTCTGCAGGCTCTGTCGTTGCGTCTCCTTCGTTTGTGCATGTTCTTTTTGCATTCGCCTTTCAGCTTGTTGTCCCCACGTTGCTGATCTGTGCGGTCAAATATGCGGTGAAGACGAGCTGACAAGAGTTGAACTGAGCAGCGAACGAGAGGCGGCGGCGTGGCAGGCTGCGACTGGGGAGTGGGTTTTGCGTGTGGGTGGACTCCGCGAGCTGCGTTCCGGAGTGGGTTGAGTGGACGGAGTGGGATGCGTCAGCTATGAACTCACAACCGACGGCGGCCATCTTCTGGCTGGACGGGACGACGAGGAAACGAGAATCCTGCCGAGCGGTGTGGAGACCTATGCGGTCATACTGGTTTGTGATTGTATTTTGACTGGTTCATGTTTCGTCCAAGGTCTTGAAACAGAGCACCCACCAAACAAGTCGAAACAATCGGCGCGGCCCGGTCGTCGTGCGGCCATTGCACAATATACATCACCATATGAACAGTGGATCATAGAGGATAGCAGAACTCGACATAACGACATCGCACAAAGAGCATTTTGATATTGGCAGGGTCGAGCCGAATGGGCAGAGACCGCAGATGAGAAGTGTCTATCAAAAAGGCTCCGTGGTATGTAATATATATCCAAAAATGTACCAAGAGAGGACAGATTTGCAAGTGTAAAAACAAGAAGCAACAAAAAGACAAGAAAAGCAAGTCCCAACCCACGAGACCGGCAAGCGATAGCGTAATGAGCATTGTCGCAAAGGCAGAGTCTCGGTCCCAACGCGCCGTCCCTTGTTTTTGTCAGCAATGGCGTAGTAGCACTGTTGCTGGTTCGAGTGTCTCCCCCAGAGAGCAAAGATGAAAGCATCATAAAAAGGGAAAAAGAGAAATGGGGGGAGACCTCGAGGTAAAAATAAAGCGGACATGACTGAAAACAACAATGGTTGGTTCTTTTCGTCGTCACCGTCCGACAGCGCATTCAAACACAAATGGGGGTATCATAATGTAGTCGCAGAAAATGCAGACGCAGAAACGACAAAAAGAAAAAAAAAAACAGGAAAGACGAAAATAAGAGAAGCCACAGAATTTGCCGACCAGCCAGCTTGTGGAAAAGCAAAGAGAACGGAAGTAGAGAAGAGGTGGCAAAGAACGAATCCAGCCACGAACGACAAGCATCCAATCCATCAGCCCTGGGACCGCCCTCTGCTTGTGTCCCAACGATAGCGCGGTAGCATTGTCGTCATAAAGACAGCAACAAAAAGACGGTCCATTGGTTAAAGATCATTGTAAACCGAGGGGAAGAAGGCGCGTTGAATAAAACGATCGTTTTTAAATGTGTCGTATAAAATGACAAGGCAGGCTGGTGGCGTTAAAATCGAAGGGAAAGGTAAAACATAATGAGCCCGGGGCGGCAGGTTGAGCTGCCTTGAGGACGCGAGATCGAATTTCCACAGGCCATCCTTGTGTCGTTGCGTATGCCCGCCCTCGAGTGGCTGTTGAATGATGTCTCTTGAAAATTGAACAGAGATAGGGGCAAAAGGCGGACAAACGACGGGGCTCGCCCTCTAGTTGCCGCCAACCGGCAGTATCCGCGTAAAGCCGCGCTGCACAGCCTCGCGACGAGCAGCGCCGTCCAGGACCTCGTCGTTGTTGGAGTCGTCGGCCGCCTTGGTCGGGGTGCGGCGCTTGTTGCCAAACAGGCGCAACAGCACGACGTTGATGAAGCTGCTCGCAATGCTGACCACCAGAATGGCAATCATGACGAGGTTGCTTTTGCGGAACTGGTGCGGGTTCTTGGGCGACGCGTCGGCCGGCCAGCCCGTGTACAGCGCGTACGTCGTCGTGATGCTGCCCAGGTTGCCGAGGCCGGACACAAGCGCTGAGGCAGCGGCCACGCCGACCTCGCCGTGGCGGTGCTGGAAGATCTCGCCCGTCCACGTCATGCAGATGGGCACCGTGGGGCCCAGACCGAAGCCCAGCATCAGCATGCCGCCATAGCGCGCCCAAGGATTGGATCCGGGCGCAAACGACACCACGAGGAGGCCGACGATCTGGATGCACACGGCGGCCGAAAAGAAGGCGGCGCGGTACCGGTGGAAACGGTCCGAGATGGGCGTGACCAGCAAAATGGCAATCAGGTCCATGATCCAGATAGGCGCAAACAGCAGGCTGACGACAATGCTGCTAAAGTGGGGGTTGATGGCGCTGATAATCACGGAGCCGTAGAGCTGCGTGCCAATGCCGACGCCGACCACGCCAAAGTACATGAGCACCAGCGGCCACAGGCGCCAGTCAATCAGCACATGCAGCAGGTCCCGCACCGTCCACGGGCGCGGGTGGTAGACACGGCGCATTTCGTGGTAGTGGACCAGAGCATCCTCCCCCCTCAGGGCCTCGGGCGACCGCGGCACCCAGGACAACAGGGGATGCGGGGGCCGGCGCGCGGTGCCCGGCGGCAGCGGACGGTCGGGCAGCCACCAGAGCAGAGCAACGCCGAGAACGACAGCCAGGAGGCCGTACACCAAAAACATCCACTGGAAACCAACCAGGCCGCCCAGGCCGTCCATCTTTTGGAAGCCGGCAGACACGAGGCCGACCACGGACGCCGACAACTGGGCCGCCGTGAAGTAGTAGCCAATGCGCTTGGCCAGGCGCGAGGGCGGGTAGAAGAGCGTCAGGTAGTACGCCATGCCGGGCCACATGCCGGCAATGACGACGCCGAGCAGGAACCGCAGCAGCTTGAGACTCCAGGCGGCCTGGACGGCCGTGAAGCAGACGCCGATGACGCCGACGGCGAAGACAATGCGGGCCATCCACACGCGGGGGCTGAGGCGGGTCATGATCAGGTTGGAGGGAAAGTCGAAGACGACGTACGAGACGTAGAAGAGCGCAAGCGCGGTGGAGACGTCCTTGGACGACAGGTGCAGCACCTTCATCAGGTCGTGGCCCTGGGCCGCGTTCATGGTCTGGGCGATGCCAATGTTGGAGCGGATGGCCGAGCAGAGGAAGTAGAGGACCCAGAACGGCGGGATGATGCGCCAGTCAAGCTTGCGGTACACCCGCTCAACGCACTTGGTGTCGTACTCGACGATGTCCGGGGCGGCCGCAGCGATGCCCTCGTCGGCTAGCGAGGAGGTGACGATGCCATTCTTATCCGGTTCCTGGCCGTCAGCGTCTTGGGGAGCCATTCTGACTCGGAAAACTGTGCTGTCTGTGAAGTGACAAGGAGAAGGAGGGGGCAGCCACAGGAGACAACAGCCAGAGGAAGCAATGGGACGCGTGCTAGCCTGGTTGTGTCTGTTCTCTGCAATCGTCAGACGAGAGGAGGCAAACGAATCTCAATCTCAATCTCGCGATGCTGAAAGGGCAGATGAAGGCAAATTCCGTAAGGCGCCGGTGACGTGAGGCGGAGGGATGGGACGGGGAAGGGAAAAGGGACGTAAGTGAAAGTGACGACAAAAAATGGAAATGAAGGGAGAGGCGAGGAGGGTAGATGTATGGAAGAGGAGGAGGAAAATTGACTCACAAAAAAAAAAAAAAAAACCTGTGATCAATAACCGGAAGTCGTGGGGCGGCAGGAGCTAACTCGGCAGTACGCTAAAAAAGCCAGGGCGTCGGGTCTGGACCTGACTGGCACTTGGCCACAACTGGTGCTAGTGGGAAGGAGAGCTTGTGCTGGTGGGGAAAAAAAGAGGGGAAAAAGGAAGCAGCGATCAGGAAGGAACGGCGACACAGTTACCGTAGCTAAGGAATGGGCGACCGGGGTGAACATGAACGTGACATCGAAGGAAAAAAAAAAAAAAAAATAACAACACAAAAGGTCTGCACACAATTCGTCGTATACAACGAGGTTTGAAGTGACATGCACCGGGGCTCAGTCTGGCTCTCAGAAGACATCCGGGCGAGAACCTCTTTGAGGAGACTGTTACGGACACGGGTCGCGCAACAGGGCTACAATGAGCGGCCAAAAGTGTCCATAAGACAGAGTGTCCATGAGACAGTCTCCTCTGCGATATTTAGGTACCACGATGGAGTTGGTGTGTCGTTAATGTCTGGAACCGATATGATGATGCTGTTGTTGTCTCCTTGAACATCTACGTGCAGTCAACGATCCTGTCTTATTTGTGTTAGTTTGCTTTATTTTCCTCCTTGCAATACCTATATATCTTCTGGCCGATGCCACTCTCTGGCGCTGTTCATGGGCTTTATCTGTACATCGACTGTGAAGCAAAGTACGATTTATAGCGAAGCTCGTCAAGCCCAGTCCACGGTCAACTGTCAAAGCAGCTGACGTTCCATGACATCTGACAAGCTCCATTGCATTCATTACTTGAAAAATCCAGGCCGTCTCCGCTAGCTACTGAAACACATTTGGTATCCTTCCTGCCGTGTCCACCGCTGGCGGCCCATGCGCCATTCAACCATCAACACCGACGCTTCGGCGCGGGTTTCCGCTTTCTGATGCCCGCAATTCCTTTTCTTTGTTTCGACCGGTTCTTGTCTGCCGTGGCAGCTTGCTTTGCCGATTGTTGTCCTTTTCCACCGCGCGTCTGCCGAGTTGGCTGCGGTTTCACTGGTGCTGGTGGCTGTCGCGCGGCCAAGGCGGCAATGCGAGCACTGCGCCGGAGTGGACGTGGCGGTTCTTCAGGTGGTGGCATTGCCTTTTTCCGCCGAGAGGCCCGCGTGGGCGCCGGCTGCGGCAGTGATGGATGTGGCGGCTGATCACCGCCTGGATGTTCGTCGTCCGGCTGGGGTAAATTTGCGACGTCGCCGTCACCGTTGCCATCGTCTGCGGCCTCGCCTGCGGCCACCGCTGCTTCTGCCGCGAGCTGGGCCCGCCTCATGTTCTGCATCATTCTCGTGAAGGGGTTTGTCGGCACCTCCGTAAGATCAATCGGTGACGGCGATCGTGGTGGTGGCGTCGGGGGCGCATTGGGGATCTTTTCAAAAGCATCGGTCTCAGAGGGAGTCAGTTCCAGGCCGGCCATAGTTTGAACCCCCGAAAGGTCGTCCGGCTCCGGGCTTGGGCTTTCGTGGCGCCACTTCCAGCCAACCACGTGCCGTCCGAGCGCCGTGGCATTCCACTTGTCTTGCCAGTCACCACGGTCCTTCCAATTCTGGATGATGTTACTATTATCACGACGCTGCCTTCCCCAGTCGTCAATGCGAAGCAGCCTCTTGCTACGCTCTACCATCTCCACCGACAATTGAAACCAGGGTCGCGAGGTAATGAAGGCCTCCGCTTGCGATTTCGAGGCAGACGCCGTCAAATGGGAGCGGGGTTGTACTGGCGCGTGTTCGCCGAAACGGAGGCCTTGACGCAGCTCAACAGCTCGTCGCAAAGGGTCAAAGTCTTTCTTGTCCCACAGCGCACCGGGTGTGTCGTCGTGCTGCCATGCCCAACCGCCGATGCGGTCTTTCCGATACGGCGAACTGCTGCCGTCAGTGAACTGCTCGAGAATGCCCCATTTTGGATTCCAGACGCCAAGCTTTTGCCAGCGCCGCTTGATAATATGCCGAGAAATGACGGCACACCGTCGTTCCGCCAGTGATATCTTTTCGCCGGACCCAATGGGACACAACAGGCGGCGCACCTCTGGGTTGGAATGACATCTGGCCCATGAGTTGACCCGTTCCCGCTGGACGGATTCCTCTAGCGCATATCGTGTTTCGGCAAGATATGGGTAGTGCATAGAGCTTGCGACCGGTTGGCGTTCGGCCTCCGTGAGCGGCGCATCAAACATGGCGCGGTCCTCTTGAGATAGCCCGTCTTGAGTAGGTGGCATAACCCGCGAAAGCAGGTCTTCCTCATCACATTCTGTGGATGATTCGTAGGGGGGCGGGTCGTCGTCTTCGAAGCGACGGACGTCGCGCTCGCGTAGATGTGGTCGGTCTTCGAGGGCCTGCAGAGCTGGGAGCGCGTCGTCACGGAGCGCATTTTGCGAGGTCCATGGCGTCGTAGAGGGGAGGCATTTTCTGTTTGCGTATTCTATTCTGGGTCAGAATTCGAGCCTGGTATAACACTGCCTTGTGTCGCGTTTTGTGCGTTTGCCATGGGTTGTTCTGCAGTGATGTTTGCTTTGAAGACACTTGGCTTTGTGAAAGCGAAAGCGGTCTCTCGAAAAGTGGTCTTGAAAATGATGTAGTTTTGTTGTCGTCGGTCAGCCGCGCCTTTGTTATGGTGGAAAATGCACCGGAAAGTGTAAGGGACGGTGGACGTTTTCTTCACTTTTGTCCGAAAACGGCGGATCCTCTCAGTGTCGCCCTACCACCTTCAAATGTTGTTGAAGCTATTTTTACCTATCAAGTTTATTTATATTGTCATTTTTTTCGTCACCATATTCATGCCCTCTCAAAAAAAGGAGGAACCAAACTGTCCATACGCAAAACAGCACTTTGAATCAATGCTGGCAAAAGTGAAGGGCGAGATTGGGCGCCTAATCATTTGATGGGACTGCAGATGCCTCCTGACCTATCGTCTCGTTTCTGTTACCGCGGCCGCGTCACACCATGACAGGGCCCGGAAGCAGCTAAAGAAGGCGGCCATGGCAATATGCACGTCTTCTCTTACCAATGATCATAACTCATGGGGCTGAGACCGTTGACACCACCAATCTCGGCCGTCATGACGGCCGCAAAAGTCGCATTCATGTGCTCCTGCAGATCCTTGACGGCGTCCAGGATTGCCAATACGGGGATGGCCATGGCCGCTACTGGTACAGCAAGCATGTCATCGGGCAGATTGTCAACGTCGACGATGCAGAAGACGGCCTAAGACAACCCTGCTGCTGTTGTCATTGTCGTGGAAACGTGCAGCATGGAACCACCGCCCAGGCCGACGCTCTCGACCTGTGGCAGAGCAAAGTCGACCTGACGCCGCCAATTTCAGCGACGGAGCCGGCCAGGCGGGGGAAGCCGCTGGGAAGGAGAACGCCAACGCCGGGTGTGGTACCACCAATGTCGACAACGAATTGCCCCGGGCGGAGCTTCTGATTTTCTGTAATGAAAGCCAAGTCTGGCCGCCTGACTACGGACTCTAGTGAGGTCGGTCTAGCGCCGTCGGATGAACGCCCAGATAGGTCCAGGCACGACTGGAAACAAAAGCAGAACGTGTAGGACTGTGATATCCGGGGAGGACAAGCGGCTGTTTCGACCAGATAATTTGGTGACGGCGGCGGCGGCGACTATTAACTTGACAATCGCGGAAGATAAGCTAATGCCGAGCCGCGCCGCGCCAGTTCCAGGTACCCGGTAATGCCCGCCGCTAGCGGCCAAGCTATCTTTGCGGAGAAACGCCGCCCTCTGCAAGCTATCTGCCGCTGGTGGTTGCCGTGCGTCCGCGCTTTGGCCGAGGGACGTGTCAAGCTTGCGGCTGAGCAGCGGGGGTCCGCAAAGGAGCCTGTTTGAGAGTGCGGGGTGTTGTCGACATATAAGAGGCAGTTGTCGACGGCAATGTGAGCGACGTGAGGATGGACGACGGAGCGAAGCACAGACGAAAACGCAGGCGAGGCAGGTACAGTTGGCTCGAGAAGGCGACACAAAAGCGGCCGCATCATTGAATTTTGCGACTGTAGAGCGACAATGACTAGAATCATCAAGACGGATACAATGGAGGCAGCCAAGTCCACGATCAAGCAGTCGCTGGTAGCCTATACAGAGCAGGTGTGGGCAGTGAATCAAAAGGTGCGTTCATTTTTTTTGTTTTGTCTATGTTTTTGTTGAGTTGCTGAGATGCAAGCTGGCGATGTTTTGGGACATTCAGGGGCCGTTCTTGCCAACTACGCTGAACCCTGTTTTCGGAAGGAACAAGAGAGCGACCGCCAAATACAATCGTCTCGACTCCGGGCAGGCGCATGCGTTCGTCTTTCTATTTTGGGAGCCAGCCCTCCTTCCTGTCTTGGTGCTGGTGATGACTAACGTTAGCGGGCTCCAAACCACCAGATCTTCAACAACCCTGAGCTCGCATACAAAGAGGCCGGTGCACACGATGCGATTGTTGGCGTGCTTAACACAGTCGAGGGTGTGCGCGTGACGCCACACGCATACGGCCTCGAGACGTCGTTTGAGGCCGAGTACGGCGCGGGCGGCCGCGTGCTCGTGTTCAATGCTGAGTACGACGCGCTGCCCGGCATTGGCCACGCCTGCGGCCACAACCTGATTGCAACGGTCGGCCTGAGCTCGTTCCTGGCCGTGGTCGACGCGCTGCGGGCCACCGGGGCGCCAGGCCGTGTGCGGCTGCTGGGCACGCCGGCCGAGGAGTCGGGCGGTGGCAAGATCAAGCTGATTGAGGCGGGCGCGTACAAGGACGTGGGCGCGTGCTTGATGATGCATCCGACGGCACAGACAGCCTTCGGGCCCGCGTCGGTGTACGGAAACGCATTCGACCGGACGCTGGCGATTGCACGCTTCTCGATCGGCTTCAAGGGCAAGCCGGCGCACGCGGCGCTGGCGCCGTGGGAGGGCGTCAACGCGCTGGATGCGGCCGTGGCGGGGTACACTGCCATCTCGGTTCTGCGGCAGCAGATCCGGCCCCAGGAACGGATCCACGGCATCATTACCAACGGCGGCAAGCAGTCCAACATCATTCCCGACACGGCGCGGCTCGAGTACGGCGTGCGTGCGCCGACGCTGGCGGGCGCGCTGGCGCTCCAGAAGCGGGCAGTCAAGTGCTTTGCGGGCGCAGCCGAGTCGACGGGGTGCACGATGGAGACGCAGGATCTGGGGGGCTACGCCGACCTGCGCACCAACATGCCGATCTGCAACGCGTTTGTTGAGGCCATGGGCGCGCTGGGACGCGAGGTGCTGTGCGACACGGACCACACGACGCCGGCGTCGACGGACCAGGGCAACGTGTCATACGAGTGCCCGAGCTGGCACGGCATGTTCGGCATTCCGTCCGAGGGCGGAGCGTTTCCCCACACGGAAAACTTTGCCAGGGGCGCTGGACTGCGCAAGTCATTTGACCGTGCGCTGGAGAACAGCGAAGGAATGGCAACAGTGGGCTACTGGTTCCTCGTCGACGACGAGCTGGCGGCAGATGTCAAGGCTGCGTTTGAGGAGCAAAAGAAGCACGACGGAGCGTGTATTGCAGCGAGCATATAACAATCATATACGGCATATACGGTATATATGGCATATATAGTGTACAGAGAGGAACTAGACCCCTGCCACGCAACAAATGTTTATAGTCAATGCACAGTGACTTGATTGGCGTGCTTGAGGATCGGCAGTGACGACGTCAAATCTTTGACCTCGAGAATACAAGATCGTTCTTCAGAATCAACGTGTGTCCATCAGTGTTTTTTCTAGCGCGGTGTCGTGGATCGTTATAGACCAGTGACGCTTTGCAAAGTATGAAAAGGGGTGTAAACAATAGCCAACAGAAAGAAGCCGAGCAGGCACACCCTTGTAAGTATCATGATGAAAAAATGCAAAGTAAAATAACAACAAGACAAATTAGACAAACAAGACGGTACGAGATTGCGTATGCCCTCTATATTACACGTCCATCAAAATAAACCCTCAATGCCTCTCGCCGCCACGGGCGCCCTCTCCGTCTCGTCGTTCCGGACGTGCCCCAATTTGAAGTGCGCCTCCTCCTTGTCCTCCTTGTCCTCCGTTTCTTCTTCGCTCTTGGTCCTCACAACTGCCTCGGCCACGCCGTTCTCGCTGTCCTCCATATCGGCCACACGCCGCTTCTTGCGCATGCGCTGGGCCTCGCTGCACACCTCCCGCAACCGGCGATCCTATGACCGGCCCAGGATCAGCGACGATGGGCCGCCGCTGCTGCCAATCACCGGCAAACCCACCATCTCGTCCGCCTCGGCCACCCACAGCCGGGCCAGTGCGCGGCTCAGGCCCACCCGCACCCGTTGGAGAACATCTGCCGCCGTCGTGTTGGCCGGCAGCCCGCTGCGCCAGTCCCAGCCACGCTGCACGCCAGTCGACATCGACGACGCGGGCCACGCGCCGGAACCCGGCGCGCCCGTCCGCGCACCCGACATGCTGCGGTGCAGCTGGCTCGCGAGCATGGAGCTGCCCGTCATGAGGAACGACGAGGCGCCCGACGCCGCCGATAGGTCGCTCGTCGTCTTGCGCAGCAGGTCGGCCGGCGTCGAGCCCTTGAGCCCGCCCGGCACGCTGGCCAGCACCACCTGGAAGAACTCGTCGCAGGTCGCGTACACGCGCGAGCCCGCCAGCGTCTGCAGGTCCTCGACGGCCTTGAGCAGCACGTCGACCGTCTCGGCGGCCACCACGGGCGGCGCCGTGACGTGGCCGGCCGACGTGGCGGTCGGGCTGGCAGATGGGCGGCTAGACACGGCAGTGGTGCTCGGCACGGCCTCGGTAAACACGAGCGCCTCGCCCAGCAGCGCCAACAGGAAATCCTCAGAGACCACGGCGTCGCGTGTGGCGTCGTACAGCCCGCCGCGGATGTTGTCGTCGGCGCTCGCAATCACGGCCGTCAGAGCCGCAGCAGCGGCCGTGCGCCGCCGCACAGGCGGAATGTCCGTCGACGGGTCGTCGCGCACGTTGTAAAAGTGACGAAGCGTCGCGTAGCCACTCAGCAGCCGGCCAAGGAGCTCTGCCGCCACAAGGTCGCGCCGCGCCAGCTGCTCCAGAGACGTCTTGCGCTCAAACAGCAGGCGCCGCAGGTAGTCGTCGAGGTCCGCTTCGACGGGGTATGCTGCCGACTGCACCAGAGAGTACGAGATGAGCAGGTTCATCACCTCGCGCACCTTGCCGGGCCGGTGTGCAATGGCAAAGTACCACACCGCCTCGCCGAACCGGTACGATTCATTGGCTAGGAGGTCGCCGTAGTGCTGCGTCGTCAGTGTCAGTGTTTTTGTGTGTGCAAATAAGATGCATCTGCATGTCTGTTTCAGAATGGGTGGCTCTTACCTCCGCCGCTTCTTCTGCAAACGAGGACATGCCCAGGTCGCTCAGCAAGCGCCAGATCTTGTCCACTGTCGCGCCCGAGTCCACGTCCAAGCGAACCAGGATCGTCCGTACCAGCTCACCGATCGTCTCCTCCGCCCGCTCTTGCGAGTTCATGCGGCCGAGGACGTGGATGGCCAGTTCCCAGCCGTCCATATTGGCAGGCAAAGCATCGCTGCATCCGGCAGCCTCCTCATGCTCGTTGTCCGCCTCCTCGTCGCCCGTCGGCTGCAGCTCCTTGTTGTTGATGAGTGCTTGCGCATACTGGACCAGGGTGTTGTCTTTGATGCCGTCTGACTCGTCGGGGTCCGTCGGGTCCACACCGAGCACCTCGAGGTCCTCCATATCCAGGCCGCCCAGTGCCGTCGCCAGAGCCGATGTAGACGACTGTGTCGGCAGCCAGCCGCCGAGCGCGGCAATCTCCACGACCGCCGAGGCCACGGGTAGCGACCAGGCCCGCAGAAGGCCGAGCAGGCAGCGCGGATTGTCTTCAAAGATACACGCCAGGGCCACCTCGAGCGGACTGTTGGTGTTGATTTCCAGTCCAGCCTCCGTCGTCGCCCGGAACGACCGCGTCAGCCGGTCCAGGTAGCCCGCAAAGGTCGACGCTGCGCCGTCCAAGCCGCCGGCCGCGTGGCCGCGCAGCGTCATCGTCATCGACATCGACTGACCGTGGCGGCTCGTGCCGAAATTGGGCGCGTTTGGCGTCGGCGCTACCTTGGTCTCGTCCCACCACCCAAACAGGCCCAGCGTCGCCTCGCACCAGTCCTGCGAGACGCCCAGGATGCGCTCGCGCGAGCCCAGCGCAATGTCAAACACGATGTTGAGGTTCTCGTAAATGTCCCACGGCACCTGGCTCTCGGCTTTGCGCGCCATGCCGGCCATCGACTGGCGACCGCCCCGGTATGACTCACCAAACTCATCCTCGCCTTCGGCGTCGTCGTCGTCGTCATTGCCGGCACCGGCACCGGCACCTCGGCCTCCCTCAGCAAACCGTCGTAGGTGGTCGAGGGCCCCCTTGGCACGGATCCGAAACAGGGTCCACTCGCTGTTCCAAATGTCCCAGCTGCCAAACTTGCCCGGGCACGTGTCCAGCATCCCAATCGTCTCCTGCACAGCACGCTCCACGTTGGCGAGGGCGCGGCCGCTGTACGCCTGCACACCCGCACGCCGCACCTTGTCCCAGCCGCCGGCCCGCAGCAGCTCGACGGCGTCCTCGACGCGGCCCTGCAGCAGGCTCACAAAGACGGTCTGCCAGAACATGCCGTGCGAGGCCGGGCTGGGCTGGAACTCCAGCACATCATGCACCTGGTCGGGATAGACGTTGTGATAGTCGGCCATCCAGCGGAAGAGGGTTTCGGTCAGCGGCTCGGGCGACAGCACGCCCGTGTCGTTGTCCGTGCTGCGCGTGTGGTGCAGCTGCAATGCAACCGTCGCAACATACGCGGCATTCTCGAAGGCGCTCGCGTCGGGCCCGGGGCCGATGCTTGCCAACTGTTCGTTGTCGTGCTCGGAGTGCGCCGTCTCCGGAAGGCTGTCGGCGTACGCCTGCCACAGGGCGACGAGCTGCGCAGACGCGTCGGCCAGGGCCTGGTCGAGGCGGTCCGCGTTGTCCTCCGCACCCACGCCCTGGCTGTAGAGCTTGCTAATCTGCACCTCCGTCTGGCGGATCAGCTGTGGCGCCTCGTCCAGGCTGGCACAGCCCATTTGGCCGTACATGCTCTTGGCAATGGACGCGTATTTGAGTTCGCGGGGTGCGCGCGTCGATGCAGCACCGCCCAGAAGACCGCCGCCGCCGCCGCCGCTGCGGGCGGCTGATGCACGGAAAATGTCTTCGGCCTCTTTGCGAATGCGGTCGTTGATGGCAGGCGTGGCAAAGGTCAGCAGGTCGCTGTTGTTAACGCCATCCGTGCCGCCCATCGCGACTTCGCCCTCGCCGCCATCCGCCTCGCCGCCAGCAGGCATCCATGGCGCGCGGCCCTGCAAGGAGGCACGCTCTCGGACGGCACTCTGCGCCAGGTCGAGCCATGGGTCGCTGCCCGCCCCGTTCTCGTCCTCTTCCTCCTCGTCGTATTCACCCTCTGCATCCTCCTCCTCGTCGTATGAGCCTTCTTCGTCGTCTTCGCCGTCTTCGTCATTTTGGTAAGCGGGAGCACGGCTCCGGTTGGCAGGAACCTTTTGTGCTACTCGTGGCCGGTAGTAGGCCTCGTCGTCCTCCTCTTCGCCTTCGGCATCATCGTCATCCTCATCCTCCTCGTCTTCATTCTCCTCGTCGTCTTCGTCTTCGTCTTCGTCCTCCTCTTCCTCCTCCTCGTCCTCGTCGTCGTCGTCGTCGGCCATCACTTGGCTTAGTCGCGAGGGTTGTCGTGTCGATCCCGGTCCAAAGGTTGGCTTGCTACCCTGAATCGAGCGGCCAAGGGGTGAGTTGGAGCTGCCGCCACCACTGCCTGCCTTGAAGCCGCCGAAACTGCCACCACCCGCAGCAAAGATGTTCCGCGAGGTCGATGGTAATGGTGAGCCCGTGGACTTGGCTGTGCCCGCCACACCCCGCATCATGGAGCTGCCCAGATACGATGCCGAGGGTGCGCCTGCTGGTGTGAAGCTGCCCGCCGACGAGGGCGGTGGCAGGCCGCCGGGGGTTGTCGAAGATGTGGCGCCGTTATCAAAGCGAAACAGGCTACCGCGACCGCCGCCGGCACCGCCACCAAAGCCGCCACTAGGAGTGGCCGGCGACGAGAAGCCGCCGTCGTCGTCGTCGTCGTCCGGCAGCGAAAACTTGTTAGGCATTGTTGCTTACGCGGACGGCGCGAGAGGGCAGAAAGAGAGGCGCGGAGAATGAAAAGGCTCGACTGCTTCTCGCTGGTGTAATATCGTTGCGATCAGATGGCATCAATTGGGCGTTTTGCAGACGACGAAAAGGCAGCTTGAAGCTGACGCTGGATTGTTTTGTTTGGATATTTTGGGGTCTTTCTGTTGCTGGGTGTATACCTTTCTCAGAAAAAAGCTTAGCTCCTGTCACCTCCTCCACAGCTAAGCGCGCCGCACAACGCGACTGAGAGTCACGTGACCAAGACGACTCGGTAATCACCGTTGAGACCATCTATTCAGGCATCATTTTCATCTCCCATCATTGCATTGCATGCATCAAACTGAACACTTGTATGTCGTAGATTATGAATTATTAAATTGGTAGTACTGTTGTCTATAGTGACATTCCCAGCATCCTTCGCAAAGGACGCCAGATACGAGAGCCAACCTGGAGGAAGACCAAGAAGAAAACAGAGAAAAAAAAACACCATCCTTCGCTCCATGAATAAAAAAAGACAAAACAATACCTTTTGCTTTTTTTAACAGCACATCGTCGCCTCCCACCTTCCTTCTGCCTCTCGTCCTGCTCTCTTCATCATCCTCTTGTCTATAAACAATGTTTTCTTGGCAGCATTGTGGCCGGTCCAAAATTGTCGGCTCGTTTTGTCTTGTCCGTCGGTCCGTTATTTTCTTAGGAAATAAATAGAACATGGCATGGGAACGAGATCCCGCAGTTCTACCTTGAACGCCTCAATGTCTTCGTCCAAGTAAAGGGGGCGCAGAGAGTTCGTCCATATGTCATGCAAATGCGTGTGTGACAAGGGGAATGGAGTCGCTCGATATTCGCTTTGGGGTAGTTGGCGTCGTACGAATTGTGCTGTTTGTTGCTGTGTGTGATGCCAGTGTTGTGGGTGGTTGGATACGCCCATCTGCAGCGTTGCCGCTACGCCCTTCGGAGCGGGCACCGCTCAGTTGATGCGCTGGTAGAACAACAGGTACGCAACCTTGTTGTCCTTGATGCTCTCCTTGGGCGCCTTGTTCTTGGGGCTCGTCGCGCCATTCGCGACTGAGCTCCACTTCTTACCATTGCCGTTGATAGGCGCGCTCCAGTCGTTGTCGCTGTCGCCGGCTTCCTCCTCGCCCATGCCAGCAAAGCGGTTCGCGTTGCCCGCAACTTGGTTCGGTGTGGCCATGACGGCGTTGGACGGGTTGCTTGGCGGCGCCGTGCTGCTCGAGCCAGCAGACTCCTCAGCGCCGCCCTGGGCCACCTCCTCGCGCCGAATGCGGCGGATGACGGTGTCGTCCAGACGGATCCACTCGCGGCCGTCCTCGCGCAGCGCATCGACAGTGTAGTGGCCACCGCTGGCCTGCTTGCCGTGGTGGTAGACGACGGCGTTGAGGCGGTACTTGGGGAGGGGCTCCGACAGGAAGGTATTGCGCTTTCGGCGGCTGAAGATCTCGCGTGGGATCTCCAGCTCCAGCGGGTAGCCAATCTTCTTCCAGATCTTGACAGTGCCGTTGCCCTGCCAGTCGAACTGGAAGCGCTTGAGGTGCAGAATCAGGACCGGCGGCAGGTCCTCAATAAACACTTGCTTCGTTGCGCGGACGTCCTTGCCCTGGGGGGACTTGAAGTCGGCGTGCAGAATCTCGGGGTTCATGAGGTTGCGCAGCGCATCGACAATGTTGCGGACCTCGGGCGAGTCAATGTGCAGCTGCAGAGACTGGTACGGCTCCAGGGTCACGGAATCCTTGCGCCCAGGAACGCGCAGCTCCGACCGCAGAAGACCACTGAAGATACTGTTGATGGGTGAGGTCAGGGCGTGTCCCGATGACCGCGTCTCGGCGGCGCGCTGACGGGGGCCAACCTCGAGCCATCCTCCGGAAGGGTCAGCAACGTCAGACGTCACAGAAAGCGCTGGCGTGGCCTGCGCAGACGTGGGTGACGAGCCGTTGGTGTTGGCCGTATTGGCCACATCCTGCATAACCTTGGCGCACTCGTCGTTAAGAGTCTCGAGCAGGAAGCCAAGGAACTCTTCGGCATCTTGCTGATGACCACGCTGGAGAAAATGGCATTAGTTTCTGTTCCTGCTTCTGTTACCGCTTCTGGTACACTCGGGGTACAAGGGCGTTCGCAGCAGGGGTGCAACTTACAATCATGCTGGAGAACCGTGGCAGTTGCTTAATGGCGTTGTACACAAATTCAGGGGTAAAAGCCTCGCCGTACCGCTCCAGGTCGTCGCTCTTGAGGCGTTTCTGGAGGGCCGCGGGGTCGGCACGGTCGATGACCTTGAACTCGCGCAGGAACATGATCATGGCGTCGATCATGGGCGTCTCGCTCTTGAAGCTGAACGCCGCCTTCTGGCCAACCTGGTCGAGGAAGTCGTAAAAGGGGATGCAGAACGTGAGGACTTGGAGCACGGAGTTCATGTAGCACATGTTGCCCGTGTTGATCAGACCGCGCGGCTCAATGAAAGCCACCTTGTCCGCGGTACCGACACGGTATGAAGAGACCGCCTCCGCCAGCGAATTGGCGTTCGACTTGGCAAAGACACCAGTCGAACCGTTCGTGCCGTTGGCAGCGGCATGACCGTTGGTGGCAGCGGCGCCGTTCACGCCGGCGTTTCCTGCTGCAGCGGCCTTTGAAAACAAGCCAGTCCACAGCTTGGGGCCCGACGGCACCGGAACGGCAGCTGGCTCAGCCTTCTCGGCCTTCTCGGCGACGTCGCCGTTGGTCGCAGCCTCGCCATTAACAGGAGCAGCTTCGCCCTCCCGTGGCGGTTCAGCAGCCTCTATTGCCGTAGCGCTGGCCACAGGGCCATCCGTAATTGGCTTTGTGGCAGCTGCGCGAACAGGAAGAGCAGGAATCACGGGAACTGCGGGAGCCGTTGGGCTAGTCACAGATGCCTTGGCAGGGCTAGGTGTGGTGGCGGAGGTGGAAGCAGGACCAGGCTTGGGAGTCTGCGGCGCGATAGTAGAAGCGACGGTGGCTGCTACAGCCACGTGCTGGCTGGGAGGCAGCTCAACACTCTCAAAGCCACCCATGTCCCGACGTTTCCGGCGTGCAGTTGCGCGTCTCGGAGGGAAGGCCTCTTTGGGCGAGGAGTACCACGGTAGCTTTACGTAGAAATCATGGTCAGCTTCAAATTTTCAAATTCATGTTTCCTTCGCGTCACGAAAGTTGGAGAAGACAACGTACTGGTGCTCTGAAACGTTTTGGAGGCTGAGAGGCCTTTGCTACACCAGGCGCTTCTGGCTCGGAAGGAGTCTGGACAGCGGAGGAGGACTCGACGTTCTCTTGCAGCAAAGATGGATCCGCTTCGGACGTCGGAGTAGGTCCCGCTTCCGTAGAGGGAGTGAAGGCATTGCCTTCAGGGGCAGGCGGGGCGTTCTGTTGGGTAGATATGGCCGACATCGGGGTGGTCGTAGAGTGGGTCGAGAGCGAAGGTATTGAGGCGGGAGGAGGGTTGTCGTTCGGTGTATAGGGGTTGCCGGCGGCGGCGTGAGCGATGGCGTTGTTGTGTGGTACATCGCCACGACCAACTAGAGGGATATGCGGCGGGAGAGAAGGAGGCAGGCCCATTGACGCCTGCAAAGGAGGAGGCTGGTAGGATGCGATACCAGCTGGCGGAGATTGCTGAGGAGGGATCATGCCGTGCAGAGGGTACGGAGGCGGCAGCTGCTGGGCCTGCGGCGTGGCGACAACCAGAGGTACATTCTGGGCGTTCCGCGCATAGGGAGACAAGTGCGGTTGCTGCATGTTATGCGGCAGTCCTTGCGGGTGCTGTGCGTGGGAAGCCAGAGGAGCATGCTGTTGCGACTGCGGCGGTGGAGGCGGCGGCGGCGGATGCATCCCCATAGGAGCAAATTGACCCGGCATACCAGGGCGACCATACTGCTGCTGCTGCTGCTGCTGTTGCTGTTGCTGCTGCTGCTGTTGGAACTGCATGAAGGGAGCGGGCATTCCTTGGTTCTGCATGTACGGCATCTGGGGATAACCGAACTGCTGGTTGCCATACAGGGGCATGTACCCGTGCTGGAACATCTGCTGCTGGTACGGGCCATTGTGGTTGTTGTAGCCGTACTGGCCATTGTTCTGGTTATTGTAGTTGTTACCGTAGTGGCGACCTCGCCGGGGCCCACCGCCGCGGCCACCGTGATGGCCATTATGACCACTGTGACCGTTGTGGCCATTGTGGCCATTGTGGTTATTGTGGCTGTTGTGGTTATTGTGGCTGTTGTGACCGTTCTGGACATTGTGATTGCCGCTACCGGCACCGTTGTTCCCTTGGGTGTTCCCGAAGCTGCCGCCCGGTATGTCGGCCATGCCCTGCGCTGCACCGGCTCCGAGGCCGGCCCGCCCAGCCGGCAGATGACTGTTATTCATCTTGCCGGCGTGGGGAAATGTGTCCGCGTCGCCTGGAAGCCTACAGTCACAATGGAACTGTACGCGCCAAGCGTTCTGGTTTTCGGCCTAGAAGGCTGTCTGCGCAGTCGTCGCGAGTCGCAGAGAGCGGCAGGAGAGTCGCGTGGATGCGTGTGGATGGAAGAAACAAGATGGCGCGGTCGGAAATGATTATGTTTCGTGACAGGCAAGGCTTTCGCGCCACGTTGAGATTGCGGGAGAAAGGGCGATGTGCAATGCTTGTCGGATGCAGATGCACAAAGGACAAACGCACGGTCGAGTGTAGAGGAAGGAAACGAACTAGAATAATCCAAAATGCTCCCGGGGATGGATGGCTTCTTCGTGTTGCAAGGAAACGAAACCAAACCTTGAATCAGAACGCCTGCTATGCCTGTTGGTGCGTCACAGTGTGGCGCGGCGAGTCGTTATCGCACTGTATCAAACAAAACCGAGTCGAAAAAATGAAGTAGCGAACGCAGCGATCGTCGACAAGCTTCCAGCATCGAATCGCAGCGACGATGCGATGCGTTGGTAAACTCTGCGGACGCAAAAGATGCGTTGTCGTGTCGTCGTTTTTTGGGTTGCCGTCTCGATATCAGGAACAAGGATGCCGAAAAAAGTACAGAGACGCAATAGAACGCGAATAGGGGAAATGAGCGTCGAGAAGGAACAACAGCGAACAAAACACGCAGAAAAAAAGGACTGGGTCAAGAAATGGTTGGAGACAAAGGACAGTCAAGAAGGAAAAGAAAAAGAAAGGGGGAGAAGAAAGAGGGCGGGCGATGCTCGGCGAGGGAATCGAGCTTGATGGATGGTGATGGGGAAGGAGGATGAAAAAGGCTGGCCGAGGAAGGAGTGCGGAAAAGGGAAGGAAAGACCGTCACTGAATGCGCCTGGCTTCTGCTGTCGTTCGCTACTGTCTCATTAGATTCTGGGCGCTGCCATTCGCTCCTTCCCACGCGTTAGATCCTTTTCGCTTTTTTTCCAGGCGCACGACACTCCCCACAAAAATTATTGGGTCCTTGGCTGCGTTGCGCCTTTTCTGACTAATATGAAAACATACGTTTATTGGTCAGCCGGTGAATGTGCACGTGCACGATGTTGCAGGAGGACGGAGCTTCCCCGGAGTGATGCGTCCGTGACATCGACTACTTTACATTGCATCAAAGCCTATCCAGCGTCAATAGTACAGAAGCGCAATGAACAAAGTCAGATACATTGGAACCAGAAAACCATTTCTATGCTGCAAGCTAGGGCGTCACTTCGGCCGTCAATTATGCAAGTCAACTTGCATGGCATTGTGCATCATATGCAGTGTCCGATGCATGCAAGGACAGACACCGAAAGAAACTATGCTACTCAAGCCTTGCCTGGATGTTCCAGGCCACATATGCAATAAATCCCGAAAATGGGACAGGAAAATGGAAAAGAAAGCCACAAAAGTGCGCCGTCGCCATGCTCGTGTTGTTTGTGAATTGTTCTGTAGAACTACCGCGCGCCTTTGTCCGCTTCATTCGTCACGGAACATCCATCGGCCGCCTCCAGACCGCATGGCCTCCCGATACCGCTCCTGGACCGTGATCCGCTCGACCTTGTCCGCCTCGGCTCGGTTGTGCTCCTCATCCTGGGTGGTGGGGAAGTCGGTGTCCCAGAACCCAGGCGGCGACGCCCTCCGGTGGAAGCGGTGCCGGTGCTTGCCGTACTTGTCGGCAAGCTCTTTTGTGCGCGCCTCGAGCCACAGCGCCTTCTTCTCCTCGGGCGACATCTGGGCCAGCATGTAGGCGCCGTCGCCCAGGTGCCGCTCCATCAAGACAAGGCACTCGGGGCGGCGGAGATGGGCAGGGCCGGCGGCGTCCAACTCGGACGTCGCCATGCTGCGAAAGGCCTTGCCGCAGCACTGCGGGTCGGTGCAGCCCGACAGGCCGGCACGGTCTGCCCGGCCACGCACCACTTCGTTGTACGCAAACGTCTCGCCGTTGTTGAAGGCTGGGTTGATTTTGAAGTCGTCCATCTTGAGGCGGTCGACGGGCCGGCCGCGCAGGGGCGACGACACCTTCTTGGCCGTGCTCTCGGCCTTGGCGGCCAGCAGCGCCGCTGTCAATGAGTTTGTGGTGGGTGTAGCGAGCCCCGCGGCCGCGGGCGTGCCAGCATGTCGTGCAGGAGCCGCGCTGGGCGTTCTCGGTAGCGAGACATTGTCGTCGTCGCGCAGATGCGGCAGCTTCCGCGTCGGTGGTGGCCGTCCAAAGAGACCAGCAGTCGGACTGTCTGTGCCGCCATGGGATCGCGGGGCTGCGGTCAGTCGTGGAAGCGACGACGAAACAGGACTCGGCTCGGACGGCCGCGAATTAAGCAGCGAGCGGAGTCGATTCTGTCTTGTCGTGCTCGGTGGCTCCATGGCCGTGCGCTTCGAAGCAACCGAGGGGGAGTCGTAGGCCTGATTGTCTTCAGCCAGCGATTCGATACCTCGCTTCAGAGACTTGAGGCCTTTGACCGGGTTCTTGGGCCCACGGCGGACGTTGCCAGAAATCGGCGCCAGCGGCGTAGATGGCGTGCACGGCAAAGGTCGTGCGAGTGGTGGTGGCTGCGGAACCAGACTCGGGGCTACGGTAGCGGGCTTGGAGTCTTCAGCGTCCCTGGAGACTTGGGCGCCTGGCTCATCTGCGGGCTTTTCTTGGGACGTAGCTGGACTCGACTCGTCGCTGTTGTCTCTTTCCAAGAGCAGTTGTTGCTGGTAAAAGAGATGCCTTTTCCGTGGTGTTTGCACTGTGAGCTGCCCCTCGTCGAGGTCGATGCTCTCTTGTGACTCCCGGTAGTGCGCTAAACCCAGTGCCCGAGGTGTGTTGTCGGAGCTTTCTCGCTTCACCGCCGGCAGGATCTGCGGTGTTTGGCGGTCGTTCGATCGGTCGTTCGCGCCCTTCTTGGGCTTCTTGGTCACTCGTTCCCAGATGATCTCAGGCCCGTCGGAGGACGGCTCGTTCTTAATCGCCACATGGCCAGCAACGCCGTCTGAGTTTGTCGCACGCGGCGTGGGAAGCTCGGGAAGGTCGGGAAGGTCGGGCTGCGCCGCGTCTGACGATGGCTCGCTTTGTGTAGAGTCCGGTACAGTCTCGTTGTTTGCACCGTCCGCACGGGTCCCTTTGGGGACTTTTTGTGGCGGCAGTTCCGGCTCAGCGCCGTCATCGTCCGCCGTCGGGTGGCCCAAGAAAGAAGATGTTTCCGATGAGGTGAAACTAGCGCTCAGGGTCGGCTTGGTGACTTCGGCCTGTGGTTGCGGTTGCGGTTGCGGCTGTGGCAGTGTTTTCTCTACCATATCGAGTGTTTCTGGCGTGGATGTACGGTCCTCGACCGGTACGGCTGTCTGTCGGGCCGCGGCCAGTTTCTTTTCCAGCTTCTTGATTTTCACCTCGAGGCTGTCGGCATATTCCACCCATCGGAGCGTTTCGGCCTTGCGCTTCCGAACCAACGCTACCACCTCTTCGAGCTGCGACTTGGCCACCGCATGCCGCATGTGCGACTTTTCTAGGGCCTCCTGCAGCTCTTGCACGAGCTCGGACATGCTCTCTTGTGAATTGTCGCCGCCTGCTGTGTCAGGCCCGCTCTGGTGCGTGGCATTCCGTGCGGCCTCGGACCGTTGAAGAGAAGCTGTCAGCGTCGCAACCTGGCTCCGCAGCTGGCTCATCTCGGACTCCATCTGCCCCTGCGATGCCTGCGAGTCTGCCCGCAGTTTGTTGTACCTTTGCCGCCATTCTTCGTCGCGCCTCTGAAAGTCTGGATGCCGGCCAATGATGGCCGTTGTCAGCACGCCATTCGCTTCTTCGTGTCCAGTGCGCCCTCGTCGTCTCCCCAACTCACCTGCTGTCACCTTCTCGTTCATGCCATCCAACGCGCGCTCAATTGCCTGGAGCAAGGCTGGCCGCCCTTGACGGACGGCGTCAGACATGGCCGCGAGCTGTCGAATGCGGCTGCCGTTGCGGTGCTGCGTCAGATCAAAGTCATCCTTTTCGATCGTGCATGCCACTTCATTAGGCGTTTGGTCCTCCTGTCTCGTGTCCCAGGAGCGTCGTCGAATTGTAGCGTTGTCAATTTGGCTACAGCAATACGTCGCTGCTGTTTGCCGTCGTCGTAGTTAGATGCGTGGGGCACAACGCGCCGACCGCGTTCTCCACACTATTCTTGACGCGCCAAGGCACGTGATAGCACTTTGCCCCAGAGTTTTCAGTGGCCTTTCAGGGCAATACTGTTTCGCATAATTATGGAGAACCGCCCCTGCCAATCGCTGTCCAGCACTTGGATAGCACTGTTTCGGCTGATCCACCCCTAAAACCATACCCGTAGCCTTTTTGCCTCTCACGGCCACACCAGCTGCATGTAAAACCACACCGTTTAAGCTGAAACCTTACAGTAGCACATCAGGGCTATCCAGCACAATTTGGCGGATTTTGGCATATACTGCAATACCATCTGGTCTCACACATTTACAAGAAGTCAGAATGCTAGGAAGAGACACAAAAGGAAAGAAAAGGCAAAGGGACCAAGCCAACAGCCGCACGGCTCTCGGTCGTTTCTGAACAACATGATGTTCTTTCATCTTATCGTATGCCGAGAAGCATATTTTCCGGCCCGTTATAGTATCATACCTTGCCCTATGAACTGTTCATGTTTCCCATCTTCCGTCTTTCTGCCAGCTTCGACGTGGCTCGGTGAACAAATGCCAAGAAGCCGCCCGCTGGCTCACCTCTCGGCGTTGGGGGTCGAAGGCATATCAAAGAAGTAATCTTCCTAGGTGAAGACGGTGTGGCGGCCCGTGACAGGCGAGCCAAGCATCAGGCGACACAGAAAGTGCCACTCTCACAGATGTCCTCCGTGATCGTCGTCTTCGTGTAGGATGCTCACCCTCCTCTTTCAACCCCGTGGGATCATTTGTGACAAGGCGGCGGCAACTAACGTTGCCTTTTGAATTTTCCCATGTATCCAAATGGGCATTCTCTTGAAGCTCCTTTCGCTCAAGTTCCATGTACGGACGTCTTTGTCTTGCCATAATCCGTACATTCACGAACTGGCGCCTGCACTTGTATGGCCACGGCACAACTCGAGACACATCGCCACGGTCGGTGTCGTCCAGTGGTCGAGTGAAAAGATAAAAAGTTGGACACTAACAGATACCGTCCCGGCTGCATCGCGAGATTGGAACGATCAACGGCATGTCGAAATGCCATGCCCTTCATCTTGGTAAATTCGGGAACTGAAAGGCCCGCGAGCGGATCGGTCAAAGATAGCCGTTATCTCGTGGCACGTACGATTCCGTGGTAGGAACAGAGAGTGCAGATAGGAACCAGATCAGATCCAGATACAAAGAGATGGCATGATCTGTCGATAGGCACGAACGGACGCGCAAGGCAATGGCGCTCTGTAGGCTTAGGCTGTTCGCAGCCGGACGGGGTCGCCGTTCATGTAGCCAAAGGAGGCACAAGAGCAGATGTCGGATGTACGATAGAGCCACGGATTGTCAAAGTATAAAAACCAGACGAAGATGGGACGAGGATTGGCTGCAAGACCGGCCGGGCGCAAAGTCAGAACATGACAGATTGGCAGGCGTAACAAGACGCGGCAAGATCTGGCCAAGAGCAGCACTGTCCGAACCCATCTCAAGTTGCCAGGCAAAGCATGCCGCAGGTCAGACAATCAAACCGAGGCGAGTTCGCAGGGAGAACGAGTGCTCGCGCCAAAACGAGAGCCAAAGGGAAAGGAGCTCGTCCACCAAGTCATACAAGGCACATGACACAGTGCCGAACGTAGAAAGCTTCCAGAACCCAAAGGGTAGGATGCACATTTTGCCAAGCCGGACCTTACAAGCTCGGAAGGCTTCCAGAAGGCACATCAGACCGAGCATGCACGCCAACCATGGCAAACACACGGACCCCACCGAAGATCAGGCTGCGCTGGGACATGTTCAACGGGGAGAGCGGGATGGCACTCGTCCACTGGGCCAACAAAACCAAGCCTAAAAAGTAACGGACATGGCGAAAAGGGTATTTGGCGAGACTTCATCAAAAAAGCATGAGAGGAATGGGAAGCTTGGAAAAATCCTGGCGACCGAGCACAAGCTCTCCTAAATCTTGGCCGGTTGCTAAAATGCAACTCTCTCGGCGCGTCGTTCGACAACAGGCGGTTCGTGGGATCGTCAGCATGGAACTGGCGGCATAATTCGAGGCGGCGCTTTTGGCTTCTTCCGCATGTCTCTTTCCCGAGTTTGACTGCACGTGGCGAGATTCACGGGTCAAACGACAAGGCTGGGGGGGAAGACATTCATTGTCAGCTCCGTCCTTTTCTAGAATGCCCTTTCCAAAGCATTTACAGCAGCAACGGTGCCACCTGTGGCTGATTCGCAAACCTCGCTCAAACACGGTTGGACCACCAACTGTCGTCCAAGACTTGCCAATTCTAACAGCGGCAGACAACAGGAGCACCGTGAGTGCAACGCATCCGACCTTTACCTCTGCCGTGTCACTGCCACTTGATAATATACTTGTGTGCTGCACAGTGTTGCGAGTGCCATGCTGTGACCGCCTTCTCCGTGGATATGCGGGCGAGGCTACCTCTGACATGCATGAGAGCAGCTATCCCGGTCAATATCAACATATTCTGGCCATCCTTCCAGATTCGTTTGCGGTTACCCGCTCAAGGCTTTTCGTCGCCCTACTTCGTCTGGCCCCTGTATCCTGCATATCGCCGGCGTGTCGTTTTAGATTCCGTTCGAAGAATTTGTTTGCTTGGCGGGAGGTAATGCCGGAGCAATACGAGCCGTAACCAGGGGTGGGAAGCTGTTTTGGGGGTGGTTTCTGTTAACCAAAGACGAACAGTGAGAGAGGTCGGAAACAAGAACGGATCAAAAGCGATATGCACCCAACTCTTCCCAACAAGAAAGCACCTCCAGGGCCAATTGGCGCATATTGCTAAACGGCCGTTACACTACAGACAAAACACTGTAGCACCCCATCCAGTGTACAAGGCAATATGCCGCTCTCAACACCGCCGTATCGCCAACGTGCGCTGCATGCTGCCCCAACGCACGATGTCCCACGCGGTCAGACAGACAAACCCGTGGTTCTCGAGGCTGTTGCGTCCACATACAAACCGTCTTTATGTGGCTGTGGGCCGGGGAAAGGCGCATCCCATGCGTCGCCTACCGCCGGACCAGCAAAAAGACGGACGGATAGACAGACAGACAGATAGACAGACAGGACAAATGACAAATTTGCAAAGGCAGATTTGCAGGTGTGGGCATCTCCGGTTGGGTTGGTGACGCGAGACGTTGAAGACGGACCCTGGCAAGCTGTCGCTGAAAAGACGAACACGACGATCCGCCAGGGACTGGCCGAGCTGGGGGGATTGTGATCTGAGATGGCAAATGGCAAAATGCGCAAGCCGACACACCCCCGTCGGTTTGATCCAGACGATGGAAGGCCGCTTGAGTGCAGCCTGAACAGGGCGGACGAGGATCAAAATGAAAGACATGAAGTGGCCATGGAAGGGGGTCATGGAAGGGGGTCATGGAAGGGGTCGTGGAAGGGGCCATGGAAGGCGAATAAGAGCGATCATGAGTATCGTGAGGGACTCAGAGTCGCAGCTTTGCCTGGCCTGGTGGCATCGACAGGGACCAGGGGTGTGCTCAGGGCAGAGAGCATCTCGCCATGGTCCGTCACTCGCGTCTTCACCCATAAAGAAACGATCTGAGTTGTCTGTCAGTCTCCTCTCGCCACAAACGTCACAAATTGCCGTCTCGTCATCTCCTCCTCGCGACGTTGCTCAAGTCGGAAAGAGTTCTCAGCTTGGCACTGTCCTCGCTTGGTCTTGTAAGTTGGTTGCATGCGGCGTGCGCGCGATCGAGCCATATCCTCGCACCACACCGCCCACCACACTGCCCACATTGCCCACACACCCCCTTCCGAACTCACAGATGCATCTCGTTGGTTTCTGCACAGGTTCCCACGAAGATCTCGTCTGTGGTTCCCCTGCAGTGCCATTCCACACCCTCTCGCCCGTTTCGTCCGACCCATCCCACGCCTGTTCCGTACCGTTGGTCTTTGCGTTTCTTTTTTCCACTCCATTTCAACCTTGCCGTCTCTGAGGATATTTCTGTAGGAACACATACATTTCTTTAATGTCGTTGTATCGTTCACGCTCTTGCTTTGCACATTCACCTCTTGCCTGTGACGTCCGCTTTCACTTTCCACGCCGTCCTTGTGGATCCTCGTGTCCATCGTACCTTCCCTACATAAAGTCCTCGAGCAGTCGTCCACAGTTGCTCCTTCCTGTTCATATCATTCTTCTCCTTCGTGCCTTCCCGTCCCATTCGTTTTTTCGCCTCCAACTCGATTCATATCTTCGCGTGCCTTCCCCATACGTTTTTCGTTCCTGCCTTTCGCTACAGTCGCTACTTCTTTCCTGCCAACATAGCCCTAAAAGTTTTCAGACAACAAAAACGACACTAACGTCCAAAAAAATAAATACTAAAAACGAGAAAAAAATCTTACCAAACCATAAAATCTCAACCGTTGCCCCTCCTTCAACAAATCCACTTCCCACTTTCGAGCCTCTTTGCCTCAAACCTGTCCTCAACCAAAACAAAAACACACGCAAACCGTCTTTACGTGAGTACCCTCCATTGTCCCATTTCCTGCGCATCACGAGATTACCCTCTGTGCCTTCATACGACACCGTCACCTTCAGCTGTCTTGCGTCTGTATGCTCTTCCGCTATACCCCCCCCCCCCAACACTACTTTGCCTTCTCGCCCCTCACCGCGATCGAGATCTTTTGAACCTCTTCGCCGCGTCAGATCCCACGAAAGTGTCACCAAATACGCGTTTCTCCTCCTCGCATTTGTCTATTGTCTACCGGGACCTGATTCTTCAGGCCTCAAGCCTCTTTTCGAACACCAATTGGCGTTGCGGTCTCGCTTGCTTGTCGCCGAATTGCAGCTAACAAATTGCACTTGCAGACATCCGTTCCTCCACGACTTGCTCTACTTTTCCTCCAACGTTTTCAGCTTCTTCCTCCCACCAACAATCAAAATGGATTTCCAGGGTCAGCAGGGCGGCCAGCAGAGCGGCGGCAGAGCTTGCTTCAGCTGTAAGTTTGTGATTGTTTCTGCTCTTTTGCATTGATTTCTTTATCGCACCGCGCGAGATTCCAACCAGGAAAATATCGTTATCGAAAAACGAAAAAATCTGAACTACACTAAAAGCGGACTTTCCCCCCTCAAAGCGGGGCGGGGGGCTACCATGCATTGGCATCACTGCCGTTCCTGCACCATTGCAGCTCATTTTGTCGTCACTTGACACACATCTGGCGTGCGACATCGACTTGTATAATACAAATCTACCCCATACTCCATGCCCAGATGCCAGATCTGAGGGATCGTGCTAGTTTCGGGTATTCCCGAACAAGACGCAGTCGTCTGCACCCCAACCTACTTTAAGAGGCCGAAGATTGTCATTCGAGCAACCTTGATGGCCTCTTTGACGGGCCACACGCAATTTCTTATTGGCGGCCTCCACCCTTCTCACCCATCTTCCCCAGGCCCCATTCTCAATGTTGTGAACATGTATGAGCAGGCTCAAGGAGCCGGTGCCTTCCCCAGATCTTCATATTTCCATTTTCCCACGTTTTCTGTCTTGATTTGGTACATGTGTGGAGTAACAAGGCTGACCATTCATCCGTCTAGGCGGCGCTACCACCCATCAGGTATGACGACATAAAGCTCTCGGGCCGCGATGCATGTCTCTAGGATTTTTCGAGGCCCGGGGATCGGCTTCGGCCTTCCAGCTGTTGCAGCGGATCTCCTGACTCCTCGCCTCCTTTTGCGAATGATATACTAACTCCTTTCATCAGGCCCGTGACTGCCCCAACCGTGGCGCTGCTAAGTGGTATGTTACCTGTTCTGACAGCCAGTACTGCCATCCTTCAGACGACATTAGCTAACGTTCTTTGTCCAGCTACAACTGTGGCAACGAGGGTCACATGAGTAAGCTTTGAACCTATGATGGTGTACAGCATTTGTGCCTGTTTATACATGCGCACTCGAATCCCGAAAACTAACTATGCTTAATAGGCCGTGACTGCCCGGAAGGTCCTAAGGATACCAAGACGTGCTACCGGTGCGGCCAGGCTGGTCACATCTCCCGTGACTGCCCCAGCTCGGGCGGTGCCCCCGGTGGTGGCCAGTCGGGCGCCGAGTGCTACAAGTGCGGTGAGGTCGGCCACATTGCTCGCAACTGCCCCAAGAGCTCTTACAACAACTCGTACGGCGGCAGCTCGGGCGGCTACGGCTCGTACGGTGGTGCGGCCAAGACCTGCTACTCTTGCGGCGGTGTCGGCCACATGTCGCGTAAGTTGGAGTTTTCCATGCACGCACACACTTAGAGGCATGCATACAAACATAGTCTTGCGGAACACTTTTGCTAACAGCATTTGACAGGCGATTGCGTTAACGGCAGCAAGTGCTACAACTGTGGCGAGACCGGCCACTTCTCGCGCGACTGCCCCAAGGCCTCGACCTCGGGCGAGAAGATCTGCTACAAGTGCCAGCAGCCCGGCCACATCCAGGCCGACTGCCCCAACAACTAAGGAGGCCATGCCAGCAGTAGCCTTGCCTTAGCGGCAGCATGCTCACCGTAGGCATACCTCACCTCGGCCACGAAAGAACGGACATACCCACAATCCCTGTACACCAGAGAGCGAAGCAACAGCCTTCTTTTGAATTGCGCTTAGTCACGAGATCGATGGAGAGAAGTTGGCAAGATACATTTTTCCTTTTTTCCCTTGTGGAAGCACCCTTTGTCCGCTCACGCGCAAAGGTTCACAAAACGGGTCGGGCATGGTATGAACATGGGCAACTGGATACACAAAAGCGGACGGGATCTCTGTGATTCAAAGGGATTTATTCTTTGATTTTTCTGTGTTTTTTCGACGTCTTCCTGCTGTTCTTCGGGATGCTTCTCATATTCTCCTTGTGTCGTTATTTCATTTTCGTCGTTTTTACAAGTTTCATTTGTCACTTCCTTCCAAGTGTCTTTTCTCTCGTCTTCCATTTTGCCCCCTTGTCCAACAGCCGAAATTGTCGTCTTTTTCACTCGCATTTCGCATATCGCATGTCGCATTCTTCTGTTGTCTTTCACGTTTTCCCATGTTCTGCACGAGAAAATTGAACGTAACGAACTTTGTGCTGATTTTTGCTTTTCTGTTTTTGCGACAGCAAAACACGCTGCATTATGGAAACGTTTGCAAGGGGATTTCTCTACCAACGGAGTCAAAACGGTCGGACCACAAGTCAATTATGTGGTCGTCCTGTGAGGAGGCCACCAAAAAAATTGCAGTTAACTATCAAACTCTTCCGTGCAGTGAAAAATGAAAAGTGAAAAGTCAAACGTGTGACGTGAAAAGTGTATAGTGCAAATTGTCCCAAACAGGCAACTGGCGGTTCACTCTCGGCTCGGTGATGTTTGATCCGTTCGGTAGCTAATACGGCAATCACGGAAGCAGGGGTGTTCTAGAAGACCCAAAGTTTGTGTGGCGTTCCGACGTCTGTGGGTAATCCCATATTGTCGTCCAGCCTTCTTTCCTTCTGGTCTTCTCCCCCGTCTGCCTCTCGGGCCTTCCAAATTGGAGTGTGGTTGACGAGGGTCGCAGCCAGGCAGGAAGGAGAGGGGCAGAGAGATCAGACGAACCGCTGCAGCTGCTCTCCCCGTTTTCCACCCCTTTCGATGCGTGTGACCGTTTTTCCCCTGCATGCAACCCTCACTCGTTCTCATCCACTCCGTGTCCTGTCCCTTTTTGTGCTGCTGCGCATCAGACAGCGCTGTCGCAAATCCCCAGCAGGGCCCACATTAGATCCTCCATGTTGTCAGCATCCCGATTATAATGCTCTGTTTTTTTATTGAAAGGGTTGTCCTTTTCAGGAGGCGGTTTTCTTTTTTTAATTTTGCTTTGGCGGGTGTAAAGGGTTTCTATTCTCCGTGAGGCGTGGCAAATGTTGTTGAATATAAGTGTCTTGTGGGGACTAATCAATGAAATAGAACAGAATTCTTATATGCATGGAGTATTGATTTTTTTTTTTCATTTTCTTTTGATTTTTTTTTGTCTCTAAAATCAATTCAAACACTGAAAATTCTGTACGATTCATTTGACAATTAAATCACAAACAAATCAGAAGTTAAGTAGTTTTTTTTTTTTTTTTTTTTTTAAAAAAAGTTAATCGGCTCGTCCAAACTGTTTCATTACACAAATGCCTTTCAAATGCTATTTAAATGCCGTCGTATCTAAACATGTCCAGCATCACCATCACCATCACCATTTACAACACGACAAGTTTCTTATAGCACGGCCTTGGGCATGAACTTCATGGCTTGCCGCACACCAAGGTCGCCCAGGACCTCCTCGGCGCCGCCCAGGATGGCGTCGAACTTGTAGGTGCGGTTGAAGTTCTCAATGACGCGGCCCATGCCGGTCTGGGTGAGGCCGCGGCCGCCCCAGATCTGGACCGCCTCGTCGGCGATCTCGTGGGCCATGCGGGTGCTGCTCATCTTGAGCAGGCCGATGGGGCCGCCCATGTGCTTGGCCTGCTGGTCAAAGGGCAGCTTGCACATCTGGTAGGTGATGGTCTCGAGCCACGACTGGTGGCTCTCGACGAGGGCAATCATTTTGGCGAGTCTGTCCGGTTAGCCACGCACGCTATGGATGGTGCCACGTATAGTGCCATGTATAGTGTCATGTATAGTATCATGTATAGTGTCATGTATGGTGACGCGGGACTCACTTTAGACGAATGACGGGCTGGTCAATGAGACGCTTGCCAAAGACGAGGCGCTGGTGCGACCACTTGAGGCACTCCTCGACGACGAGGCGGCTGTAGCGGTTGACGGCGCAGGCCATGCCCCAGCGCTCGTGGTTGAAGTTGGCCAGGATGACGTAGATGCCCTTGTTCTCCTGGCCCAAGAGGTTGCCGGCGGGCACCTTGACATTGTCAAAGGTGATGTAGGTGGTGCCGGCGGCGGCCGAGTAGCTCGTCTTGATGGCCTTGGTCTCGACGCCCTCGCCGCGCTCCACCAGCAGCACGCTCATGCCCTTGTCCGTCTGGCAGCCCACGACAAAGTAGTCGCAGAACACGCCGTTGGTGATCCACTTCTTGGTGCCGTTGACAATGTAGTGCTTGCCGTCGGGCGTCTTGACGGCCGTCGTGCGCAGCCGCGCCACGTCCGAGCCCGCAAACGCCTCCGTAATCGCCAGGCAAATCTTCTTGCGGCCCGTCAGGCACTCCTCCATGACCCGCTTCTGCAGCGCCGCGTCGTTGGAATAGTGCAGCACCACCGTCAGGCCAATCGTCAGGCCGGCCATGTTGCCGTCTTGGAACCCGCGCGACGCCGGCCGCACAAACTCCTGGGCCGCAATCATGTCGTGGAAGTAGTCAAACTCGCTGCCGTCCATGACGCCGTCAGGGTTCGCCTCGCTCTTGAGCAGCCGCACGCCGTGCAGGTGCTTGCCCGGCCCCAGGCGCATGTGCAGGATGCCCGCGGCCGCCATCTTGTCAATCAGCGGCTGGCCCAGGTGCTCGCCCGTGCGCTCCTTCTCAATGGCCTCGGGCTTGACGTGCGTGTCGACAAACTGGCGCAGCGCGCGCTGCAGCCGGCGGTGCGAGTCGTTAAAGTACGGCGTCTTGAAGACGGGCGACAGCCACAGCGGCTCGGCATAGGGCACAAGCGACAGGTCGCCCGGCTTGGGCCGCACGATGCTGGGCGTCTCGCCCTTGATCGTGCCGACGGCCAGGTCGTCAATGTACTTCTCGAGTGCCTCCTGGCGGTGCAGGTTGTAAAAGTCCGACGTGGCGTCCTTGCCGGCGACCTGGCGCAGCACGAACTCGCCGCCGGGGTGCGCGTCGAGGAAATCGGCCACATCGTAGACGACCGCGTCAATGATGAAGAGCACAGGGGCATCGTCGCCGCCCTCGGCCGTCAGCTTCTTGGCCGACGCGGCGACCTCGTCCCGTGTAAACGTCTTGTCCGGAATAGGCATTTTGTGCAAATCTGTGGAAGAATCGAGGGGGGGATGTCGTGACGCAGCGGATTGTGCTGGTTCGGCAAGAAAACACGAAGTAGGGATGTGGGAGCGAAAAAGAAAAGAAGAGGACAAAAAGGAAGACACAAAGAAGGAACAGAAACAAGACAAGTTACTCAAAGGGCAAGCGACGTTCGTGGTCATCAATCGTGCCTTCCCCTCAAAGATGCCCGCTGTGGCCTACCCGACGCCAGCCGGACCTTCTGTAATCAGAGTCGCAGTTATGCGAGTCAGCACACCTACAACGAGTTGTGCCTCGGCTCTCAGCAGGTGGGACGCTCCAGAAACGGAACTGGCGTCTGGGCTCCCCAGACCCGCTGACCGATAGCCACATTAGACGCCGTATGATTGGCCGATCGACGCCGCCTGCTCCACATTCGCGTGCCAGTAAACTCGCCTAGCTGCTCCGAATGTGGTAGTCGTCCAGGAACGGTTCAACTTTGGCATTCATATGAGGCTCTGATTGAATATGGAGTGCTTTTACCACCCCCAATCCCTCAGTACACCTTTTATCACCAGAGATGCATGGACGCGGAACTCGAATGTTGAAGAAATATAACATGATTCGATGAACAAACATGCTGGAAGCAAACAATCCATGACGCAAAAAGATAATTAATACATGTATTATGCAATGAAAACAAAACCGACAAAGTAGACCACAATCCAAAACGAACCTACGACAAGAATGGGAATCATGAGAAATGAAAAACAAGACACGCCACATGCCCACCGACTGCACCCGCTTAGTTTGCGGCGCCAGGACGGCGGCGCTTGAAAAAGGCGAGCGCCTTGGCCTTGGGAGCAAAGGCGACCGGCAGACTGGGCACGCCGCCGTGGGCGGCGCACGTCTGCGGCATCAATTGGCCCTGCGACTCAAAGAAAAATTTGGACACCTCAAAGTCGTGGAACGCACCGGGCGTCGCGCACACGCGCTTGACCGTCGACGAGCGCAGCTGCGGCCAGCACGTGTTGCACCAGTAGAAGCTGGGCGGCGTCTTCTTGGCCGTTGAGACACGCACAATCTTGCTGCACAGCTTGTTGGAGCAGCAGACGAGCCTGTCGGGCTCGTTGTTCTTGCCGGAGCGCTTGCTGGCGTTGGGGCCGGAGTTGCTGCTGTTGCTGGTCGCGGCGGCGCCGTGGACGGCCGTGGCGTGGTGATAGGTAATCGCTGGCCAGTCGGTGCGGTAGTCAAAGTCGTTGCTGATAAACATCTCCGCCTTGGACCGGAGGCCCAGCGTCTCGCACACGCTGTTGCACGTGTGCGTCGAGAAGAAGAGCTTGAAGCCGTCCACGCCCAGGTTCGTGTCCGTCAGCACAAACCGGTGCGGGTCCCGCGTGTGGATTGCCGGGTCCGTTAGCACGTTGTCGACGCCCTGCAGGTCCGCCACGAGCAGCTCGCCCCGCGACCGCTCAAAGGTAAAGTGCGAAAAGGCCTGCGCCGCCTTGCTGATCTCGGACCCGCTGTCATCGTTGACGCTGCCGCAGTTGTTGTTGTACTTGACATAGCGGCCGTT